TCTATTTATTTGAATAATTTTTTTATAATAAATAAAAAACACCCAGATGGGATAACATTTTCCTGCCTGGAAATCATCTAGAAGAGGGCCTTTTCCTTGGTTATGACCACTTCTCAGCACTTCTCGTGTCCTAGCCGCCTTCTCTTCAATGAGGGCATCGAATTTTGGACATTCTGCTTTCTATTCTGGCGGAATCGAAAGCCTAGTGGCCAGAAAGCGAGGAGATAGAGAGCTGTTAGAGATACGGATAAGTGCAAATTAGGTTCTAGTTTCTTTGTTTTTTTAATTTTTCTGACTAATATGTGGCAAGCTGGAAAATAATAAATTTTACTACGCAAAAGTCACATGCCACAGCCGCACATACACACTCGGTTGTCATGTGGCAGTGAGTAAACCTAAAATACCATCGAAGGACCCTGTCAAACACTTTCGACACTTGCACAGTAATTACTTTCCACATGCCTTGTTTCGGCCAGACAATCAAAAACTTTTTGCTAGCGAAAACAACTTTTTTCTAGCCAAACAAAAACAAACTACAAAAAAAATCCATTTAACACAGAAATAATAATTGCGAAAACTTTACCAAAAAACATTCTCGTGCAGACCAGTTGCCCGGGTGTTGATTGAATTTAATGCAAACTTTGTTTTCCCAGATTGAATGAATAAAGTTCCTGGGATTCTGAGCACTTTCTGAGCGCTTTAAGCCTTTATCTGAAAAGCATTTTAAAAATTTTTTTGTTTTAAATGCATTGCTACCGGTGAGGTTGATGAATATGCAGATTTGCAACATAAAATTCTTCAGTCCTGTGTCTATTTTGCATACACGAATATTCTGTTCGACTTTTTCTTTTTAGGTTTTTTTGAGGATACTTTTTCAAGAAGGATTTGTGGTTTATAGAAATATGCTATCGTTTTTTTTCTTTTGGATGGGAGATAGCTTTACTTCACCATTAAACCCAAAGCCATTGATGTCTGAAGTCAGACTATTAAGCAGAGAGTTTAGGTCCTGCCACAGCTAATTGAAACATTTAAACTCAAACAACCGCTCACGGATACGTAGCAAGGATATGGTGGGAACACAGTTGACACTTTGCCAAGAGCTGGTAGCAATCACACTGATAATACATTTTTAATAGACCCTCAACCGTTGTCAGCACTTGTGAGCTGAAATTACACAATCACAGGACGCGAGCGAACGTAGTCAGGAGCAAGGACTCGCAGCCAGATGTTCTCTGTAGGTAAGCTGTTGGATGTTATCCCGTTTAAAATGTCGACATGGCTTTTAGGGGGTGTCGAGAGGTGGTAAGAAGGACTTAAATCCAGGACCTCGAAACCCAACCCGCACAGAATGAAAAGGAAGGGTTAACAAGCTGTGAGCTGCGAGTACTAATTGCCTAAATCTATCCCACATGGCCCACACAAGCTGCCAATTTGTAGGCCGGCTCTTTAATTAGCTGGCTAACAGGCTGTCGGCTAATTAATGAAAGCGGCTACATCCACTTCAGGGCAGTGGAGATTTTCGGATATTTTTGCCACCACCATTTGCATAATATGGCCAAATCAAAGGCAAAGGTATTGCATGTCCTTCAGGTACTTCAGGCGCAGTGCAGTTCTTTTGCATTTTTAATCAATCGCCTCCGCCGATGTAAGTAACCTTCGAGCTTCCAATTCAGACCAACAGCCAACGCGCGTGGCATGAATAAATTAAAACGATTTTGTGCCACATTTTTCCCAAAGATTTATTACAAAGAGAAACAGCCAGGCACTCGCCTACATTGAGAGTTCTGATGCCCCTTCTCTTTTTTTTTCTGGTTCCCGCCTGATGATGATGATGATGATATAGATGATTATGGACCGTCTTCCTTCCTTTTCCGATTTTCGGCTCCTGGCAAGAGATTGTTGCATATCAAATGGCGTCTAAGTGCTGGGCGTGCGCCTCCACACAAATCAAATCAGAATCGAGGAGCGTCTGCGTGGTGCTTTTCGGCCTTTTTACGGCCCCGACTCCATTTATTTAAATTCAATATTATATTAGCGGCACTCACTTTCGCCTTTATTACCAATGGAATGGCTTACAAAGTGGATTTCGAGGCGCCAATAAAGCCCGGGGCAAGGCCGTCCCAGGTCTCTGGATTTGTAGTGGTCGCTCAAGGGCGTGTCTCGTTCCCAGTCCCCCAATACAAATCCCATGGGATCCTTTCAGCGTCAAGGCATCCGAGCAGCTGACAAGGAATTAGGCATGTTATTTTGTCCAATTTTTCAACTTCGATTTTTTGTTGCATGTGCCACTCCAACATCGTCAGTGTCAGGACAGCGTGACATTGCCTGTCGAATGCACGGGAATGATAAAAGTGTCCTCCGAACATAGATATAGAAAAATGGGCAGACAGGCAGAAATAGGAGCTCTCTCTCCCCCTTGCTAAAAGCACTTTTAGTTGCTTTTAGTCCTTTCTGCATATATTCAGGCAATCATCTATTAAATTGCAAGGTAAATCGAATAAGCAGGCGAAGCATAAATTATTGGCAGGCTTTCAGGACAAAGGAGAGCCTTTGCAAATTATTTATGTAATTAATTCCCAGCGTATTAAATATTTTATTGTTATTAATTAATTAAAAGCACAACGGCTAAATAAATAACATTCTGTATGACAAACTTTTTTAATTAGAATCCTGAAACAACAGGAGCTGTAGACTGTGTTTGTGTAGCCATCTGGGATGAAGTTTCCAAGCCAACATGAAATTCTGCATGTGGTATGCCAAGTCAGATGCCAAAAAAAAGAAACATGGAACTCCAAGCCGGCTTTGGACAGCATTTACATTCTTTTAAGTAAGCTTCAGATGGAAAATGCATTGCAAATGCCGGACGAACGGCTACATTTTACCCACAACCATATTTTCTTGATGGTATTTCGCTTTTATCTTTCCCTCAGAGGGCGAAATGACTAACGGCCAGAAAATGTATTTACATTCATGGGGAATGGGGAATGCGCAAAGTCCTCTTGACCCTGGAATGCAATGGCTCCGGGGATAACCTTCACATACGTATATCTTACTTTGCATTATTAACATTATTTGGCCCGAATGTCAGACGAGTAAACCATGTCAGCATTTGTGGCTTTCCATACGCATTGGGATAATCAAAGAGCCGCCCGGAGGCCAAACAGATGAAGGCCAGACGGCCTGACAGTCAGTCAGTCTGAATGACAGACAGGCCCGAAGAAAGTGGAAAGTCAAAAGGCCAGACATTGGCTTGACCTTATACCTCTTGGAATCAGAAAGTGCAACATCATTCTCTGGAGGGCAAAAGCAAAGAGTCACGCACTTGCTTAAATTTGGTAATGTAGAGATTAGGTATTAGTGATTTTCACCATAATATTAACTCTATTTTATAAACCTTTTAATTTTAAAGCAAATACTTACACCTATAACTTTTATAAATCTCTTTAAAACCAACCAACCAGCTTCCACCCACATGAAATGTTTTCCGTGCACCCTTGATGCTAATAATGCACTGCATACTTTCGGGAGCACCTGCTTGAAAAGTGCTCTTTCACTTTAATTTGAAATAATTACCGCTGAAAGCCAACTATGTATGCTCGGAGTCTGCAATTTATACATGCATGTATGTGTGTGTGTGAGTGTGTATGTAAACGTGAGAAAATTTGTTGGCCATGTGCGCGTTATGTTGAAATTAATGAGCCAGCCCATTGCTCTACTTCATTGCCACAACGCGTGGCGACAACAGCCAAGGAAGCTGAGGAGTGCCACTGGACGAGATGTGGGGGAGGGGACAAAGGAGTGACAGCCGCAGAGGGAAAGGGGAGTAGAGTGTGGCCAACGGTGATGAAGTCGCACAGACAAAAGCGGAAACAAGCACAACCAGCAGCTTCCGGCCAATGTAAATAAGGCTCTAGCCGAAAACCACTGGCAAAGATATGCATGATTACACATACAGGCACCAGACACATAAGCGGACACGCAAACACACATTCACAAGTATGCACAGTGAGAAAATATATGAATTAAATACATTATTCCACACTACAAAGAAATATTCCCCGGACATCATTATAGATTCTACATGAAATGGCTGTGAAGTGTAAATTTAATTAAGGTTATTCTCCAAGTGTAGAAAGAAAGGCTTTCACCCACACATGTGACGTATGCTGTTGGCACATCTGACTGAACCAACTCATTTGCCAAGCAACAGAGCCTGATGATATTTTGCGCGACTCGCTACAATTTTCCCGGCAACGACATTCCGTATTTATGGCCAAAAGGACACACACACACAACCATGTTATATACTTACTGCATGTGTGGGTATATTAAACGGAAATGCTGTTGTGTGTTATTAATGGCCTCCTTCTTTTGTTTGTTAAGCAGTTAATACTCTCACATTTACGCGCCTGCAATTGGAGTCGCCATTGGTAGGCATTTACCCATCAGAGTCATTTTGCATTATCCTTGCAGTTCGGTCAACGGCATAATGGGCTTTCTTGCCCTTTATTTACTCCTTTTATTCGGTGGCGGGCAACGTCCTTTGTATTTAATCCTTTTCCACTTCAGAACATTAAGAGAGCTTAAGATGAAAATTCATAAATAATTAGGTTTAACTTTTGAATGGAAAGCGATTATCCATCGAATATAAATCAAAGCATATAAAGCCCATCATTTATATCAACCATTTTCCTGAAAATAAAGAATCTTACTTTAATCTTTACCTTCTTCAACTAATATTTAAATTAAATTAAAATTGTTCTACTGACCCAAAACTCATTCAAGTTTTCTTAAAGCTCCCAAAAAAGCACACATTCCGGCCAGAGCAGCTTTTCATTGAAATTTCCATGTTTTTCCACCACGACCTTGGGGGGATGAAAAGCTTAAATCATTGGGGGGGTGGCAACCTTCTTCTGGGCCCAGCTCTCAGCATCCACTGCGCAGATGTGGGAACTGTCAGCCGGCTTTTGGATGCTGCCACATGCCACACACCACCGCCCACCACCCATAACAGCACATCATTCCGGGGGGCCCGCAACAGGATAAAAGAAGGCGCATCCCACTCTCAGTGCTCAGTGGATGTTCCATCCTCACGGAAAGCGGTTGAGCGGCATCTCGAATCGGAAAACGGAAAGAAATCAAATCTACAGAATCTAAACAGTAAGGCCCAGAGCACTTGCCGCGTAGTGAAAATGTGTTAATTACCAAATAGCCAGAAGCAGAGTCCTGAAAACCACGAGCTACGATACAACGAATCATCGAAACCTGAAACTGCCAACGGAAGCAATCGGAAAATGTGGTCCAGGCGACTTTTGGTCCTGCCGCTGCTGGTCTTGCAATTAATTTGCAACTGCCAGGTGGTCCAAGCCCTGCCCGATATTATTAAGATAGGTGAGTGGGCGAATATAAATGCATTGGGACATCCTGCTGAGGCCAAACCAAAAGTATTTAATGCCAAAACAAAAATAATTCCAAAGTACGCATCCGTATCGATTTTTTTTCACGTCATAATCAAGAGCGCGTTTGACTGTATGAGTGGTTGTGGTTGTGTATGTGTGAGGATAAGGTGTGCAAGTGTGTGAGTCTGTGAGAGTGTGTTTGTCTTTTGTTTGTTTTTATTCGAACACTGCGGGTAGTCCTCCGGCAAAATAAGACCAAATATGAGAGCCATTAGCCGTCCTTTTGATTAAAACAAAGCTTTACCGTGCATCCATTTATCTGTCATTTATCCTCGCAGGTGGCCTCTTCCATCCCTCCGATGACCACCAGGAGCTGGCCTTCCGCCAGGCGGTGGACCGCATAAACGCCGACCGTTCCATCCTGCCCCGTTCCAAGCTGGTGGCCCAAATCGAGCGCATCTCGCCATTCGACAGTTTTCACGCCGGCAAAAGGGGTGAGTATTCCATGTGGTGGACCGTGTGGGGGGACACAGGTGACTTGGCCCGATTCCCCAGTGCCCCTGTTCCCATGCCTTGCCCTTCACCAGCCACATTGTGGCATGCATATTTGATGTGGCCCAAGTTCCCTTACAACCTGCACCCCCATCATCTGCATAGCTTTGTTTGCAATCTCGTTTGCATCTGATTCGCCCTTTGTTTGTGCTCGCATTTGATTTGCGATTTATGTTATGCTAATTGCTGCCCTGGGGTTTGGGGTTATCTTCTGTGTGTCCCAGCGGCTACATGGGAAAACACATCGTTTATTTACACACAATTATTTTCGAGTATTTTTGAGGTCCAAAAACGCTTTCAAAGTGAACCCAACTTAGGTCATTCAAAGGTGTTCTTTTTACTTAAGACAAAGCTTCAATGGGTGTGAGTAGCTAAGGTATCGGGACTTTAATACATTAATCTATAATGATAATGGAATCTATCATATTAAAGCAAGTTAATATGTCTTGGTTATAAATTACTTACTAGTTAGCAGTAATAGATTCTAGTCCCTACAAGCTTCCGCCTAGACATTAAAATATAAACCCTCTTATTATGTTTTTAATAATGGATTTTCATGTGAGTCTTCGAACTAAGCAAGATCTATCAGAATTCCAATCAAGGTTTCTATTTCTAAACAAAAATTTTCCAAGAATTTAACAAAGACTATAAAATTTAATATCTTGTGCTTGTGGCAAGGATGCAATTTTTCCTGGTGTAGGTTTTCCTTGTTTGATATTTCAAACTTTATATATGCGAGGTAAGGGAAAACTCCTCCGGCACTTGATAATCGTTAAAAGCTAAAGATGAATCGTAAAGTGGGTAATGTGAGCCAGCCAACTGTCGAATATCCTGTGATAAATGAGACACAAATGACGCTAAAGTTGGGCAGCAGAGCACACTGCTCACATGGCCGAAAAAATACCTTGGAAACCAGCATGGGTTGCCCAATGGCCGTAAGGTTGGGATGGCCGTATAGCTGAATGGTCGGAGAGTCCTGCCAGAATGCACTTCAGCACGGCAGTAACGAGCCACACTCACACACACGTACGAGCAGTATCCTTACTGTACGTTAACCGCATCACCGGTTCTCAGACCTTCGGGGAGCACCTGCACTTACACGTGCTTAGTGGGTTTGATGAGGCAAAAAGGATGCTGACAGGAGGCAGACAAGCCAACCGATGGGGGAAGCTGAAAGACAGAGGACCGAAAAGGTCCTCCGACAAAATGAAATTATGTCATACTGAAGTGCATTTTAAATATGCGAACGAGGCCAACTGAACATCACAGTGCCAAGCCAAAGCCAAGCATATTACTGCGCTACTTGGGCTCGATTTTACTTTTTGATCCTTTCAAGTCGCTGCACGAGATTATCTCCCTCGCACAAGCAGATTGTGTGAGCGAATTGGATTGGGAATGGGAATAAGATTGGGATTGGGAATGGGAATGGGGATTGGGACGAAGATTGGGGGCAGCATGGAAGGCACATTACTTGGGAATCAATTTGCGACTTTTAAGCTCTTTGGGATTTGTGTTTCACTCAATTTGCCATAAGGAAAGGATATCAGAAATGCGGGACAAAGTTTCGCCTTGTAATAGTCCCGCAGATATTTCAGAACAGTTTATTGAAGACCAACAAATAACCGAATATTACTTTTGTTTGTCTTGCAGTTTGTGGCCTATTGAACATTGGGGTAGCCGCTATTTTTGGGCCCCAATCTTCGCACACCGCCAGTCATGTGCAGAGCATCTGCGACAACATGGAGGTGAGTAACACCGCCAGAGGATATGATATGTCTTCCATAAACCCCATTTATTTTGTAAACACACTCGTTGCAGATTCCCCACTTGGAGAATCGCTGGGACTTTCGCCTGAGACGCGAGAGTTGCTTAGTGAATCTTTATCCCCACCCTAATACGCTTTCCAAGGTAGGTACAGGTGCATCTGCATTACTGCCTCATACTCTGCTGCATTGTTGATGTTTCCGCTTGTGTTTGGTCTTAGGCTTACGTTGATATCGTCCGACATTGGGGCTGGAAAACGTTCACCATAATCTACGAGAACAATGACGGCATCGTGCGGCTGCAGGAGCTCCTCAAGGCACACGGGATGACCCCCTTTCCCATAACAGTGCGCCAGCTAAGCGACAGTGGGGATTACAGGTAAGCCATTTCAAGCGCATCCTGTCGGGGCATCATTTCCCTTCACTATTCATATGCAAATGCTTGCCAATTGAATTACTCAATAAACTACCTTTGATTCCCTTTGGTTATTCATTTTCCCCTTCCAGACCGCTTCTGAAGCAAATCAAGAACTCGGCGGAAGCGCACATTGTGCTGGACTGCTCCACGGAAAGGATCCACGAGGTCCTGAAGCAGGCCCAGCAGATCGGCATGATGAGCGACTACCACAGCTACCTGGTTACCTCGTTGGATCTTCACACAGTTAACCTGGACGAGTTCCGCTACGGTGGCACCAATATCACCGGCTTCCGTCTCATAAACGACAAGATCGTCTCGGACGTAGTGCGTCAGTGGAGCATCGACGAAAAGGGAATGCTGCGCTCCGCCAACCTGACCACCGTGCGCTCTGAGACAGCTCTCATGTACGATGCAGTGCACCTGTTCGCAAAGGCACTGCACGACCTGGACACCTCGCAGCAGATCGACATCCATCCGATTAGTTGCGATGGGCAGAGCACCTGGCAGCACGGATTCAGCTTGATCAACTACATGAAGATCGTGGAGATGAAGGGCTTGACGAACGTCATCAAGTTCGACCATCAGGGCTTCCGGACGGACTTTATGTTGGATATCGTTGAACTGACTCCAGCTGGTATCCGGAAAATCGGTACCTGGAACTCCACTCTGCCCGATGGTATTAACTTTACGCGAACCTTTAGCCAAAAGCAGCAGGAAATCGAGGCGAATCTGAAGAACAAGACCCTGGTTGTTACAACCATTCTGGTAGGAATATAATTATTTTATTTATTTTAAATACAATTATTGAAACTCTTATGTCTTTGCAGAGTAATCCCTATTGCATGCGAAAGGAGTCCGCTGTGCCACTAAGTGGAAACGATCAGTTCGAAGGATATGCCGTGGACCTGATTCATGAAATCTCGAAGTCGTTGGGCTTTAACTATAAAATCCAACTGGTGCCAGATGGTAGCTATGGAAGTCTCAACAAAATGACAGGGTAACGATACATGCAAGGACCTTCTGCATCATATGTAATCAAATACAATATCTAATCCCTCTAGTGAATGGAATGGAATGATCCGGGAGCTTTTGGAGCAGCGTGCTGACTTGGCAATAGCTGATCTCACCATCACTTTTGAAAGGGAGCAGGCGGTGGACTTCACCACGCCCTTTATGAACCTGGGGGTGTCCATATTGTACAGGAAGCCCATCAAGCAGCCTCCGAATTTGTTCTCCTTCCTGTCGCCATTGTCCTTGGATGTCTGGATCTATATGGCCACAGCCTATTTGGGTGTGTCCGTTCTACTCTTCATTTTAGCCAAGTGGGTTATTTGTTTTTACAAAACCTTAAGATAAACTTAATATTTCTTTTGTTTCATAGATTTACCCCTTATGAGTGGCCAGCTTATACAGATGCCCATGGGGAGAAGGTTGAGAGTCAGTTTACTTTGCTGAACTGCATGTGGTTCGCCATAGGATCGTTGATGCAACAAGGATGCGATTTTCTTCCCAAGTAATTTCCAATTTCTTCCTTTGAGATTTATGTATTTGATATACCATTTTTGTAGAGCTCTATCCACCCGCATGGTGGCTGGTATTTGGTGGTTTTTTACCCTGATTATGATATCCTCGTACACTGCCAACCTGGCTGCCTTTTTGACCGTGGAGCGCATGGATTCGCCCATCGAAAGTGCCGAGGACTTGGCCAAGCAGACAAGGATCAAATATGGAGCTCTAAAGGGTGGAAGCACAGCAGCTTTTTTCAGGGTAAGAACACTAGAACTTACTAATACTGATTTTGTAAACGAAGTCTAAAAATATTCTTTACAGGACTCCAAAATATCCACCTACCAGCGTATGTGGTCCTTCATGGAGTCGGCTCGTCCTTCGGTATTTACGGCCAGCAATGGTGAGGGAGTGGAACGAGTGGCCAAGGGCAAAGGTGAGCAAGGCTTCACGAAAAGAAAAAAATTTTTTAAAGAGTATTTTTTCAGGATCCTATGCTTTTCTGATGGAGTCCACGTCCATTGAGTACGTGACGGAAAGAAACTGCGAACTGACGCAGGTGGGCGGAATGCTGGACACCAAGAGCTATGGCATAGCCACTCCACCAAGTAAGTAATAAACTGGGGTATTCCATAGACCGATTGATGAGTAACCAATGGGATGTCCCACCTACAGATTCACCTTACCGCACGGCCATCAACAGCGTCATACTTAAGCTCCAAGAAGAAGGAAAGCTCCACATCCTGAAAACAAAGTGGTGGAAGGAGAAGCGCGGCGGTGGAAAGTGCCGGGTGGACACCTCCAAATCCTCCTCGGCGGCCAACGAACTCGGCCTGGCAAATGTCGGCGGTGTGTTTGTGGTCCTAATGGGCGGCATGGGCGTGGCCTGTGTGATTGCCGTGTGCGAGTTTGTGTGGAAGTCACGCAAGGTCGCCGTGGAGGAGCGCCTGAGCGCAATTCTAAACGAATGAGAAAAGTCGTAAACCCGGGACGAATGGGTCTAAGCAGTGAATAGGTCCCGGGTTGGACTCGGTTCGGTTAAATCAAAAATGCAAGTAGAGTCGGGAAAGTGCAATGAATGGAGAGCATGGCGGAGCAACATATATCACCAGCAATAGTCGGAAATAGACAGTTCTCGGTATCCCACGCAGCAATATTGTTTACTGGAGCCACCAATGAATGTTAGCACCACATTTTAAAGGCCATCAAGCCGAAGAGCCCAGCTATTAATATACATTCAAGATACATACGAGAGATATGTACATTATATATACATAAATATATATTTATACATATATACTCCCTTTCGTAAACATACTAATCACTAACCTATACACTAATGGAACAACAATGCAACAATTTGCAACAAATCGAAACGAATCGTATTGCATTTATATTTGAAAGCATTTTTGGGAATTGACCTATAGTCGTAATTGTAGCTAAATTATATATACAAAGGAATCAATATACAGTCCGACAGACATCAATACATAAACCAAAGGCCATGCATATATTAGCCAGAAGACACGATCGAAAAATCTTACTTAAACCCTAAGAAGCAGGACACAATTTACACGCAAATCGAAACCGATATTTTCAACGGACTTAGCCAGTAGAACTAACCTAAGTGAGTTGTAACTCTTAGATTAGAAACATTTTCTATTTAATTCCCCCTTTTCCCAGCCCTCTAGCTACTGTCCTCCCCTAAGATATAAGATTGTAAAATGTAATTACCGCTCATACAGGCAATTCTGACAATTTCATAAAATACTTACAATTAAATAAAACAAGTTAACAAAAACCACTGACTTTCGAGTATCCCTTCGAGTATGAACACCTGCGTTCGATTTGACATTTGATGTGGTTTTGTGATGTCGACGCCTAACCGCAAACCGTCAATCAGCTTTTCCAGGTTTTCCACATTTCCACTTTCTCCGCCATCAATTTTTCATGGGCTCTGCACACGCTTAGGGCTGCAATTCAGAAAGTGCCTGCTTTTAATTGGGTCTTGTGTTATCAGTACGAGGTAACCTCGTTAGTTTCCGCCATGCGGGCTCCTCAGTCGCCTTTTGGGCATCCTGCCACCATGCGGTTATCCTTTTGCCTCCTTTTACTTTGCGGACTGCAGCTCTGTATCCTAACTCCCATCGAGGCCAATGACTTTTCCTCTTTTCTCAGCGCCAATGCTTCACTAGGTAAGTTTGGGTCTTCACATCCATACAGCTAACTAATCCCATTTACGGAATGAATAGCCGTTGTGGTGGATCACGAGTACATGACCATGCATGGCCAGAATATTAGGGCCCATTTTGAGAAAATCCTGAGCGACATAATTCGGGAGAATCTGAAAAATGGCGGCATTAATGTTCGATATTTCAGCTGGAACTCAGTGCGCCTCAAAAAGGGTAAGATTTTAATGGATTTTCAAAAAAGGCTAGTATTTATAGCTGTTGGAAACAGACTTTTTGGCTGCTATCACAGTAACGGATTGCGAAAATACCTGGAATTTTTACAAAAACACCCAGGAGACCTCAGTGCTTCTGATCGCCATCACTGACTCGGATTGCCCTCGACTTCCACTGAATCGTGCTTTAATGGTACTACTGGAATATTAAATATTATAAATTCTATATGGGAATAATATTTATTATCCTCTAGATACCCATGGTTGATCATGGCGACGAGTTTCCGCAGATCATACTCGACGCGAAGGTCCAGCAAATTCTTAACTGGAAGACTGCTGTCGTTTTTGTGGACCAGACCATATGTGGGTATCCAGAAACTGAACCTTAAATTAAATAATATTCCAAAAATTTATTAGTGGATGACAACTCGGTGCTGGTAAAGTCTATTGTACACGAAAGTACCACTAATCACATCACCCCAATCTCCCTGATCCTGTACAAAATCAACGACTCCCTGAAGGGACAGAAGAAAAGGTCAGCTCTTCGTCAGGCGTTAGCCCAGTTCGCTCCTCCCAAGCACGAGACGAAAAAACAGCAGTTTATGGTTGTTTCCAAGTTCCACGATGACATCATCGAGATTGCCGAGACACTTAACATGTTCCATGTGGGCAACCAGTGGATGTTTTTTATTCTGGACAAGGTCCGTCGGGACTTTGATGCCGGCACAGTGACCATAAATTTGGACGAGGGCGCAAATATAGCTTTCGCGCTCAATGAGACCCTTCCCGATTGTCAGGACACTCTTAACTGCACCATTTCAGAGGTAAGTCTAGCCCTGGTCACTGCCATTTCCAAGATGACAGTGGAGGAGCAGTCCATATACGGCGAGATCTCTGACGAGGAATGGGAGTCCATTCGCTACACAAAGCAGGAGAAGCAGGCGGAGATCCTGGAGTACATGAAAGTGGGTACTTTTTATTGACTGCTTCTACAACCCAATTTTATCTTTTAATTCGTCAAGGACTACCTGAAGGCCAATAGCAAGTGTGCAAGTTGCGCCAGATGGCGGATCGAAACAGCCATCACCTGGGGAAAGAGCCAGGAGAACCGGAAGTTCCGCGTAGGTAAGGGGGCCGTGTAAAAATAGCCTTAAGGGTTTACTCATCCAATAGAGAACATTACTTAGCACCCACACGCGATGCCAAGAACCAAAACTTCGAATTCATTAACATTGGCTACTGGAGTCCTTTGCTGGGATTCGTTTGCCAGGAGCTTACCTTTCCCCACATCGAGCACCACTTCCGCAACATCACAATGGACGTGGTGACTGTTCATGTGAGTCTTTGAGCCAGGAATATAATTTTTATATATTGGTTCAAATCGCTCGTAGAATCCTCCCTGGCAAATACTAACCAAAAATCGTCATGGGGTCATTGTGGAGCACAAGGGTATTGTCATGGAGCTTCTCAAGGAACTAAGTCGCGCCTTGAATTTTAGCTATTACCTGCACGAAGCCTCCAACTGGAAGGATGAATATTCAATTACCACAAGCACGAGCTCCAATGAGACCGTAAGCCCATTCCGGTCTAGGGGGATTCCCAAACTTTATTATTTCTATTTTTACAGGACGAACTGGCGGGGTCGATGACTTTCCGGATTCCCTACCGCCTCGTTGAAATGGTGCAAGGAAATCAATTCTTTATGGCCGCGGTGGCAGCCACTGTGGAGGATCCCGACCAGAAACCCTTTAACTACACCCTTCCGGTCAGCGTACAGAAGTATTCCTTCATCACCCGTCAGCCCGACGAGGTGTCCCGCATTTACCTCTTTACGGCTCCATTTACCACGGAAACCTGGGCGTGTCTGGTGGGCATCATACTTCTCACAGCACCCATGCTGTATGCCATCAACCGCCTGGCTCCGCTGGAGGAGATGCAAATAGCTGGCTTGTCCACTGTTAAGAGCTGCTTTTGGTACATCTTTGGAGCTCTATTGCAGCAGGGTGGAATGTACCTGCCACGAGCCGATAGTGGCCGCCTGGTTGTGGGTTTCTGGTGGATCGTCGTGATTGTCCTGGTTACCACATACTGCGGCAACCTAGTTGCCTTTCTAACCTTCCCCAAGTTCCAACCGGGTGTTGACTACCTAAGTCAGCTATCCCGACACAAGGAGATCTCGCAGTATGGCCTACGAAACGGAACCTTTTTCGAGCGTTATGTGCAGACTACGACACGGGACGATTTCAAGCAATACATATCACGAGCTCAGATCTATGGCAACTCTCAAGACGAGAACATCGAGGCGGTGAAGCAAGGACATCGCATCAACATCGACTGGCGCATTAACTTGCAACTGATTGTGCAGCAGCACTTCGAACGCGACAAAGAATGCCGCTTTGCCCTGGGCAAGGAGAGCTTCGTGGACGAGCAGATTGCCATGATAGTTCCGTCCCACAGCGCATACCTAAACCTCATCAATAGCCACATAGACAGGCTGTTCCGCATGGGCTTCATGGAGCGCTGGCACCAGATGAACCTGCCCAGCGCCGACAAATGCACCGGCAAGAGCTCCCTGCGACAGGTGACGAACCACAAGGTGAACATGGACGATATGCAGGGCTGCTTCCTGGTCCTCCTTCTTGGGTTTATGGTGGCCTTTGCTTTTGGATGCTGTGAGTTTTGGTACCATCGTTTCTACGTTCACAAAACCAGTCGCCAGCCACCGAGCAGCGTCTTTACCACTTGAAAAACATTTTTCGAAATTAGGGTGTATTGTTTAATGTTTGAAATTACTTTATGAACATCATTCTGCAATAAAACATAGCGACTCGTTCATCATTCCCCGACTAACTGTTTACGTGGAGTTGGCGTTGGGACCACGACGACGACCGAAGCCCTGGACAACGTTGACGAAGCGGCGGTTGTACTGAATCCTGCGCTTGGCGCGTCCAGTCTTCTTCTTCTTCTTCTCCTGCTTCTCCACCTTGGGGGTCTGACCCTTGACCTTACCAGCACGAGCGAGGGAACCGTGCACTTTACCACCAAGCATGGGAATGTTGATGTCCAACTCGAAGGAGCTGAGGGCGGTCACGGGAGTCTCGTTGGCCAGGGTAGCACCCTCGCAAGCGAGGCTGAACTCCTCGCTGTTGAAGCCATGCAACTCGGCGAATTGGTTCTAATTGGGAAAGAGAACAATTAGTAAATTATTCAGCTCTAGCCAATTAAGCTGTTCTAGAGAGTTGGAGGTTAGGGTCGCCCCGTTTGTTGTCACCTCTACTCCAGTCGCCACTCACCTTAACACCGGCAATGGTGGCATCCTGGGACACCTCCAGGGCCTGAATGGTCTCTAAGCCACGTACGAAAAGCTGCATGTTGATTCGCTCTGCAAGTAAACCGTGCAATTTATTTGGATTAGTTATCATTCTAAGGCAGCTGGAAACACGTGTGTCAATACAGTCACTCATTTTAGGTAGTTTTGGTAAGTAGGGCACTGGCATTTTATGCCCCGCTCACTCAGGAGTCACTCGGACACTCGTTAGTTACGTATTTATCATATTTTTTGTTTATTTATCATGGTTTTTAGCCAAAAATTGCAGGCCTACCTTGTCACTAGATGTGCGGATCGTCGAAAAAGAAAGATGGCCGAAGCAGAGTTGCAAAACTATCGGTACTTTAGGGTTGCCAGATGTGTTGCCATTTTCAGTCAAGCAACAAATTTCCCTTTAGTTTGTGCTTTATAAATTTCCAGTCTTAAGTGTTTATAATTTTAGTAAATGTTTTTTTTATAGTTTAGTTTTATAAATAAAATTAAATTTTTATATTCTATCGATATTTTCTACCTCTTCGGCGCTGCCAACCCACGTAATTCAAAAGAGTCGCGTTGCCGGACTGATTATTTTTGTACAGACCTTGCGCGGGAACTTAAAACTAATATGATATTGGATCCGTACACCTTTTTTTACTAAAAATGAATGAATAAATAACTAGCAGGCATTTATAAGACCTCTGTCCAACTAAAAAACAGATTTATATATGCTTTCATGAAGAAAGATATATTTATATTACAAAAAAGTTTGAATTAAATCATTTAAAGGCTGTTGGGTTATAAACTGTAAATAGTCTTAAACTCTTAACTTTTTAAGACCTAATAACATAAAAACATAAAAGATATACTAGTTTTTTATAAAAAAAAAAAAGAAAATGAAGTAACCTAGTTCATTCATTTGACTCAAATCGTTCCCTTGAGTCCGACACCACAAAAGACCAGTCTGGCTGACGCCCAGCTAAGCTCGCACACCCCGATTACCTCAATCTACGTAAAAATGGGAATTACGTTAAGCCCACAGCCACTAGTCCGCCCGCGCCTGGCTTGACCCAGTTTTGAATGTGTCTCTTGTAAGGACATTCGCATTTAAATGAAACTGCAAAATGTGCTTGCGCCTGCGCTTGTCCTTTGTTTGATCCGCAGAAAGGACTCGAAGGACAGAGCCCTGCAGACATGGGCTGTGTGTTATTCTACGCCATTAGAATAAATATTGCCGCATTGTTTGACAAACAGGACTAGATTAGTAACATAAACATTCCCTCAATGAATGCAAATCATAAGCCGATTTAACAAATTTGCACGAATTATCCGCAACTAATGAGTGTGGCTTAGATTCTTCGCCCATATCCTTCGAATGTCAGGATATTGAAAGCGAAACTCTTCAGTTTATTGTAGAAAATTTTCTAGGTGCTCTAAATTTATGGCTATCTTGTATGGAATATCCCTTACCCTTACGATTAAAGCAGATGCGACAGATAATGTGTCCCCTCCAATATCCTTAACCCTTTATTACCAGCTCTCGATGTCCATTTGAGATAGCCAAATGGCGCATGCGATCCTCTTTTCCTGTTGTCCACTTTGATCCAAATCCTAAGGCCATTCCCTACTCATATGATCGGATTAGTTTGGGATTAGGTGCAGACATCTCGTGGATTTGCGTAAACTCATTTGCCAGGTCTTGTGGAGAACAGGCCTTGTAAGACTTGGGAAACGCATCGGAAACTATCTTTCCCCACCTCCTCAGCCGCTTCGGAAAATGTTCTTTTGCTTGTTTTTCCTCCGCAGGAACTGATGCCGCTTTGTAATCTGATATTTTGCATGTTTGCAAACAATGGCAGCGGAAAAACAAATTACTCTTGACCATAAAAACAGCGACGGTAACAATTGCAAAATCGGCTTAGCCTGCCCCTGGTCTTTCTTTCAGTGTTTGCCGTTTTTCCGGCACGCGAATTTTCTGATTTTCATTCACCTCGATATCTTTTGTCAAAATTTTCCCATATGGGTTATATTTTTGGCCACACACTTATCATATATGGGGGATGCGGTATCGTTTGATCCAACATGGGAAGTATAATTGCGGGAATGCCCTGAGAGCCACCTAGTTTCCGCATTAAAATTATGAAATATTAAATTACCCAGTCCATTTGGATATCAGGTGAAATTGATACGAGGCTTAGATTAAAGTAGGAAGTTGTATTTATCTAACAGAAAACAACCATCAAATAAAATTGTAAAGATATTTAATATATGATTAAATATTATTAAAAATTATAAAATAATATCTTTAGTAGAGACTAATAGAATAGAATCGAATTAAAACATACACAAAGCTTTGGACAGCATACAATTTGGATTATCTAAAACATGAATAGGGTAATTTTTTAGGATAATAAAAATAATGATTTAAAAAAAAAACCATCCAGAAAAAACACATTTTTGTAATTACAAACGAATCCTTTTTTATTTCTATGACTTCCAATATTGATGCATTACTTGGCTGGTATTGCATTATTAAAATTTTAAAATAGAGATTTGACTTGGGATAATGTCAACATGCATTGCTCTCCCAATGATGGGCCGACCACATCTTTCTATACTGGGTTCAAGCTTATTATTCAGCTGCTAGTCTTTACCCATCCTCACTTCTTCTATGAAAAGCCAAATACAACTATCTTCCATGTTTGTTAAAAATATTTTAAAATAATGTCAAAATAAATACCCCACATTAAAATATATCAGTTTTAAGTACAACATTGTTTTATTGTATATTATCATAATTCATATTTACTATAATATTAATTTAACATTAAACTAATTAAAATTTATTCTATTTACAAGAAGACACTTTTGTAATAGATTAACAGCCAACTTCTCCTATACTATAACGATCATTTCCGGTTCCGGACTGGAGGCGTTTGAGGAGAAGGTGGAGTCACAGCTCTCATCCTTTTCCCGCTTCTCTCGCCGCTCCCGGGCTCTTCTGTTTTGGAACCAGATCTTCACCCGAGTATTGGTTAGTTCCAGGGAGTCAGCCAGCTTGTTGGCGTCCTCTGCGCTGAGGTAGTTGGACTCTTTGTAGGCCCTTTCCAGCGCCTGCAGCTGGGCAGGCGTGAAAGGGATGCGAGGCAGGCGGCCGGGAGTCCTTTTGGCGGGTCCATTCTGGCGGAGGGCTCGGGGGAGCTTGGGCGGATGATAGCGGGTGTACTGCAGCCAGTCATAGATGGGCAGCTGGCCGTCTTCTGGAGCCGATGGAGGAGATGCCCGGACTTTTACTTCCTTGGCGGATTGAAAGGCGTACGGGTGGAACGGCAGACTGCCTCGTAGGCGTTGTAGGACTCCTAAGGATGCATTGGTTCCCATGTATCTGTCGCCGGCTCGGTTCAAAATGTAGTCGATGCTGAAGTCACTCATCCTGGCGATCCTTTCGTTGAGCTGGTCAAAGTGCTACTGCTGAGTTTGTTGCGCATCCCCTGGCTATTTATGGCAGGACAACACAATGCCTGAGCCGCCATTTGCATCTGAAGAGTACGAGGCTATCTATCCTTGTCTCGCAGGACGAGACCGGCCCAATCCCAGTGCAAATCTCCTTCGGGAGCAGCGAGGCGTTTAATAGGCGTTTCCCAGCATTCAACATATCAGCCAGCCAGCCAGGTAGGCAACAGAGGCCTGTCCTCCTTTTTACCCTTATCAGCTTGGAGATTATAACCGCAGAGGCAATAAAAAGTATACAACCGAACCAAAACTGAATGAACTGATTGCCTCTGATTACCCATTAAGTGGTAATAGCTTCTGATTATGGTTGGTTCCCGAATTCCCTTACCATAATATAGAATCAATTAGTTTATCGAATAGTATAATATAAGATTTTTCATTATTTTAAAACAAAACAGAGACAAGATAGTTTGGTAGCCTTGTAATAAAAATTATAACTTTGTTTGGCCTAGTTAAAAATTGCGGCCAATGAAGTTCATTCAATCTAATAAAGACTATCTTTTTAATTGTACAATCTTTGTAATATGTTTCCGCTGTCTGAGGGCCAGACTTCCACTTATCAAAAGACTCCGATTTGTTACATTTTTACCCTGTCCCCGATGAACTCATCCGCTGCCATGTTTTCTGGCCCATCCTATCAGATCCCATGCCCAGCAACCATCCCCTTTTCAACCTTACCATGTTAAAACTTAATGCGCGTATATTTTGATTGATTCGTAAATTTGTTTTCCCAACAGTTTCCATTCGCAAAACAAGTTTTGTAGCCACCCTTGCGGCTTCATAAAGTATCAATTTCATTGTTAATTTGAAATAATCATTAGATAGCCGGCATATGGCAAGTACTTGTAAAATAGAAGAGCGTACTGATGGGGTCGGAGATCTGTTCATGACGCCATGTCACGAGTTTATAAATATACAATTGTGTCACTTTACGCTTAAACTGAGTTCTCAACTAGCTTGTTTTATTGGTATAATGATAAATGAGGTTTGATGCCTAACTTCTAAGATGTGTCTACTTCTAAAGACTACTTAAACAAATGCAGTACAACCTGTCGATTTTATTTTCCACGCACTTGGCAGTCTTTTCGTAGGAGCTCACTCTACTTATAGAGGGCATTTCAACCTCCACGGTTTCCGTGGCATTGTTGAAGGAAACTGTGGCCTCGAAGTCCGCACTTCCCTGTTTCACCTTAAACTTGGTTCGATAGACAGCCACCTCGACAAAGGGCGACTCTTCATGGTAGTTCTTATCCAAATCAATTTTCATCTCAGTCCTGTGGATGTAGTGCAGTGTAAGGTTCGCACAAATGCCAGTGAGGTTTCGCTCCTCCAGATATCCGTTGATATTGCGGATAACCAGGGGGGCAATCCGCTCAGTCCACTTGGCTGATACTGTCTTGAACGGCACGCAGGTGCAGTAGTGTTCCGGAATGCCGGCATCCTCGCAGCTTCGCTCCTCATCCGCCACCTCAAAAAGTGAGTGGCATTTGGGGCAACTGGAGGCCCGAGGCCAGCGCGGCGTTTTCTCGGGATTGCCCAATTCGATGAGATGGACCAGGGTGTTGTACAGGTCGTAATTGGAGGTGAGTCGCCGCTTATTCTGCTGCAGAGCACGTGTGTATTCAGGATAGTGAGCTCGGAACCATGGAGGCAAGTAGATGAACATCGTGGGTAGGCGATTCTCCAGGAAACCACTCGGCAAGTCCAAAAGCTGTCCATATCGATTCCCATGATCGGACAGAAATATCACTATGCTTTGCTCGTAAACTCCATCGGCTTCAAAATCTAAAAGGTACTGCAACACGAAGTCTTCCATCTTGGAGGGCATCCGGTAATTGTCGTGACTAAAGCTGTTCGTCCAGAAGAGCCCCCAAATGGGTCTCTCGTCCACATACCGACGCACGAATTCCGATCCAAAATCATAGATATAGCTACTGGTGATCCTCCGGCCTATACAGTACTTCATTGTACACTCAGGACACTTCCATTGGGGCAGTAGCGTCTCGAAGGCCTTTTGGCTGGGACGTTGATAGTAGTCCGTGGGTTGCTCCACAAAACCTGGTTTTACATAGTTAAAAGTACTTATGCTTGGCTCATCTTCTGCGAGGGCCGTTAGGTAGCCCGCCTCCCGAAACAGATTCCACACGAAGGGATATTTATCCATGCAACCCCTTTTTTTGAAATCACAAATATTATCCTTAGCGGAGTCCAGGCTATGGCCAGTCAAGATGGCCATCAGATTGGGAAAGGTGTTATCGCCAATCTAGTAATTAATTTATATCATTATTCAACCTTAAATTAGGGGAAAAATTCTCATAATCCAGCTCTTCACCTTGTTGTATCCTTGCATTTCGTACCAGCCCTTGCGAGTAAGAAAATTGTAAACCTTTGGCATGGTGCGCCTCAGATTAATCCTCGAGAGATTATCAATGCCAAACATGATGACACTCGGCTTGCGTCGCGACGGATCTTGCGAGGATTGGTTCTTGGAAGAGGGCTCTGCATATTGGATGAGTGTAAAGGCATCCGCCTGTAGGATATGCGAGGCATTGCCCAAGCGGTGGCAGGTCGAGACTAGTCCTTGAACATGGCGCGGCACCACAAAGTCCTGCGAGAAGTACTTGGCTTCCTTTCTAAGGATAAACAATAAGGTTTAATAAACTTTTAAATCTTTTCTAAACTCACACATCGTAGCCATCCTTTTTCGCGTTTCGAACCACCTCCTGATAGTAGCAGTTGTATTCAATGTTACTCGAATTAAGAATCTGGGAGGCCAAAGTTTCATTGATATGCAGAACATAGTGCTTAATGGCTTCATTGTAAATCGGAGTAACTAGTCCAGTATCGTTGGAACAGGACTCAAACACCAGTGGCTTGTAAATCGCGGTGGCTGCCGCATCGAAAGGGTCCACATAGGGGATCTTGCACTTGCTGCTGTCAACAAAATAGAGGGTCGGACCCGAATCCTCATCCTCCAAAATGTTGCTCAAATCAGAACTTTTATTATGCAATGACTGCCGAGTAGTATTTTTTTCCTGATATGTTTTTTCTTTAATTATTTCATTTCGCGAATAGGTTCGAGTAGTATTTTCTTTAAGATCTTTTTCAAGTTCACTGTCTTTGGATCTGTAATCCCTTAGAACCAAATTATTATTTGGCAGGATAGATATAATAATCAAGACCACAAAACAGAATGCGAGACATTTATAAGCAAAAATCGGGGATAGCATGTTCTACAGCTAACGAACCCTTAAGGCCAACTGAGGAAGTGCAAACAGTGTTCTGCTTTTAAAACCTTACTAACTAAAATACCTATTCATTGAGTTTTTATCAGAGATTTACGACAAACACAGAATTTAAAAGGCTCGTCAACTTATCAGAAGGAAGCAACCTCAACAATCCATATCATTTAAGCTTTGTTGTCAAGTCGTTTTTTAAACAACTTCTTCTGCCTTTATCTACAAACAATGTTAAAAATGTTTACTGACCTATACTGTCACCTATAGGTATGATCCGATTTTTTTTAAAAATAGATTTCTTTCAAGTTTTAATTATTAGTTCTTGCTCAGTGATAACCCTCTGAAGAAATATAAGAATTGTATCATTTAGTGCCCGTTGCTAAGTATATCGGACAAACCTCCTGATATAAAGGGGGTTATCATAAGTGCTCAAATAAAGCAACCTGATATACTTCCAAGAAACTAATAAAAATTGATAAGGTCGATTTTTGTTAAAATTTTTTGTATTTACGATTTAAAATTATCGGTTGGATTTTATAAAAGTTATTTCCCTTATTCGTATGGTGTGCGTACTTCTCTAGCTTATCTTAATTATGAGAGTTTCTTTATAGATTAATAGGTTCAAGACTCAAGAGTGAAAGTTTTGTGATAAGATAGAGGCATTACAATCTGTACTGGAACTACACAGATATATATTTGTACGCCATTGCAACTAATTTAAGCGATTCTTTGGTAATCTCAGCTGGGCCAATTACCCGGGAATCTGCCAATTGTCGTGTAATTGTTAACTAATTTTCCATTGACACAATCGCCGGGCGGCAATTATCTCTGCGGAAGTGGTAGCGGTTGCCAGCAACCAGTTATCCGGAACAGAGATGGTCCCTAGCGATAGGGAACAATGGCCACGAGATCCGATAGATACAATTAGAGTACTTCTTTTTGCGGTTAAAATGCCAGGCTCAGCAGATGCAGAATTTCTTGGCTTCCTTAACCGAAGTGCAGTGTGATTGACTGTCGTACGATTCTAGCCGACTTATGCTGGGCACCGAGACGGACACTTTTTTCCGGTCGGCATCCCAATCCGCCGTAGCCTCGAATAAGGCACCACCCGGATTCGCATAAAACTGTACCAGATAGGCACTGGAATTGCTCCTGCGCTGGACTGAAGAGGCATTTTTAAGCTTGAGCTTCTGACACTTTTTGGCTCCCTTGTTCTCAGCCAGGAATCCATTGATAGCCTGGACTAGTTGCTCAGCTATGCTTTTGGCAGTGGCATCGTCTTTTGAAACGGGCTGAATGCTATTACAGCCGCACCAATGCTTATCGATTCCTGCCTGGTGGCAACTCCTGGACCAGTCCACCTCCTCGAATATACTGTGGCAGCTGGGACAGCTGTTGGGGCGAGGCAGTTGCTCCACCTTCTTGTCCAGGTCCAGGATGTGCTTGAACATAGCGTAGATGTCGTACGGTGAGGTGAGACGATTCCGATTCGCTTCCAAGCTCTTCACAAAGTGCGGATACTTCTCGCGAATCCATCGGGGCAGGCGGATAAACATAAACGGCAGACGCTCTTCCAGGAAGCCGCTACTCAATCTCCTCAACGGTCCAAATCTGCTGCCGTGGTCACTGAAGAATAAAATGATGGTGTTGTCCATCACACCATTTTTGTCCAACGTCCGCATGTACTTCACCATTCGGTCGTCCATTGAGGATGGCTGGGCGAAGTTGTTGTGGCTGAAGGTGTTTGTCCAGAACATTCCGAAGAAGGTGCGGTTCCGGTTGACCTTGGTGAACTCCACCGCTAAATCGTAGATGTACTCGGAGGCCAGCCTTCGGCCCAGGCAGTGCGGCATTCCACTCTCATAGGTCGCGTTCAGCTCCTTCTCCACGGCCATGACCAGTGGCCGGGCGTACACATCCGTCGGCGGAACGCGAAAGCCCCTTTTCAAGTAATCGAAGGTGGAGAATGGGCTCCAGTCCTCGGCGAATGCTGTCGTGTAGCCCTTGGCCTTGAAGTCTTTCCAGATGAAAGGACAGGCGTCCAAGCCACCTACCTCGTCGGGTCGGCAGCGGGTAATGGCGTAGGTCTTGTTCAACCCTGTGAGCACCGCCATAAGATTGGGAAAGGTATTATCGCCCACCTAAAAGTTAATTTAAGATACTTTTTAAGCTTATCAGTAAATTTTTTTTAGGAACCTTAAATAATCATGAAAAGGCAATTAATTTTTTAGCCTCCAACTGTCTATTTACATTGTTGCCTACCTTATTGTAACCTTGCATTTCAAACCAGTGCTGGGAGGCCAAATACTTGTACATCTGAGGCATCGTCAACTGGAGATTCATCCGGGACACGGAATCAATGCCCAGCAACAGGACACTCGGCCTTCGAGACTCGGTCTTGGTAGAATCATTACGAGGATGGACAAATGCGAAGGCATCGGTTTGCGACACCTTAGTGGCGTTTGACCGACGGCATTCGGTGATCATGGCTTCCACGTCGCGCGGCACTACAAAGTTGTGCTCAAATTTTATGCAAGGATGAAGCCTGAAAGTAGCCTGAGGGTCATTGGTTATCTCTGGATGAGGTTTCGCTAACTTACGTGTAGTGCTGGTCGGCCCCGGTCCTCACTCCTGCCCGCAGGATCCGCTTGTAGCAGCACGAGGCGCTGCTCTCGTTCTTGATCAGACTGTAGGTGCTGTCCGTCCAGTTGTAGTTCACTGTGACCATGTCAGGACTGTGGTCGCACACCGTATAATATTTCTTGTTGTAGATCTTCATAATATTTTTGGCAAACGGATCTGGTTGGAGCATTTTACACTGAGGACTGTTGACAAAATATTTTACGTGCGATTCCGTTTCCAAAGGATAACTTGCATTCGAGATATCCTCCTGTGGATCGTTCTCTAAAAAAATCTCCATATTTGGCTTAGGCTGGGCAGTAAAAGAACTAACACTGCCATTAACATCGGGGGTCTGTTTTTTTTCATTGGGTATATAACTCATTATAGTTTCCTCTGCCTCAAGGTCTATGGAGCTATCGTTTGCTTTTACGATTAAGCCACTCATATTATGCTGTACCCCAACCTGATAACTATTTTGTAACATAATTTCCGAACTATTTAAGGAGTTTTCAAAACTTTCTTGCATAATAGTTGCCCGTTTGAGATCTGAGACTTCCTGAAACGTTGTTGGGAAACTGAACGTAGTGCTCTCAAGCCTGTCCTTGGTAGGATCCCATGTATACAACACTATTGTTAATATTATAAGAAAACACAGAACAAATTTCACTATCCGTTGAAGGAAATAATTATTATTTTCCTCTATCGGTTGCAATTCGTCCACTGCAATTATATGATATTTAATGTTCGACATGATAAAACGGCCTATATCCCAACTTCCGTGCGTAGCTATGAGGGCAAGTGCAGCCCCTATATGTCCGTTCTATTCACGATTCTATTTACAACTGATTCCCGAGTCAAATATCAATGGGTATTATCGCGCGAAAAGTCTCTACCCCCGACGGCTTACATTTAAGGGGTTATACGCAGTAAGAACATTTTAAAAATTAAAATATTATATTCAAATTAACTAGAATATATTATTTATATACTTTTTTTTTAATTTTATACATATTTTAGAAGATATTTATTAAGGCCAAGTCAGAAGGTCAGAGAGTAAATCGTAGGTTCTTCATAGTAGATTATCTTGATTTCTCGAAAACAGCTCAACCGATCAGTCTTTAAATTGTGAACAATAGTCTTAGAAGTATTCATTCTTTTTTGAAGCGTAAACCCCCTTTATCAGAGAAGTCGTCATTTCGAAACAGTAACTACTCATTTTAATGGCAAGTCGTGGCAGCAAGCTCTTCAAAAAGCTTTATTTCAATTAAGATAAACAAAAAGCTATAAAGAATGATGGATGGTGTATATTTAACGATTTTTTAATATTCTTCACATTTTATTTTTAAAGGAGTTTTTGGGGCAAAATCTGTTTGCAAAAGATTTGTAACAATTGAAATTAGAAAATTTTGATAAAATTTCCGCGAGAGTATATTTTCTTGAAAATATTTTTTGTATTATAGCACTCTATTTATACTATTTAATCTGCAAAAATCATTACTCAACATGTATATAAAATTTAAAAATAGGTTACTATCGGCTTTGTTGGAATATAATCACCAAAGTGCTCCGTGGAGATATGCATATTTTCGAAATTAGCATACTTTTTGAATATACAATGGATTTTCAAAAGAGGCGCAAAAAATCACGTTGCACGATAGCTAACGACATCAATGTCATGATTCAAGTCCATGTGCATTGTTCATAATTAGGAGCGTCGAGAAAAGCATGACTGTTGAGCCACCTAGGTGCTAATCACTATTTATTTATTAATAAAAAAAATTGCCAAGGTATATTAGCTTTTGGATCCATAAAAACTAATATTATCTTTCGTTGTTTATTAAAGGTTTTAAAATGTTTATCAATTAAATTACATGTAAAGGAAAGATTCTTCTAAAATCTTCTCTGGAGCGTTAATGTTTTACAATGCGCCGTGAAACGTATTTGATACTTTTAATTTATTCATTAAATCAAAAGCTAACAAAACGAACCAAAATGTACTTATGTATGGTACCCAATCGGATTTGTTTTCAAAATTCAATTTAAAAAAAAAATCTTGTTTATGATGAAAAATATGGTCTGAAAGATATTTTCATTACATCATGTATATTCATATATCCCCTATGATTTGACATTGAAAAATCTATTGCAATAATTCCACTATAATTTTCTTTAAGCAAAGCACGAATGCATTCCTTTTAACAGAAATGAAATGCAAATTTTGTGCCCAAAATCGAAGACTACAAGTAATAAATAAAAGCTTAACTGAAAGCTATGCAGTAATCTATTATAAAATTTTAATAATGGAACTGTTTTTTTTGGCCACAGCCGATTGCGATTGCCCGGAAAGTATCTACCCAATACGATCACCATCCGAAGAGCCTCCCACTCTTACCGCCGCCACCTGTTGGATTTTGAATTAGTTATGATCATTATCATTATCTTATGATAGATTTATTATTTAATTCTGTTAAATTTCGTTTTAGGAGTGAGAAGTACAAAATATCAATATAATCATTAACATTTTCTATCCAAGCTGCTAATAAACGGCGCACTTGTACTCCGGATCCATGGGGGCCTCTTGCGAGCAGTTGTAGACCCAGGAGAATTCCTGAAAGTTAGACAGTGAACCAATGACCCTAAACTTACTGGGAGCATGATTGTCATCTTTGGCCACCGATGACTGAAAAAGTGAATGGACATCGTCGCACCAAAGTTGGGCGTATCCCAGAAAGAATATCTGGCGACTGCTGAGTTCCAGTTCCTTCATGGTCTCTCGCTGCTTCCGCTCCTCCGTCTGGTTTCTCAGCCATTTCTCGTAGGCTATATAGGCAAACTTGACTCCGGCATTGTCCGCTATGTTCTCTGATTGGTCCTCCGTCTCCGGCAGCTCAGATCCAGCATACTTGTAAGCATGGTACTGGGCTTGGAAGCACTTCCTCCGCTCCTCAAATTCATACCGGGACTTAATGTCCCACCAGGGAGCTAAATTGCCGGATGCATCGTAGCTCCGACCTTCGCCATCAAATCCATGGACCATCTCGTGCGCGAGCAGGAAGCCTAAAATTGCGTACTTAAGCGCCTCCGGGTACTCGTCGCCCCAGAAATAGCGAGGCTGAAGAAGGGCCACTGGAATGGTGATTATATTCTCTTGGATATTGTATGCGGGCGTGAAGCTGAGAGTCTGACTGAAATCCAACGAACTGCCAGGCAGTTTTAGCTTTTCTGCGGATCCTATAGCTTTGGCCGAAAGCAAATGCTGGATATTGGCAACGTAGTTGTATCTATCGATTTCCACTTTCCCGAATAGCTTCTCGAAGTCTTCCGAGTCATAGGAGTTGATGTGCAATGCCATACGGTCTAGTTTTTCGATAGCCACCTGCCTGGTATCGTTTGTTATCCAGTCGAGCTTGTCGCCCTTCAGGTGCTCCCGGAAAATGCCCCGAATCTCTTCCCAAACGGAAAACACTTCCGCCTCGGCTTTGGAACTGCGGTACCGTTTGTACACCAGATTCTCAGTGAGCTGGCCAAAGTATTTCTTGGTCTGGTCGACGCACCACTTGGAGAGATCCTTTTCGTTGGCGTCCACAAAGTAGGTCTCTAAAAGGTGCCACAGGATATAGTTAGCCTGCGTGGCAGAAGGAGTGTTCTTCATTAAGACTAAAATGTTGTCCACAAATTCCTCGTCGGTGACGTACAGTTGGTCCGGGATATTCTCCTCGCCGAAAATCAAACCAAAGTACTCGGTGAAGTTCAGATAGGAGATGTACTTCTCCTCCAACTCGGCCATTGTATAGAGCGAAACACTATCCTCTAATGTGTTAGAGGAGACCCCTTCGAAAAGCTTTTCGTCAAAGCTATTAAGATTTTTGGCAATGTTCTTAGCTTCCTTCGCTTCCACGCCGAGGTAGTCCTGCAGATCCTTCGATATTCTGGCTTCCTCTAAAATATCCATTAGGCGAGAGCCGCTGAATTTGGACCGATCAGGAGGATTGAGATAGACTCTGTTTAGCGACGTATTTTTTATGTCGTGCATTATGTCAACGGCGAGAATAAGGTTCTTGCCATACTTCTGATGGATATGGGCCTCAGTTCGCCACCAATTGAAGGCGGAAGAGTTCCATTGGTCACCGGCCACTGCCGGCATTTCACCAAACTCCCGGTAGACATTCTCGAGAGCCACCTTGTAGAGAACATCATCTCGGTTCACGTTGGCGCAGGACAGAAAGAATCGTTGCATTTTCTTTTCCAGTTCTGATTGAAGTGACTGGGAGCGTAATATACGCAACAGTCGTCGATTAAAGCCATCTAAAAGCAGCTGAAAACTGTCAGTCATCGCCTTACCCAGCAGCAGGGCAGGATTCTGACGATTCCAGTTGCCGCAGGCATACTCGTAAAAGTTGTCGCAAGGCGCCGCCTCCGGCTTCATCATGCCTTTCATCTCTGCCACCTTGGCGGCGAGGATGATTCCTTTGGCGTACTCCGAGGTTAGGTCATCGGCAAATACGTTCTCTGTGTCCGTTGGCAAGGCCAATATCGGAACTTGTAGGATGAAGAGCAACCACAGACGACTGATCATAATTCCGCGCTAAATTCAACTGATTCTCTGAGCTCTCTGCATCGCTGTCGTCGGTGGGTGCGGGCTTATCAGCGGCTTTTGCTTATACAATCTCCAGAGTGCTGGGGTAGGTCAACTCCTTATCTCCTCATGTTTCCGCCGACTCTTATGATTCTCCCAATGTCATGTAAATCCTCTCTTAAATATATATTTTGAATCCCATTCCGATTTTCCTGGCCTTTCCCAGCCATGCCCCTCTTTTATTTCCCGGCCTGGTGCCCCGATACAGGTCCCCGTTTTTGGGAGAGGGAAAACCAAAGCACTGCTCGGATGCGGAACCACAAGTTTATTTAAAGATTCTATGACATATATGACGTAAGTTTGTAGACGGCGGGGCAATCTCGGTAATCTCAGTACATGGCACATCGGTGAGCGGGGCTTAGCTTAGTCTGATTGCCGCATTGGAAGGCCTCGGCGAAGGACTTGCTGTTGGCCATCATGACGAATACCCGCGACTCGTTCGGCGGATGGACGCTATTCCGGACAAATGCTGGGCGCCGATCCTCGAGTATATCGGTGCACATCGACTGTGCCACACTGAGGTAGAACAATTGCTGTGGTGTCTGCGACATATTGGGCAGTGTCTCCGTGTCCGGCACTTTGGATTGCAGCTTCAGCCACTTGGTGTATGTGGCATAAGCTAGGCGGATGCCCACATTGTCGGCTATGTTCTCACCCTGGGCCTCCATTTTGGGCAGCTTCAAGCCACTGTAGTGCAAATCGGCAAACTGATCCGCCAAACAGTTCTTGTCGTGGTCGAAGATCAGCTTCGTATCGGGGCTCCTGGAATCGCGGAGGTTGCCATGGTTGTCGTACAGCCGGTTGAGATCGTCGAAACCATGGGCCATTTCATGGCCCAAGAAGAATCCCAAAGTCCCGTATCTGAGGGCCGTGGGATAGGCGTCGTCCCAGAAGTAGCGGTGTTGCATGTACATGGCTGGCAGCACCACCAGATTCGCCTCGTCGTCACATAGAAAGGCGAATCGATGAAGCCATCGTAGTAGTTTTCGCTCCGGGAACTCCGCATCAGATCCGCCTTCAAGTGGGCCGCCTGAACGGCCAGCAATCGTTGGACATTGCCGTAGAAATCAGCCGAACTGATCACCAAGGCACCGTACTGCTCCTCAAAATTCGTGGGCTTGCCGCCGGCTATCTCGAAGGTCATATCCTTGAGTTTCTCCAGCAGATCGTCTTGCGTCGGTTGCTTCAGCCATTTCACGCCGTCAGAGCTCAGTATCTCCTGAAAGGTGGCCTTAAGCTCCCTTAAGCTATGATACCCAATCGCAAACATTTTCAAAATCCAATTAAGAAAATTTATATTTTTGTAAAAATTGTTTAAAAAAAATACTTCCAAAGCTTCTTCAAGTGTCTATAGATTAAGATGTAAAATATGGTCTGGTAGATATTTTCATTACATCACATATGTATATACATACATACATATATATATCCTATATGAATTGAAATTGAATAATCTATTGCAATAATTCCATTATTATTTTCTTCAAGCCAAGCACCAATGCATTCCTTTGAACAGAAATAATAAATCAAATTCTGTCAAAATCCCAAACTCGAAGACTACAAATAATAAATGAAAGCTTAAATGAAAGCTATTTAGTTATCTATTAAAAAATTTTAATAATCGAACGTTTTTTTAGGCCACAGCCGATTGTGATTTTTTTTTTCGGAGAGTATTTACCGATTGCGATTGCCCGGAGCGATCATCATCCAAAGAGCCGCCCAATCTACCCGCCGCCACCTGTTGGAGTTGGCTACTCCACCCTGGTCACGAAGGCGTGTTCGCTGCTTCCATTGGATTTTGAATTAGTTTCTCAACTCCTCATTATCTTATGATAGATTTATTATTTAATTATTTTAAATTTTGTTTTAGGAGTGACAAGTACAAAATAACAATATAATCATTAATATTTTCTATCCAAGCTTCTAATAAACGGCGCACTTGTACTCCGGATCCATGGGGGCCTCTTGGGAACAGTTGTAGGCCCAGGAGAATTCCTGAAAGTTAGACAGTGAACCAATGACCCTGAACTTACTGGGAGCATGATTGCCATCTTTGGCCACCAATGACTGAAAAAGTGAATGGACATCGTCGCACAAAAGTTGGGCGTATCCCAGAAAGAATAACTGGCGACTGCTTAGGTCCAGTTCCTTCATGGTCTCTCGCTGCTTCCGCTCCTCCGTCTGGTTTCTCAGCCATTTTTCGTAGGCTATATAGGCAAACTTGACTCCGGCATTGTCCGCTATGTTCTCTGATTGGTTCTCCCTCTCCGGCAGCTCAGATCCAGCATACTTGTAAGCATGGTACTGGGCTTGGAAGCACTTCCTCCGCTCCTCAAATTCGTACCGGGACTTAATGTCCCACAAGGGAGCCAAATTGCCGGATGCGTCGTAGTTCCGACCTTCGCCATCAAATCCATGTACCATCTCGTGGGCTAGCTGGAAGCCCAAAGTGGCGTACTTTAGCGCCTCTGGGTATTCGTCGCCCCAGAAATAGCGAGGCTGAAGAAGGGCCACTGGAATGGTGATTCTATTCTCTTGGACATTGTATGTGGGCGCAAAGCTAAGAATCTCGTTGGCATCTACCGAGACGCCTGGCAGCTTAAGCTTTTCCTCGGATCCCATAGCTTTGGCCGAAAGCAAATGCTGGATATTGGCAACGTAGTTGTATCTATCGATTTCCACTTTCCCGAATAGCTTCTCGAAGTCTTCCGAGTCATAGGAGTTGATGTGCAATGCCATACGGTCTAGTTTTTCGATAGCCACCTGCCTGGTATCGTTTGTTATCCAGTCTAGCTTGTCGCCCTTCAGGTGCTCCCGGAAAATGCCCCGAATCTCTTCCCAAACGGAAAACACTTCCGCCTCGGCTTTGGAACTGCGGTACCGTTTGTACACCAGATTCTCAGTAAGCTGGCCAAAGTATTTCTTGGTCTGGTCGACGCACCACTTGGTCTCTTTTTGTTGGCTTTCACAAAGTAGGGGTCCAGAAGGTGCCACAGGATATAGTTGGCCTGCGTGGCAGAAGGAGTGCTCTGCATTAAGGCTAAAATGTTGTTCACAAACTCCTCGTCGACGACGTACAATTTGTCAGGGATATTCTCCTCCCCGAAAATCAAACCAAAGTACTCGGTGAAGTTCAGATAGGAGATGTACTTCTCCTCCAACTCGGCCATTGTATAGAGCGAAACGCTATGCTCTAATGTGTTAGACCTGACCCTTTCGAAAAGCTTCTCGTCAAAGCTATTAAGATTTTTGGCTATGTCCATAGCTTCCTTCGCTTCCACGCCGAGGTAGTCCTGTAGATCCTTTGAAATAATGGCTTCCTCTAAAATATCCATTAAGTGAGATCCCCTTAATTTGGTCCCGTAGCGAGAAGGAAGACGGAGATAAACTCTGTCATGCATTATGCCCACGCCGAGAATAAGGCTCTTGCCATACTTCTGATGGATTCGGGCATCTGTTCGCCACCAATTGAAGGCGGAAGAGTTCCATTGGTCACCGGCCACTGCCGGCATTTCACCAAACTCTCGGTAGACATTCTCGAGAGCCACCTTGTAGAGAACATCGTATCGGTTCACGTTGGCGCAAGACAGAAAGAATCGTTGCATTTTCTTTTCCAGTTCTGATTGATGTGACTGGGAGCGTAATATACGCAACAGTCTTCGATTAAAGCCATCTAAAAGCAGCTGAAAACTGCCAGTCATCGCCTCACCCAGCAGCAGGGCAGGATTCTGACGATTCCAGTTGCCGCAGGCATACTCGTAAAAGTTGTCGCAAGGCGCCGCCTCCGGGTTCATCATGCCTTTCATCTCTGCCACCTTGGCGGCGAGGATGATTCCTTTGGCGTACTCCGAGGTTAGGTCATCGGCAAACACGTTCTCTGTGTCCGTTGGCAAGGCCAATATCGGAACTTGTAGGATGAGGAGCAACCACAGACGACTGATCATAATTCCGCGCTAAATTCAACTGATTCTCTGAGCTCTCTGCATCGCTGTCGTCGGTGGGTGAGGGCTTATCAGCGGCTTTTGCTTATACAATCTCCAGAGTGCTGGGGTAGGTCAACTCCTTATCTCCTCATGTTTCCGCCGACTCTTATGATTCTCCCAATGTCATGTAAATCCTCTCTTAAATATATATTTTGAATCCCATTCCGATTTTCCTGGCCTTTCCCAGCCATGCCCCTCTTTTATTTCCCGGCCTGGTGCCCCGATACAGGTCCCCGTTTTTGGGAGAGGGAAAACCAAAGCACTGCTCGGATGCGGAACCACAAGTTTATTTAAAGATTCTATGACATATATGACGTAAGTTTGTAGACGGCGGGGCAATCTCGGTAATCTCAGTACATGGCACATCGGTGAGCGGGGCTTAGCTTAGTCTGATTGCCGCATTGGAAGGCCTCGGCGAAGGACTTGCTGTTGGCCATCATGACGAATACCCGCGACTCGTTCGGCGGATGGACGCTATTCCGGACAAATGCTGGGCGCCGATCCTCGAGTATATCGGTGCACATCGACTGTGCCACACTGAGGTAGAACAATTGCTGTGGTGTCTGCGACATATTGGGCAGTGTCTCCGTGTCCGGCACTTTGGATTGCAGCTTCAGCCACTTGGTGTATGTGGCATAAGCTAGGCGGATGCCCACATTGTCGGCTATGTTCTCACCCTGGGCCTCCATTTTGGGCAGCTTCAAGCCACTGTAGTGCAAATCGGCAAACTGATCCGCCAAACAGTTCTTGTCGTGGTCGAAGATCAGCTTCGTATCGGGGCTCCAGGAATCGCGGAGGTTGCCATGGTTGTCGTACAGCCGGTTGAGATCGTCGAAACCATGGGCCATTTCATGGCCCAAGAAGAATCCCAAAGTCCCGTATCTGAGGGCCGTGGGATAGGCGTCGTCCCAGAAGTAGCGGTGTTGCATGTACATGGCTGGCAGCACCACCAGATTGGCCTCCGTCACATAGAAGGGCGAATCGATGATACCATCGTAGTAGTTTTCGCTCCTGGAACTCCGCATCAGATCCGCCTTTAAGTGGGCCGCCTGAACGGCCAGCAGTCGTTGGACGTTGCCGTAGAAGTCCGCCGAACTGATCACCAAGGCACCATACTGCTCCTCAAAATTTATGGGCTTGCCGCCGGTTATCTCGAAGGTCATATCCTTGAGTTTCTCCAGCAGATCTTCTTGCGTCTGTTGTTTCAGCCATTTCACGTCGTCAGAGCTCAGTATCTCCTGAAAGGTGGCCTTAAGCTCCCGCCACAAATTGCTTAGATCGTTGGGTATATGCGGACTCTGCTGCTCCAGCGAGTTATAAACCAGGTGATCCACCACATCGGGCATTAGATGGGTCAGTCGCTCGGCACAGATCGCCTTCTGATTCCTCTCATCCACCAGGATTTCGTAGTCTCTCAGCAAGCTCGAGAGCATGTAGTTGGCCAGTATCCTCTTGGGAGTGCTGGTGAGGAGCTTTTTTAGCTGGGAGAGATAGCTGCGCACGCTTTCGTAAACGGGCAGATTGTAGTCGTGACCGAGCCAAGTTTGCACAAACCGGGTCATGTTTAAAACACTTCCATAAGTATCAGTCATGTTGCTTAGCAGGGTCAGACGATTCCTTAGCCTGGGATCGCGGTCCTGGCTCCAGTCCTGCACATGACGCGACAGCTCCGCTTCCAGTTCAACGATCTCCTCAGCCGTTTTGAGTGCATGGCTACCCGGCAGTCCGAGTAGACTTTGCAACCGCATCTGAATCTCCAGCTTTTTGGCCAACTTTGATGACTCGTCGATCGGCACAAGATCGTTCCTTTGGCCCAAATATAATCGATTGATCTGCGAGTTTTTGTAATCCGGCGCGACGTAGACACCGAGTAGAGTTAGCTTTCCATATCGGCTCAAAAGTTGGGCCATCGTTTCCAGCGGATCAAAGTCGATGCCAGTCCAGGCATCGCCTTCCACGGCGGGCATTCCTCCAAACTCCCTCAAGACACTGATGATCCGGCTACGCTGGTGGATCCTCAGAGCCGTCGTGTCCAGGCAGGACTCGTAGAAGTATTTTACACGCGTCTCCATGGGCCAATCTGTGCTCATTCTGGGCTGGTTTAGCAGATGCCTTACCCTCCGCAAGTAGCTGGCGAACATGTCCTGACCAACACTAGTGTCCTTCTCCTTGGTGGCGCCGTTTATACGCGCAAAGCTTCCACAGGCATACCCGTAGAAATCGTCACAGGGATCGGCTGCGGAGTCCATGAAGGAGAGCATTTGCGCCGACTTGGCACTCCGCATGATCTGTTGCCCCTGGGGTGTGGTCAGGTCCTTGAACACGCTTCCATGAACGGCGGCGCCGGAAGGTTGTTGAGTTAATGCGATTAAGATTATGAGGCAGCAGGTGGAAGCCCGGACGTAGTCCATCGTGTTTTGTGTTGGAGCTTCGATTTCATACTGAGCTGCCTTATCGGGGCTGCACCACTATCACAGCTTCCGCTCTCCATTTTTTGTTTATTTTGTTTATTGCTTTTCTCCTGGTCATAGCCACTAATCTCTGCTCCCGCCGGTGCTCTAGTGGCTCATCGCCATCTCTTATTGCCTTCCTCTCCCTCGCAGACCATTACAATTGGAGGGGTCTTATGTTTTGTTTGTATTTTACTTATTTTTTAGTCAGGTACCTCCATCCCTAAAGATAGATTGTCCATCAGCATGCGGTTCATCCCTACTCCACAGCCACATTTTCCTCCCACATCAATCTAGATTCTAGATTCTAGATATACTCTGCATGCTGCACGCTTTTCCCAATTTTGGAGGGAAAAATTGACAAAAAATTGAAATAAAATTTCTATCAGAGATTTTAATGCAGAATTGTAGCAAATCGATCTACAAATCATTTAAGACATTCCTCTCAAAGATCGGATCAAAATTGGCAAAGATAGAGGCATCGCCGTGGGCCATATAAGCAGTTCTTAGGCTTTTCCCAATTTTGAAGGGATTCCATGGGAAAAATTGACAAAAAATTTTAAAAAAATTTCTATCAGAGATTTTAATGCAGAATTGTAGCAAATCGATCTACAAATCATTTAAGACATTCCGCTCTAGGATCGTATCAAAATTGGCAAAGATACAGACATCGCCGTGGGCCATATAAGCAGTTCCTAGGCTTTTCCCAATTTTGAAGGGATTCCATGGGAAAAATTGACAAAAAATTGAAATAAAATTTCTATCAGAGATTTTAATGCAGAATTGTAGCAAATCGATCTACAAATCATTTAAAACATTCCGCTCAAGGATCGGATCAAAATTGGCAAAGATAGAGGCATCGCCGTGGGCCATATAAGCAGTTCTTCCGCTTTTCCCAATTTTGGAGGGAGTCCATGGGAAAAATTGACAAAAAATTGAAATACAATTTCTATCAGAGATTTAAATGCAGAATTGTAGCAAATCGATCCACAAATCATTTAAGGTATTCCGCTCTAGGATCGGGTCGAAATTGGAAAAGATACAGACATCGCCGAGGGCCATATAAGCAGCTCATACGCTTTTCCCAATTTTGGAGGGAGTCCATGGGAAAAATTGACAAAAAATTTAAATAAAATTTGTATCAGAGATTTTAATGCAGAACTGTAGCAAATCGATCTACAAATCATTTAAGGTATTCCGCTCTAGGATCGGGTCAAAATTGGCAAAGATACAGACATCGCCGTGGGCCCTATACGCAGTTCTTAGGCTTTTCCCAATTTTGAAGGGAGTCCATGGGAAAAATGGACAAAAAATTTAAATAAAATTTGTATCAGAGATTTTAATGCAGAATTGTAGCAAATCGATCTACAAATTATTTAAGACATTCAGCTCAAGGATCGGATCAAAATTGGAAGTTATATAAGTTATCCAGTCGGGTTTCAAGAAGATGACAGCAAAAATATAATTAACTTAAAATATGTACATTGCTTGCATTTTTTACTTCAAAAATGTAATTATTATTTGCAAGTATTAGACAAAGATATAGCCTTCCTTATATCCACTAAAAGGTAGATGCACATCAACCTGCAAAAGAGCACTCAAAGAACAACTGGTTTTTTGTTTGTTTTTATTTCAATAATTTAAGTCATTTAAAAATGTACATGTACACAAAACTTCATAAATAATAAATGTTTAAGAAACGCATTACAAATGCTATGCATGTACAATATCCAAATATGCCAAAGGTTTCGTTTCATCCTCCCGACTGGCAACCAAAAAGTTTCCAGCCCCTGGGGAAGTAAAAATGCAGTTGCATCTTGACAAAAAGTACACAATTTCGGTTTTAGTTTTAGTTTGTTATACATAGCATAAATTACATAGTACATTCAATTTGTAATGTCCTTTCACGTTTACACTTATTGTTCTGTTCTTACGACTTTTAACTAAGTTTTCTGTTACATATTCTGTATGTAGGCATGTCTGCATATTCTATACCGGTCCGATGGGGTCCGTATTGCTACTGTTGGTGAGTTGATTGGTAGGTTGGTTGGTTGATCGGTATATATCCATTGCTTATAAGATCCAATGCATAATACCTTGGATGCCGCGCTATTCGATTAACGAATAACGCATAGATCGGCGATTGCTCATATAACAATTCTAATACATATGTATGGTAATAATTTCATCAACGACTGTTTTTACTTTAAACGCAATCCGCGATGCGTTCCTGTTCCTAACTTCGCTGTTAATCTATATATATGTAAATACATATACGTATATGCTTTTATGTATATATATATATTTGCTTAACGACTTCCTATAGTGCCCGCCAGTCCGCCAGTCCGCCTTACGCGTTGATGTTTTCTACATAATTCGCCGGATACAAGCCGACGCGCCCATTCATACGTCCCTTGCACCAGCCTTGTTCGTCTTCATCTTCAAGCTTCTCGAAAACATCACCTGAAAGTGCAAAGCAACGAGGGATTAGCAACGTCATCATATGGAAGGCTTCGGCATTAGTATCGCGCTATGCCTCGCCAACCCCAGCCGTGTCACGCACCTTGTTTGAATGTGAGCTCATCACTCTCAGCGCCCTCGTAATCGTAGAGCGCTTTGACCGGCACGCCCGGCTCACCGTTGTCCACCAGCACGTTGTCGGCCTCATCCCACTCCTCCTCCTCCTCGAACGGATTTGTATCTACTTTGCCGTTGCCATTGCTGCATGTACATATACAAATTGAAATCAATTAGTTCAATGAAAATGAGCGCATTCAACGCGACGTGTCTCCCAGCAAGCAGTCGAGTGTAATTCAAAACAATACAAACTGTTTCAACTTACGTTACGCTCGAATTCCGATTCGAAGCCGCCACCGTTGCTGCTGCTGCTGCTGCCGTCGTCGCAGTTGTAGCTGCTACCGCCGACGCTTTGGCTTCGGATGTGGTGCTTGAAGACTGGGTGGCCGATATTTCGCTCTTCATGCTAGCTCTGCTGCTGGCACTGCCCACGGTGCTGGCGGTGTTCTTCTTCAGGCTATTGGTTGGGGGGTATTCCTGCTGGTATAAAATATTCTCAGTTAGTTTCGCTAGTTAGTTAGATACTTAGATAAGTAGACAACGCTTACGTGCACATCCTCAGCCACAGGTCGCTGATTGATGAGCGTGATGGGTGCTGCCGGCAGTGCTTCTTTTGATTTGTTGCCCTTGGCAATGTCACGGAACTCCTCCGTATATTCCTATTATTAAAATGACAAGAATATATATTAAAATATGGTAGTTTGGATCTATGCTCGCCATCACTATAAACTCACCACAAATGCCGGCCAGTTCATAGCCATGTTAATACCATATTTATTCGACCAAAACTTGAGGTCTTTTTGCTGGTCCGCATTGTTGATGGTGTGGTAGAATTCTTCGTAGATTTGGGGCAGGCTATTAATTAATGAAAACCATTAATATTATTATCTTAAGTTATTAAGTTGGATGAGCTATACCTTTGCACTTTGGTTAGGTCCAGACAGGCGTGCACATTGAACAGGATCTCTTTGAAGAACTCCATCCGCGTCTTTTCTAAAGTTTGGCACTTGTCGAACACAGATGTCATGTCCTCGATGTATACAGAATTGTATTTGGTGATTTCGGCAATGGCTTGCTCGTACTTCTCCCGACACTTTTGCACTTGATCTTTGGTTTTCTGCACTCGATCGTGCATTTTCTTTACCTGCCGAAATTTAAGGAAAATTAATAAAGGTTTCAAACTGGTTATATATATGTCTCACCTGATCCTGCGATAGTGAGCTGTCGGCATTAGCATTACGCTCCTGGTTGGTGGCACTGCGCTCCGTCTTGCAGGCCGAGTGGTAGTCCGCCTTGGCCTTCTCCACCTTGGCCAGGAGCTTGGCCCAGGGCTTCTGGGCCTTCTTGAACAGATCCTCCAGGTCTTTGCGCTCCTTGATCTGCATTAGCGTGTGGTGGTAGTTCTCCTTCTGCCAGGTTTTGATCTGGGTATTGACATCGTTGCAGAGGTTGTCCTTGATCTTCATATGGACGTCGCAGATGCGCTCCGATTCCGTCAGCACGCCCTTCCAGGCCGCCTCAGTGGTGCCGTACTCCGGTCCTGCAAAATATCTCCCATTAATAAATCTATTCGCAATTATTAATAGATTACAAGTTTGTCACCGAGCTGACGTCATCATGGGGCCCTTGAGGTAAAATGGGCTTATCTAATCAGCCACAGACGCCGCAACTGTAGCCGCAAAACCAAATATCGAGAAGCGTATCATGTTGAGCGTGTATGGGTGTGCCGATCGAGCCGTGGAACACCGTGGAGGAACATTTTTGGAATTTTTTATTGGGCGCTAACAAAGAGCGAGCGCCCCAACCGCAATCAAATTTATATGATGGTCGGACTTATAATTGGCGATGCACGAAACTTGTTTGCTTAACGACTCACTAGTATTCCCAATCGGATGAGCCACCTGCCTCCCCTGCCGTACCCCCACCGCCTGACACACTCACAGAGACACAATATATAGAAATTGAGACGCTTAGCACAGAAATAACTCGTTCTATTTTCCCCAGTCGCATTGATTTTCGAAACCATTTCAAGCGACGCTTTGGCTTTGGTGCCGGTTTGGTGCTCCGATGTGGGCCGGGTAATGGGCCACTGGTCAAGCGCTTCTGCTTCTACTATCTGTATCTGTATTTCTATCTGTCTCTGTGTCTGTATCTGTATCTATAGTGTGTGTGTGTGCGTAGTATCTGTAAGTGTATCTTTGGCTAGACGCAGCTAGGCAAATTCCGCACAAATACTCTTCTAGGATGGGGAGGGGTGGATGAGCGGTAGAGGAGGCAGGTAACCAGCCACTTTTGCAATTGCCCACTGCTGGTTACTTGTGAAAGTGGACACGGAGAATTCCGTGCAGAGGCGGTCACAGCAGCAATGAGGCAAAGCGGTTTCCAACTTTGCAAGCTCTGTACTCAATTTCATTTCAACGAAGAACCCGGCACACTGTCCCGGATATCCGCCAAAAACAGGGCTGGGAGACCCCAATTAGCCAGATAAGCTACTGGAATTCAGTTATTGGCAGGGAAATAATGGGAAGAAGCTTATCAAGAATCGAACTAGCTTGTTATGACATTGTTTTGGACATAAAAGATACTTTATTTGGCCTTGTTTTTGGTTAAAACAAACTATAGATTTCCTCGATATCTTTATCTTTTTCCCCAACTAACCGTGAAAAGCACTCTGCTTCCTGTAGAAATCTCATTTTTGCGGATAAACAAACCCATAAGTAATTCATGGCTCATTAACATATTTTAATAAATTGGGCAGGCATTTTTGAACCACAGTGCGAAGCTTTTTGTACCGACAAAAAAACGAGGTAACAACAAAAAAAAATGCCATTAATAGCTTAAGCCACTTATCGCACAACGGCAAGAACAACAACACCAATGGATGGGCCAGAATGATGTACAGAGAGCCAGCGGGCAGGGCGGAAGACAACGTGACGCTTCTGCTGACGCCTCAACTGCCAGCGGGTCAGTTGCTGCTCCACTGGGCCGGTGACACGCCTTCTGCCGCCTGCCTCCACCCTCAAGCTTCCCAAGCGAACAAAGTACATGTGTAAACACATGACCAGGGGTTACATGATGATAACTGAGAGTGGGTCTCTGGGCAAGACCACCCACAATTCGCACTTACCTTTCTCAATGAGTTCAGCCCATTTCTTGGACCAGGCCCGCAAGCTTTTCGCGTATCCCTTCTCGATGTCGGCCCGCTCCTGCACCAGTTGCTGTAGGTCATTGCAGAGTCTGCGTACGGAATGAGACAAAAATCAAAATAATGTAAACCGGTTTGGGTTTTTTGGTTCGGATATGGGTATGGGTATGGGTATGAGTATGGGTTTCGACGGATTCAGCTGGCAATGACCCAGCGGGACAAGTGTTTGAGAGAGTACACAGAGAGAAAAACTAACAAAATGGTCATTTGTGAGATTCATGATAGAAAGTTGAGTTCTGAGCTTAGATTTTCTCTCTGGGTTTTTATAGTTTTGGTGGAAACTCACTTGTATCCATCTTCGATTCGCTTTGTGGCGCGTTTATAGTTTCCGGGCTCCCAGAAGGACTCGCTTCCAGCCTGCAGGAGCTGGTCATCGCTGTGGTGGGACATTTCCTGTTCAGATCCAATGACGATGTTAGAATCAAAGATAAACTCTAATGGGTTTATTCATAAAATATATGAGATTATGTTACGTAAATAGACGGATGCGATAAACAACGTTTAACCACAGAAGAGCAACAACAACAACAACAATAGCACGCTTTGTTTATAAGCAAATTTGTATTTTTTTTTGTAGTGTTTATCTTAGCTTGCCGAACAATAATGTACTCCGAACGATTGTTTGCCTAATTTGCTTTTTGGTATTCGATTAAGAAATTCCTGAAGCACTGAAGCAACAGGTAGAACTTTAATTTGGAGGTTTGTGCTTGCTCCGAAAGTGTGCCCAATTGATAAGGCTTATCGCGGAGGGTGGCTTAGATTCAGATGACTCATTAGACTAGACTGAAGGAGGAGGAGCTGCGAGGAGCAATATCTTATCATGCGATTGCTTCACTGGAGGAGTTTCCTGCATAATCCCTCCCGCCCAGCTGTTTGTAAACAATGCCCAATGCACATTGGCCGCATATAACGGTTGCTATCAGCAGCAGACCCACTCACTCACTGCCTCCCCGACCGGTTACTGGCGGCCACTGTGCATCGTAGTCATTGGGGAATTTAATCACCACACACCGAACACAAACCGCTGGATTGATGGATGACAGGGTGGGCGAGTCTTGAGATTTTGTGTTGTGGTGTGCTTTGATTTGTCAGCGATTTGTTGTCATCATCATTTTCATTGCCATCGATGCGCTTACGATGCGATGCGCGATGCTTGTCTTGGTCTGGCCATCAGGTTTTTCTAGCTTGGAAAATATTTTATGGCCACTGCTGTTGCTGTCATAGACTTATTTAGCATGGCGGGCTCTGGCGCTTTTCGCGAGTAGAAATTTCCAACAGAAAGTTTACAAACAGGTTGACGCATACTTCGCATATTTGAGAAGATAGATAAGCAGCAACTTTACGGCGCTTCCAATACATCTATCTTCACACATACAGGCACATATACACTTTCGGCTAACACACACGTCGGGCACCGTGGGGCCGATAAGCGGCAGCCACCTGCCCTGCCCCTGCCCCCTCCCTCCCGATCGTCCACAAACTAGTTTTATCTCAAAGATTGAACTTCTCGTTCCGTTTACTGTAAATATTTTCATCTTATCCAGGTAGACCTTACATAAGGTCGCATTGCTATTAAACAGCAGTGCCTGCTTAGATATTTTTTGCACTAATTTTCGAGAACGAAGAGCACCTTCTGACCGATTGGGTGTCTGTTGTTGCCACACGCACACTAGCTCAGGGAGAAATTCCGCTACACCCCAGCGTTTACACGAAATGTTCTAAGTCCGTTCGGAGCGTGGCTCCTTTTGTTGTTGCTGCTGCTGCTTCACCTTCCCAAGGTGTTTTGATAAACAGGTATACGCGACCGTAACGCCCACCGTTGGGTGGCGGAGGAGCACCTACCAAGTAACAAAATAGCGAAAAGCACTACACTCGAGTGGGTCTGAGAAAAATATCGCGTATCCGTATCCGTCCAATTAAAAAAAAAGTCGCGGAATAGAGATGGGAGTTTCAGAGCAGATAGTTTTCATCGGTATTCTTTGGTATTTTTCAGTCAGCTGGTTTTAACGTTTCTGTTTTGCCTCACCATTCTAACCGGTTCAAATATTTCGACATATATATTTCAATAGATATATTTAGCATCTTAACTTCCATTATGTTAAATAATAATCTATATTTAAGCTCATATAGCAGCTATATAATTGTAAATAAAAAAATACCTAGTTCTCTGAAAAAAAAAGTTATCGAAACGGTTATTCGTTTAAACGGTTTTAGTTTTCGCGCTCAACTTTCATTTTAGTTATATTTTTTAAAAAACCATTATATATCTTTATCCTACAATACAATACAATATATACTATACCTTACTACCAACTACATGCCAAAATGATTGCATTATAAGACTTATGGGCTCGATTATAGCGTCCATCTGACCAGCCTGCCAACCAACAAACACAACAGGACAAAACAGTACGGGGTGTAATTAAAAACAAAATTTTTATTTTTCTGACAGAAAGTTCAAAGGACCTCCTCCCGCGCCACATAAGACAGCATAAACTCAATCTTTCGCACCAGCTGCGACAGCTTTGTGCGGTCTAGTTCCACGCTACCGCTGGCCAAGGCGAATAGCTTCTGAAACTCGGCCTCCTGTGGATTCTTTCGTTTGATCAACGCCTTTGTCTGCTGCAATAGGTGAAGGACATCGCTCAAGGCAGCGAGTTTGTTTGTCTTTGTGGCCATAAGCTGGCGGGCATCTTGCTGCAGCTGCTCCCTACTCTCCACCAAAAAATTTGAACCACCTCCGGCACTTCCTACAGCAGCAGCCCCTGCCGGACTGTTGCCCGTGGTGATGGCTTCCATTTCCACGGACACAATCGCATCCTCGGCATCCTCGAAGTTTGTGCCATACTTAAGAGTGGCACTGAGATTTACCAGATGGGCCACCGCCTCGCTGGCGTTGGTCCGCTGCTCGCCACCAAAGAACCGTGCTACACACGCATAGGCGCTAATGATATTCCACAGATTGCAGTGCAGGCAAGGCGAGGGTTCTTTTTTGCAAATGTCCGAAAACTTGGCTATGTTTTTGTGTATCTCAGGAATGGGATTTTCTTTCTTGGCCTCTTCTTCGGGCGTGCGAATGACAACTATCTTGGAGTTCTTCGGTTTCAGCCACCAAGGCTTGTAATCGGGCATCAGCTTCATGATGTCTCCATTGGTGATCAGTTTTTGAAACTCCTCCTGCTCCTCTGCCGTCAGCCTGCTCCACACTTCATCGGCGTCGTTGATATCGATGCCTTTGAGTCTTGAGGCGATGTCTTCTTCGAATTCCTCCTCAATAGGTTCCCCAGGCACACGATCTTCCCCATCGTCATCGTCCTCTCCTTCCGGTTCTTCGTTATCATCCGAATCTATGGAGTTTTCCAGACCGTCGGCATCAAAATCCTTGGGATTGAAGCCGGCATCTGTTTCTCGCATTCTTCTAAGAATATCGTAGATCTTTCGCATATCCTCCTGGCTTTCCGGAGTAGTTGTAGCTCCCGCCAGTTCGTCCTGAATGCAGGACTTGTAGAACTCTTCGGAGCATTTCAGATGCTCCTTTGACTTGTAGCATCCCACGCTGCAGTACAGGGCGTTGCACTTTGGACAGGTGTACTTGAAGGCATCTGTCCGGCAGCTGTAGGTATTTAAGGTAACTTTATAATTTTAAGGACTTTTATTTTAAACTTTAAAATAAGAACTTACAAGTGACACTTTTCCTCGGCCTCCGACATGGCTTGTATCTCGATGTAAACAAACGCGGTTTCCTAAACAGCTGTTGGAGTTGGTGAGACCGTGGCCCGTAGATACAAAAATACCAAGCTCATATATTGGGGTTTTTTTTTGTTTTAAAAAATAAACATGCTTAAGTTATATACTATAAGAATTGGATTTAAAGTTGCATTAATTTTAAACAAGTATATTATTTTCATTAGTCTATAAGACATTTTCTACAAAGGGTATAGAATACCAGAATATAAAAGAATTTAATTTAATATGGTAGCAAAGAAATTTTACATATTAATGAATATATATAAATTAAGTCTTAATGTAAGAGTTATTTTGTCAGAAAAACATAAATTTAACAAAGTTTAAAACGAGGCTGACAAAGGCGTTAGGGAAAACCGTATCTGCCGCTTTCCTAGCACCTCTGGTCCCACTGACACCAACGAGACACATTACACATTCGCAGCGTGCTCCGAGTTTCCAACCGACCCGACGACCGTGCTTTTCCGTTCCGCTCCGTTCCGGGAAAAATGTCAGAATCCAGCGCCATTAACGGCAATCACTACGAACAGCTCCATCAGGGCCGCACCAAGATGTACAAGTCCAAGGTGGCCGTTGTCCTGGGCGCCCAGTGGGGTGACGAGGGCAAGGGCAAGGTGGTGGACATGCTGGCCTCCGATGTGGATATTGTATGCAGGTGTCAGGTAAGAAAAACGCCAAAAAAAATTGGCCTAGCATTACGAGTGATAAGGTTCGCAATTAGTGCCTCGGGCTGTATCCTTGGCTCAAGGACATCTCCCGCCAAATAGGCGGGCATCCCCAGCATCTGCGTATTTCACCAGCGGCGCGACATTTTCTTCACTACCAACTATTATCGCTCTTTTTCGGGGCATTTGTATTTATCAATTCTGGGGCCCGCCATGTGGCCTGCGTCTGTGTTCCGCCCGTGAGCTGTGTTTGTCCAAGTGTTTGTGAGAGGGGCGCATGTGTGGGGCAGTCCCCCAGTTCCATTCTCGTTCTCAGCCCGTCTCACGTGTGTTTGTGTGTACGCCGCAGAGGTGCCTACATGGCGGATTTACCGCCAGATTTGGTCAGAGAGGAAGATCATGGGAGAACTACATATATAGATAGTATATGGAGAGTAATCATATCTCTTCAATTTATGTTTAAAAAAATATATAATCTTTTTAAAACAAAGTATCTCTTGAGGATCTGAAAAAAGTAATAGATAACAACTGTAAATACTCCATGCTAATAGAGTATCTTAGAGATAAAAATGTATCTCTGAAGTACTAAGTGTATCTTTGAGATACAAATTAAGGTACATTCTTCTTTTAAGATTCTTTCACTACTTCTGGCTACTTTTCTTAAAATCCAAGGGTAATCAACACTATTATTCCGTCGGAAAGTCTGCCATCAATGCTGGCGCAGCAAAATTCGTCACTCGGCCAGACTATCTCTTTCCCACCACTGGCCATTCACACGCTTTTCGTCTCCCTCTCCGCTGACGTTAATTCCTATCCACACATCCACATCCACATCCACATCTGTTTTGCTTGCTCAGCGTACTGCTGCCAGGTTTACATAACCGCCAACATCATCCATTCACCCATGGAAGCAAGAACCACTACCGGGAAGTACCGTCCCAGCAGAATCCTTGTGGATCTCCTGGGAAGCGGGAATTCCAAGAACTTAGAGCATTCTAGGTATCAGACATTGCGTGCATTTTACTGGCTTTAATGGACTGTTTATTCCGACCAACAACTACTTGTTGATTTATGCTATAGGTAACCGGATCATCGTAGCCCTCCAAACGCGGTTCAATGCACGATATGGATTAGAGGGGGAGGAGAACCAGGAGAGCCTCTATGCAACATTGTGACTCAGTTGAATGGGCCCTGTTATCAGTGCCCTTATATAATACCCAAGCTATTATCGCACCCCCCTGAGTCACACGACTGGCACGCCCCTTAGGGGCGATTCCGCTATTGCGTCGTGATAGGCCAGGGTCGGGAGCTGGAACCAGGCCTGAAACCCTGCCCAGACTGCGATCTTTCTATTTCCTCGTATCTTATCAGAGGCCTCTCTCCTTGGCACTCCGTAAACATTATGATTATCTTGCTTTTGGTTTTTTTAGCAATGATTTGTGAAGGTCCACAAATTTCCCTGCTTTTTATTATTATTTTTTTTGCGTCGCTAATAAAAGAAAACAAAAAATATTTTAGATTAGCAAAATATATGAAATTTTGTACAGTTGCCAAAAAAAAAAAGAAAATGAAAATGAAATGAAAACTATCATTAAAATGTAGTGCTGACGTATCCGCGAGATACACTGGGTTGTGGGATAGTTAGCTGTATGGGTGGGTGGAATGATTTCCATTTCGTTTATTTGTCATCCGATATTGGTGGGCACGTGGGGCCTATAAGCCATTCCCACAATTTACATTCTAGTCGGATATATATTTATTTATTTTTCACACAATTCTTGTTTTTTGTTTTTCTGCTACGCCGTCGTACAGGCTTATAGAAAAACAAACAATGCTAATTTTGTATATCAACAGCTACATATACATACCACTATATACTATACATATATCTGGGAATAATTCGACTAATTCCTCCTCTCTATCATTATAGGGTGGCAATAACGCTGGACACACTGTGGTGGCCAATGGCACGGAGTTCGACTTCCATCTCCTGCCCAGCGGCGTTGTGAACGAGAAGTGCGTCTCAGTGATCGGTAAGTCACTAGCCAGGTAGCCAGGTAGCCAGGACCTAGGCTATACCAGGATAAGACTCAAGACTCAAGAATATAGAGAAGAAAAGTTTTGTCAATGAAAGTAAGCAACCGATTTCTTTCAACTTTTGTTTTTTGTTTTTTTTTTTTTCATTTAAAATTTAAATATAAATTTCAAGCGAATGTATAGAGTATAGATCGTAAATATACGTTTTGTTTTGCTTTTAGTTTTCCCTCGTTCTGCGGTATATATATGTATATATACGTATATATAATGTATCCCGGGCAGATAGATGTATGGTAGGAATTTCTGGCAAAGATTTAGTGCATCATTGACATTGGCTCGTGGGTCAGTTGGCCTGTTTTTCTGACTGCCCATGAAAATGAAAGGTTTTCTATTTGTGTAGATGGGCAATTGAGATAATTGAATCAGAGTACCACCCCCTCTACCCCCTGGGCAGTGCCTGGCAGTACTCGAGTACATGACGTCATGTCACGGACTGTCACCGTCAAGGTCGTGTTTGTCAATATTTCGCAACTTTGTCCTGCTACTTTTGGCTTCAAAAGTTTAATCGATGTTGCCGAGGGGGGGTCAAGGATGGGGGGTGACATTGTTTACCAAGCGCAACAAACCAACCCGCACCGTCATCGTTTGTCACAAGACTAATTTATGAGATAATCAGAACCAGAACCCCACAACCACACTCATAGTCCCCTTAAAAAAAAAAAGATATCGTTTATGACACAGGGACAGACTCAGAGCTCACACATATAGCGGAAAATTATTCTAATCAGGCAATTAACTTATTATTTTTAATTCCCCACCCGCTCAGGGCTCAATTCAAACGACCCCGGGCTCGCGTGCCCCTGTATTATGGTTCGCCAACTTTATTTGTTATGCAATTCCCCCCCAAAATTCCCCCGATATAGATATCATATTTGAGGCCTCTTGATTCTGGTTCTTGAATATGGCTGGCTTTAGCCAAGTTGCATGTTATCTTGAGGACTTTTTTTACAACAGCCCCTTAAGAAATTAGCGGCATTAGGCCATAATTCAGGGAAACCATCAATAGAATTCTAGGTATTAGTTCTTAGGAAAAAGTAAGACGTAATAGTAGATTAAAACAAGAACAAAGGCTATACCTATCTAGTTCCAAGACTCCATGTAAGTCACACTGCAGATACAAAGTAATTACTTGGCAAGATATATATTCCTCATTAAAATAAACAAGGCCACTGCAGATGGGGGGAACTATTCTAGACTCTATAGTCTAGACTCTAGACTAGAAATTATTACTACAACTTTTGTGCTTGTCTCGCCTTGCAGGCAATGGTGTCGTGATCCACCTGCCCTCGCTCTTCGACGAGGTGCTCAAGAACGAGGCCAAGGGGCTGCAGCATCTGGAGAACCGGCTGATCATCTCCGATCGCGCTCACCTGGTCTTCGACTTCCACCAGCATGTGGATGGCATGCAGGAGGCCGAGAAGGGTGGCAAGTCCCTGGGCACCACCAAGAAGGGCATCGGCCCGGCCTACTCCAGCAAAGCCACCCGCAATGGTATCCGTGTTGGCGAGCTTCTGGGCGACTTTAATCTGTTCAGCGACAAGTAAGGAGTTGGTACCATAATATATAGAGAATCTATTACTTATCCTGGGTACTTATCCGCAGGTTCAAGTCGATTGTGGCCACGCACGTGCGCCTGTTCCCATCGATTAACGTGGATGTGGAGGCGGAGTTGGCCCGATACAAGGACTATGCGGAGAAGGTTCGACCCTACGTCAAGGACACCATCTGCTTCCTGCACACTGCCCTGCGGAATGGCAAGACGATCCTGGTCGAGGGCGCCAATGCCGCCATGCTGGACATTGACTTTGGCACGTATCCGTACGTGACGAGCAGCAACTGCAGCATCGGTGGTGTGCTGACCGGCTTGGGTTTGCCGCCGCAGACGATTGGCGAGGTGATTGGCGTGGTCAAGGCCTATACGACGCGAGTGGGTGACGGCCCCTTCCCCACCGAGCAGTTGAATGTGAGTATAGAATAGTGCCTCACATAGCCATTGGACAACCTCTAACCATATGCCTTCCATTTCAGGATATTGGTGACCTTCTCCAGACAAGAGGCTTTGAAATTGGAGTGACCACAAAGCGAAAGCGCCGCTGCGGCTGGCTGGATATACCGCTGTTGAAGTACACCTCGTTGGTAAACGGATACACCTGTATCTGCTTAACGAAACTGGACATCCTTGATACGCTGCCAGAGATCAAGGTGGCTGTGGCCTACAAGAAGCCCAATGGTGAGAAGCTCGATCATTTCCCCGGAACCATCGCTGAGCTCGGCGCCATCGAGGTAGAGTACGCTGTGCTTCCCGGATGGCAAACGTCCACCGAACACATTCGCAACTTCAAGGAGTTGCCGGAGAATGCCCAGAACTACGTCCGATTCCTAGAGAGCGAGCTGAGCGTTCCCGTACGCTGGGTGGGCGTGGGCAAGGGCCGAGAGTCCATCATCAATGTGCATTAGCCAACCAGAACCAGGTGCCGACGTACTTATGCCTACAATATATGTGTGTATATGAGACGGAAACGCTTTAAAGCCCGTTTAGCCGGAGATGCATAGTTGCGGATCGGCGCATAACTAACTAATCCAACCACAGATACAGATAATACAGCCCTAACCCACAGGAATCAACTAATATTTCGACTATCTACAAAATTTGGACACAAATTATTAGCTTATTGCTTCTTTAAGTTATATTTCTTAGTCTTTGATGTTCACAATTTCATTTTTGAGCGTAGCTGTTGTGGCTCACACGCATATTATCCTATATACTATATAAATTGTTTTGAAGAGGACCTTAGTTTTTAAGATCATCAGGTGCAGTTTCAGATTTTGTATGCAAACGGGAAGCAGATATTTTTTAATGTACAATAACTAAATGATGTTGTTTTAATATTTAAATACAACAGTGTGCTCTGACTTGTGTAATTGTGTCGCAAGATAAATACATTTTAAAACAGAACTGAAGTTTTATTTCATTAACAAAATATTAGGTATAAAAGTTTAAAAATGTTTTTAAAAAAAAACTATTCGATTGGCAGAGATGTTATCGATTATTCTTATCAGATATTTTGGTGACTACAGTTCGTTTTGTCGTTTGGTCACACTTCCCTACTACCTGTTTGATTTCTTTGATTATTTTATTTATTTTCGTTACTTCTGTTTACCGTATTTGTTGTTTGTGTTCTTTTCTGTTCCGTTTTGTTATCAAATTTAAAAACTTCTTTATCATGGTAAGTTAAAATAATAGTGTAAAGTTAAATCTTTAAGCACTTTTGTGGAAAATAGAACGCTTTCTTTCTAACTGAACTTTCCACTTGACTGCCCCCATTAACCATTTTTTATGCAACTTTCTATGCCCAAAAATGTTTCTATAGGCTCGCTACTTCAAAGAACAGGATATCGATGGTGTGTATTCCTAAAACTCATTGATGATTCATTTAAAAAACCTTTCTTATCTACAACCTACAGAATTCCGCGAGTGCTTTTATCTATTCGCCCGTTCGGGCCAAATCAACAATTTGGACGAACTAACTGTAAGTCTCTTTCCCCAACCCTATGGACACATACCAACGAAAGTAATTAACACAATGTTTACTTCTTCATTCAGGTTATAATGCGTTCCCTGGGTCTCTCGCCTACCATTCAAGAACTGGTTTCGTATCTGAAGCAGAAGAATGGGAAGATGAGTTTCGCTGACTTTTTGGACATTATGCACCAGCATTCCAAGGTGGAGAGCTTGCCGGACGAGGTGATTGCCGCCTTCAAGGCAGCTGATCCCCAGAACAAGGGCACCATATCGGCCCGGCAGCTGCGCAATCTCCTCCAGAACTGGGGCGAGGGCCTATCCATGCGCGAGGTGGACAACATATTCAGGGAGGCGAATGTCAACAACAATAGCACCGTGCGATATGCAGACTTTGTTAAGATTGCTTGTGCCCCAGTTCCAGACTACTATTAGACTACATCCGGGTATGGTACTACATCCCGATCAATACATTCCAGTACACAGCACGCCCCAAGAATCCGCACAATAATAAAGAATAATATTTAGGTAAAGTTTTGCTGTTTTTATTGGAAAGGCAAAACTTCACCGCCTTGTAAAAAGGTAAAAACTTCTTAGTTGGCAATGGTGACCTCGACCTCTACGCCAGGCTCGATGTTGATAGAGGTGATCTTCTTGACGATCTCCGAGGGGGAGTGCAAGTCGATGATGCGCTTGTGGATCCTCATCTAGAAATGAAGAAGACAGATTAGTTGGAGGTCTAGACTAGTTAGAATCTAGAGTATTATTTGTTAATTTGTCGAATTCGGAGAGCCAAATTGTGAGGCATATCATCAAAGTGGACTATGAGAACACGTTTAGTCTGGGCAGACCATAAAGATACTGCGAAAAGGCTGGTGTGAGCCTAATCCCGATATCAGATCTGTCCACGAATAGAAGTACTCGTCAGTTGTTGGAAGATGTACCCACCTGGAAACGATCCCAGGTCTTGGAACCCTCACCGCAAGGAGTCTTACGGGTGGTGATACGCAGGGTCTTGGTCGGCATGCGCACGGGCCCCTAAAAGAAAAAGAGACATATGATATATTAGTTTACAATTCGGAATGTATTTGAAGATCTGTACACTGAACCTTATATACTCTGACACTGGGGGAGAATCAGTGGCAAAGTAATGTCCGATTCAGGCATTTTTCTCTAGCATTTATTAATGACTAGGCTAGGCGTCTTGTAGGCACGCGAAGCCTCCAGGTAAATGCCACGGCAGGATCGAGAGCTGGATGATTACTCACCTTGACACGCAGGTTCTGGTTCTTGGCACCGTTGATCAGGTCACGGCACACGTTCTCCAGGGAGCGCACATTCCTGGAGGTCAGGGTGATGCGGATGCGGTGCACAGAGGCAGAATCGCCGCCATGGGGCTTCTCAATGTCCTTGGGTGCAGCAGCCTGCGAATGGAGTACCAACAATTAGTGAGGTTATGTGTTTAAGCCGCCACGTGCAGAGGTTTTCTGGCAATTTCACAGGAAACCCTCTTGTCAACAGTCTCCAGGGACTCGCGGTGATCTTGGCTTTCCATGCTTACCATTATTTAGCAATCTCTCTGGTCGAGGTATTCAAATCTTTATTTTTTGAGCAGCGCTGAACCAGTCGGTCTTGCTGATAGAAAAAGAAGAGACCTGGCCACATATTTTGTTGTTAGAGGTGAAAGCACAGAGGTGTTTTTTTTGATAATTCAGTGTAACCAGAGAAGTACTCTAGACACCCTGTGTGAATATACTATGGAGGGTCGCATTTTTTAGCTTTTTATAATAGCCCGAAGGAATATAATTCTAAAATTAATAACACAATAATTTTTTTTATTTGAAAACATTTATAAATTCACATATATTCGGATATAAAAAAAAGTACCACAACTGTTGGAACATAATTCCCCAGTTAACAGCAATGTAAGCAACAGATCTGGCAACACTGCTGTTTAATCCAAATGGGATCCACTTCTACGGAATAACAGATATTCCTACAGATTTATGTTAACAGCGGAGTGCGCCGGACCTTTGTTGTTGGCCCCGGAAGTTTACGATTTTCTTAAAGCGGTCCAGTGTTTTAATTAAAATCGCAATAACCGACGAAACCAATTCTTTCCGCTTAATCAAAAGAATTAAAAAAATATATAAAACGTATAGATTATTTAAAAAATATAATATTTCAAAGGATATTACACGAAAAGTCCTGCCGCAAATTAAATAAAATCGCAAAGAAACCAGTATCATATCCCTTTTAGGGCACTGGTTTGAGACCCAAATATTTCGTAAAATAAATAAATCAAATACCATTTAAAAAATAAAAACTTAATTCGCAAAAAGTTGTTTTTTGTTTATTTCGAAACCCGTTTAAAACGGCAACCCTGGCTAACAGCTGATCGCGATTTTTGTTGTTGCCCCCCGAAAAGTGCGGAAAAGTGCGAAAGACGCGGAAAAGCCCACACTGCAAATAGAAAAAAATCCACAAGATATTAACACGCCAGAAAGGAGAAAATTAGCAGACTGGCGGCAAAGAAAGGAGAGTGACGACACGAAGACTGCAGTTGGGGGACCGAAATTCGTATTGATTTTCTTGTGTTTTTGGTGTGTGCGCGAAAGGGCAACAACAAAGGCGAATCAACCACTTTGGAGACAGCCACTCCACCTTGCTGGGCGACGATAATCATCATCAACAATCGCAGCAGCTTGTATCAACAATGTAGACAAGTTAGCTAGCTAGTGTAGTTGTAGTTATTAATCAAGTGAGAGCGAGAGAGGGAGAGGGAGAGCGAGAGCAGGAGGCGTCGCAGCAGCAGCCCCCCAAAACAACAACAAAAGCGAAAGTTTCAGTGTCGCGAGTGTGCGTTTGTGTGCAAAAATGGTGGATATGAAAATATAAGCAGTAATAAATGCAAATTTGCCCCAAAATGTCCCCAAGTCAGTAAGACTTTTGGTTTCATCACACGCTGGAGGAGGGAGTGGCCGTGTTGGTAATATTGTATATTGGAAACCAAGCAGCAAACAAAAATGTGGATACCATCGAACAACAAATACGGTGTTGGTGAGTTGAAGTAAAATTAAAAAAAAGGAAAAATACTTGCATCCCCTTGCCACCCAACCACCCATCAGCGTGTCCAACCCCCAACACCCGCCTCCTTCCCCCCGGCGTACGTCACGTGCGTCGCCTTTGTTTTTATTGTTGCCTTTTGAGGCGATTCACAGTTTTTTCCGCGAAACGCCGGATACGCCAACCACCCCCACAGTCTCGTCGGAGGGAGGAAAAGCGATTTTTCTACTTATTTTTGTACACAAAACTGTTTGTAGCATCATCAGCATGTAGCATCCACCCCCCCTCGTCACCTCCTTTCATTCAAAGAGATTTTCCTGTTTGTTGTTGCTGCCATGCTGCGATTTGATGTGTTTATATACAGAGAGAGATGAGAGTTTCCCGCACGCTTTTCTTCGTCGCGCTTTTCTGCCGTCTTGTTGCCAATGGCCTTTGAGACCGAGACCAGGTGTTGCCAATTTAAATGCTTTCGTAATTACAGTTTCGAGTCAGAGTGGTCAGGCCACACTTTTGCGACAGGAATGGACTTGTTTTGATAACAGCTTATAGTACTACTCTCCAGAACAATGGAAGTCTCCGCATGTCCGCATTATCTCCACATTCGTCACACTTTTCGCTTCAATAGCTGTGCTTAACAAATTGCTAAGGGGGCTGGGGGGGCAGGGCAGGGCGGAAGACTGTCTTCTGGTGCAGCATCTTCAGTGGCTACAGCGGCCGGTGCCAAGTTTATTCAATTCATTCTGTGTCGCTTCAATGGTTTTATTTGTTGGCCAGATAAGCGCCAATTTTTTCATTGTTGTAGAGATGCCCTACCTAAAAGCATATTTGTTATGTTATCAAGCTTAAAAAAATAATATTATTATTATTTTTAGTGAGATGGTGATCTTATTCTTAAGATAATTTTATAATATAATAATTATTCTTTTTTTTTTTAAAGGGTGTTTTTTTATTCTACTTTATACTTTATTAAAATTTCTTCTCTTTTATGCTTCTTCTGCTCCAGTTTCTCCATTCTCTGTGGCTTTTGTGCTCACTGATGCCTGCCCCACATTTAACATCTAACCCCACAAGATTGCCATGAGAAGCGGTCAAAGTTTACACAAATCAATCAGTCAATCAGTCAGTCAGTCAGTCACTTGCACTAACATCATTAGCGATTCAAAATCGGCTGTCAAGCCAACGCCCTAACCTTGCACAATGCCCATACCCTGCCCATCCTGCCCAGAGCCACGTGCTGGGCCAATGACTTCATTACCATCTCGCACTCATTGTCTGCTTGGATCGACTCCCTGAGTGGATCTACCATGTAATTATTAAAGTATACACTGTGGAATATCCATAACTTGGCAAATAATGCAACTTCCAAGATAATGCAGACTATCAGTTCCAAGTTAGTAGTTCCAACACTATAACTAACTCTATCTAATCGCTTTTTTTGTTTAAATTATAATAAAATATACCATTTAAAACGCAATTTAATTTTTTTTTAAGTTCCAAGTTCAACTTTGGTTGCCATTTTCCCTCAATTGCTCAGCGAGTCGAGTGCACAATGGAGGACAATTTGCGGAGCAACCCTCCTCGGGGCTCAGCCATGCGGGTCAGTTCCATCCCATGCCAGAGTTGCCAAACTTAGATTTTAAGCTAAAAGTTTACGCAGCATTCCCTTTTTTTTTTTGGCGAAAATAAATAAATTTGGGGAGAGTTGGAGTTTTGAGGCACAGCCTGCGGCACCGGAAGTTGCTGCTACTGTGGCAGCTCTTGTCTGGGTGCCTTTTTCCACTGAATTCCGTTTGTCGCAGCCGGCAATTTCAGTTTCAACTTTAATTTAATATTCATTTTATGCATTTGGCCAATGGAGCTGGCTGGTCTTCCTTCCTTCCACACACACACACACACACTCTTGCACCCATGACTGAGCATAAAATTGATTCATTTCCATTGTTTAATATTCTCATGAGTGTGTATGAGTGGGGAAGTTGTGAGTTTTACTTCCATAATTCGTCTTTAACGATTTATTTATGAATCGCCTTTTGTGGGCCACACTGGGGGTGGACACGCGGCGTATGATTAACAATCCAAACACACGCATATACCTATCAGGCTGGCATTTGGTGGCATTATCGGTCATAGGGCCGGATGGACGAGTGTCCCCATCCGTTTGGCTGATTTATGGAAATGCTGGCCAGGCCAAGGAAGGTGGTGGAACCCCCTTCTAGGTAGACCATCGATAAGCCAGGCTAGATAACAGGTAACTGACTGTTACCTGTCGTCGGCAATGAGTTCCTAAATCAAGAATAAGTATTCTAAAAATAATTATCAAGTACTTCCGCAGGGGGAATTGGCCCTAACAGTTGTTGGCTATTGATTCGATATTTGGGGGAATATGGTCAGTTCCAAATGCCATCGCCATGTGGCTGGAAAATGTTCATCTAAATGCAAAAAATATAAAAAGCCAACAAACCAGTCGGTATATATATGACTATGTGTACAAAATGCATTTAATTACGGTAGTGCCAGTGCCATAACGAGCCACAAAATCCATATAGTAAGCAAATATTTCCGAGTATTGCACATCACGTATATATCTACGTATATATGCCATGTCAATAGATACATACTGACATCCACATGCATGTATTTATTCTCCAGCTTAATAGCCTCAACTCGCAATTATAATAAAGGCAGGAGGAAGCTTTGTGGAGCATGTGTGTCAGCATCCCATTTCAACTAGCTCCATTATTCAGACAATGGCTGTGATAATGACATCTGATTGACATTTGGGTCAGGCTTCCTGCTATGGACAACCTGTCGTCCAGAGATCTCCTCAAAGTTAAGAGATATAGTCTTGTGCCGATTAAGTTATACCCTTAAATACCCTATAATATTACTCATATACTTATGATCTTAATTAATGATTCATAAGGAGTACCAGTAGTCGCAGTTTAATCGTAGTTCTATATAGTTCTATAGTTCTTTGTACTTTAAGACTACTTTCTAAGATATATCTATATCCACTCCTTAAAAACACTCCATACCGTATTACCGTATTATCGTAAACCTATTTCCTATATCGTATCGTATCTAAAAACTGAGTCACTCTCTTACCAACAAGCAGAGTGGCGCAGTGGAAGCGTGCTGGGCCCATAACCCAGAGGTCCGAGGATCGAAACCTTGTTCTGCTATTAGTCAGTATTTTTTAATAATTTAATATTATTTTACTAATTTATTTTTTTTTAAGAATATGCATCCTTAAAGGATCAAAGATAATTGGAACCGTTTTAGGCCATCCACTTGACCCACTTGGCGGCATTTTCCCTTTCCGCTGCCGACCTCGCATTGTCGTGTGTTTTAACACAATTAATTAATTAAATTCTTAAGCCTCCCCGGTGGCACTTGTGGCGGGGTTAAGTGTAAAGCAGGGGACTCCCCTTTGTGGCTCCCCCAAGACCCCACTCCTCGCCAGCCCCCTCATTTAATCCATTTGCAGACGAGCTTCTGCTGCAGTGGCTGTGGTTCGAGTTCATATATATATACATATAGTTGTGCAACCCAGGCAGCTCTTTCATTTAATTTAAAATTATTTTCCGCCTAGCTCCCCTCACTCCCCTCTTTTAGCAGGCATGCACTTGGCTTAACGACTTTTTTATTTAAATACGTTTGTTGACATTGCGGCGGACTTGTTGGAGAGTGAGTTCATTGTGTCTCCCCTCCCTTCCGAACAGCTTTGTCCTTTTTTCCTTATCGCCCTTATGATGTAAGCCAAGCCCTTTGGGATACTGCATTCATCGTAAAAGTAATTAAAGGACTCGAGGCCCCCTGATGATGATGATCCTGCCAATTTCTAGAGGCACTTTAAGGCACTTTTATGAAATTTAATATTTGCCTAAGAGGCTCATTAACTAGTTGATATAGTAGAGTGTAAAAGCAGTTCGTAATATTAAAAGTAGTAATATAGTCTAACCCTCTTATCTCTTAAATAATAACAATTAATCAAATACCCTTTTTAAAGCTTAAGCTTTTCGCTTAGAACCTCCTTTGAAAGCGTTGGCTTTTCCTGGTGGCGTTAGTTGATTGCCAGACCGACGCCTGCCTAATGTGACTGACCTAAATAGTGGAAATGCTTGGTTGGCACTTTGCCTGGGCTGGCTCCCCCCCTACACAGTGAGAAAATATGACCCACTCCCCACACAAATAACTTAAAAGCTATTAATTTTAGGTGGTTTTCCTTTGATCTTCTTCTCTAGAATATATATTATTATGATCTTTGGGGGGAGTGGGGGTCTTCTGTATTTCTCCAAGTGTATATGTGTGTGTGTGCTCATTTGCTGGAGTGTGTTTGGCTGCGCCAGTTGAAGTGGCATGGCGGGGCCAGAGCAAGATCTTCAACTGGCATTTTAAATTATAAAATTCTTGCTATTTAGCATCTCCAGAATTAATTTAAATCAGTCCTATCCCCATATTGAAGCCAGTTAGAGGCAGCTGGCTGCTGGCTGGCATAAAGTCGAAGCATAAAGCACTCGCGGACTCGCTGGAAGCAACAACAGGAAGCCGTTTGCCCATTTTCATGGCATTGAAGCATTCCATTTTACATCACTCCCCCGCCACCATGCCATGCCCCACTCTGTTTGTCTGTCTGCCTGGGCGTGCGTTTTATTAGCTCCTTTCGTTGATATGCTCATGCCGTGCTCGCTCGTTTGTCTTTCAACAAGGGAGCCCACATCCACATCCACATACACATCCACATACACATCCAGAAGCACCACCACCACCCTAGCTGGGCCCCGGGTGCTCCTCCTCTTGCGGCGCCTCCCAGACTACCAGAGTGTGCCTTGCATTTGTAATTCATACACGTGGAGAAATTTTCCAAAGGTTTGGAGATGGTTTCCGGGAATTCGTATTAACTTGGCCAATACATCGACTATGAATCATGCCGAGGGAAATCGAATTATTTGGGTTATGCGTCATGGTCCAGATGGCTCTATTTTCTTAGAGAATCTTTAGAATGCTTGACTTCCAGTGTAGACGTTGCTATGGCCACCATAGCCCAGCATTGCGGATATATCCCAGCAGCGCAGCTCCTGCCGCCCCGACTCTGAGCCTCAGTTCTGGCTCGGAGTTGAGAGCCAAAGTGTTCGATGGCTCATTGTTTTCCCCGGCCGGGCAGACATGCACCTCCATATAGAAACATATTTTCTTTTCATAGCCATTTGCCTATTTATAGTTGAAGTATTTATTGTTGCTCCGCCACTCGTGGCATGCTCAAGTGGCCACTCGGGGAAGCACTTTAATTGCCACGCCACAGATGGATGGCAATGTCATGGCCAAGAAAAGGCAACGCAACTGGTTGTAATCCAAAAGGATACTAATAACTTTCTTCTGCTTTCTAGCCGTCCACAACTGGCATGGCGATGTCCGCTTTGGCCTGGCCCTCGATGTGGGCGATTCCGTGGACATTGTGGAGGAATGCAGCCACTGGTATCGCGGCTCCTGTCCCCGAAAATCCCGTACCGTTGGCATCTTTCCCAAGACCTATGTCAACATCAAGGACCTGACCAAAATCGATCCAGTTGTGGCCGAATGCACCCAAGTCCTGCGCGAATGGTCAGAGATCTGGAAGCGTCTCTTTGTGGTAAGTTAGCTATTAAATATTTTGTAAAAATTTGTAGCTAATATTTATTATTTTTTTTAAGGATCGGGAGACGTACAAGTTCCAAACCCTGCGAAAGGTCATGTTTTCCATATTGGAGAGTCGCCGAGAGCTCCTAAGTGCCACCATGACTCAGGATCAGACTTTAGAGCTTCAAATGGTTGTGGTTTCAAAAATCGATTGGGGAAATCGGTAAGTATTATTAGTATTATTGTTATAGATATCACAACCACGACCTCGCTGAAATCCGGTTTAGATACTTAAAAGAAAAATTCCAAAATTTAGCAGAAATTGTATATAGAATATTTATTACAACTTTGAACTTAGATAGCTTGGGTTCTCTTTTGCTTTTGCTTTTTATGTAAAATGTGTTCTTTTCTAGCAATAATCACAATAATTTTGTTATAAACAAAATTCCCTTAAAATTACGATATATGTATATCTGTAGACTAAATGTTAGGACAAAATAGCGAGAGCATACTCGTTTAAATAATCGCAATCTTATGATTACTACAATTGTATATAGATCAACGTTTCGTGAGCGGTGAGCAGGTATATCTATATCTGCATGGTTATTATCCGTATCTGTATCTTTAACCCACTATGGAGCTATCGAGCTAACTTTTTAAACTTAATTGTATATTTTAAAATGGCGCATCATGGTCAACGATCGGAGTGATAATCGATCGGTATATGGGATCCTGATCCTTCATCCTCCCACTTGGTCTCAACCTACAAATTGCACGGTCTGCTGTGTCCCCCACCTTCTCCTTCTCCTCCTCCGTAGCTGCTCCTCTCACTCATTAGCTCCTTAAGTTTTCTGTGTCACTGACAAACTGCACCTGTCTCTCCTGTCTCCTGGCTGTCTGGCTGGCTGGGGACCAAATATTCAAAGACTATAGTTTTTCCTTATAATTTTGCTAAATATATATTTTTGCATTAGAACGTTATCGAGTTATCTCCGAAAGGGTAATGTTCGAGGATCATTCTTGGTGGCAGACATGGAAATACCTAACTTCATGACACAAAACTCCAACTCTCTCCTATATATCTCCTCCTTCCTATCATCGCCCTACAAATATTATTGAGAAATCATTGAAATGATGCCACTCCGCCGGTGGGGATGTGGGCTTATGTCTCGGTCTCCTTGCCGCCGCCGAAGCTCTCGACGGGCGGATAGATCGGATGGCTGATGGGATTCATTTCGAGGGTCGAGGGAGCCGAGGGGGTCCGAGAGGCGCCCAGCAATCCACACAGTTGCTGCAACATATCGCTGTACGATCTTGTGCTCAGGTTCTGGCTAAGGAAGTGCAAGATGAGGAAGTCACCAATCTAAAGGAGATAATAGAACCATTAGAACCAGGAACCAGATATTAGAGGACCAGAGTACTAACCTCCAGGCGCCTGACCAGTCCGGCGATCTCCTTGCGCTGGCCGGAGCGGTAGGAGCGCTTGATGATCGTCTCCCGGGTTGTGGGCATCATAATAGTCACCAGTGAGTAGAGCACAGCACCACCAGAGATGGTGGCCAAGATAATAAACCAGAACCTGAAAGATAGTCATTAGTGGCCGGTCCTAGAACCATCTTAGAGCCAACCTACCACAGGAAGATGTAGATCTTCTCGTTAAGGATATTCAAGGCCAGGACACAGAGTGTGTCATGCTTCTGAATGGATCCGCTGGGACCGAACTTGTGGAAGGTGCACTTGGTTAGTCTGGGAAAGATCTCGATCATGGGATCGTAGCGTTTGTCCTGGTCCATGTTCGAGAACTTGACCACATCCGTGCCGTAGGACATGAAAGCACCGCCCAGGAACTTATCCACCATGAAAATATTGACAATCACATTGACAAAGTTGAGCAGCTCGCAGAGGAAGTAGGCGAAGGAGTACCCATTGTGGGTGTTCAGGCTATTGACGAAGTACTTGAGGATGCGATCCTGGCGCTCCCGACGATAATCATCCGGCACACTGACCATTCCACGCAGGCCATCGGTGATCATCCGGATCTTGCCATCCTCCATGTTCTTCCAGATCCAGTGAGGAACATAGAACATAAGACCCTGGAAAATATAGTTATATAATTATAGGATCTTGTAGGGACTTAGTAGGAAACCTTACCTGGAAAAATAGCACAAATGGCACCCACTGATAGTAGCTATGATAGCGCTTCTCCTGACCATACTCGTTGCCCAATCCCGGGGCAGCCACATCTGTTCCTATCTGCCGGTGCTGCTGCCCGGGTATCGTGAACGTGTACGTAATCCAGCAGAAGGTGTTGATGACGTGCATCGGTATGGAGCCGTCGTTGATGCAACTTATGGGATCGCCTATGGAAGAGCCAGAGATAAAGATGCATTTGTAAGATACATGTATATAGCATATATATGCATTCATTCCCATTTATGTAATTTAAATCTAAAGAAATCCAAGTGCATTCCGGGCAACCTCGCATGCCGTCCGTCAACGTCAAGTGCCATTAGAGGCAATCTCTTGATTCCCCCGCTCCACAACCAACGGCGTTGTAGGTGCGGTTACGGTTACTGTTACGTGCTCTCAGGTAGACCTGCAACATGCTTTTTAGGGTGTGCCCCCCCAACTTCGAGCTAGACTTTGAGGTGGGGGGGGGGGCAAACAAAATAGATACAAACAGACCTGCAGGGAGGCAGGGAGGTTCTGGTGGGCGGGGGAATACCCAGAATACCCAGAATACCAAACCGTCAATATTTAACCAAGGTTTTCGTCAGTTGTTCGCTTTTAGAGCACTTCTTTTAATGCACAAATATTTGTCTCGAAGCACACTAAGTCTAGAGAGTTAAAGCTAGAAATTCAGGCAGTTTTCTAACATTTGCTGATTAAAAGCCTTAATGACAAATAATAGGGCAAAGTGTCAAGATCAGTCGAAAGTTAATCAGTTTATTTTTGTTTATTTACTCGAACGATACAATTTAAATGAAAATGAGCCACTTTCGAAGCTCAATTGAGAGCGTGGGAAGCAAAAAGAGTTTATTAATTGTATCTTATTTCAAAACACTTCACTCCAGGCCCAGCTTGAGTCAGAAATACATTGATTTTCACGCACTGGAGGTGCCCTCCCGGGGCGAGCACATGACTCATATATGGGTTTCAGCGAAATCTGATCAACATGAGAATTAAAATTGTGAAAGCCAGCTCGGTTTTCAAGCTGCATTAGCAACAATGTTGCAATTGCCGGCACAAATAACCCAAAACTGGGTTAAGTATCCATATGCTAATCATGCCTAAATGGATGCACTAATTTTTAACTAAATTTTTCTAATATAGTTAGTGGGTGGGAGGTGCTAACTTACCAATCAGATTGTTTGCTGTTACAATAATGCAACAGGTGAAGAGAATGGCGGTCGTGATCCTGTAGTGGCACCGGAAAACCATATTGTCGATGACCGCCTTGTCTAGCAGATATCGTATCTTGACAAAGCCGGACACGGCCGAGACCATGCCAAAGACCGCCATGATGTTGTTGGTTGGTTGGTGCTGGTTGGTGCAACTGCTGCAACGAAGCTAACTGAAAGATGCGATAAAAAATAAGAGAGAAACTATTATATAAGAATTCCTTTTAAACCCCCATTGTTTTTCTCAGTGTTCTTTATACATAATTGTGTAGTATGTTTGCCTTGTGCGTTATCTAGGACAGACATGACATATTCCAAATTATTTCACCACCACTACCAGGCCCAGTCCCCAGTACCAAGCCCCAGGCCCCAGGCACTCGTACATACATACATATACCCTCTCCCACTCCCAATCTATGTACCGCCTTTCTGGTCTCGTCTGGTTGGGAATTCGGAGCGTTATCGTCGACAAGCCGCACTTACAATTAAGTAAGTGCTGCTTGGGCAGTGCCGGAACTGTTTGTTTGGAGGAGCCTCCTCCTCCTCTCCCCTCTCTGTGTGTGTTGTGCAATCTAATCTAATCTCCGTTAAGCCCCGTCGTCTAATAGGTTGAATGCCCTGCCCACTCCTCCGCCCATCGCTAACAAGTTCATCTCAAGAAGTCTCAGCTCTCAGAACCGGTACGGTACAGCTTTTTTTTGTCAACCCACGCATAAATTTCACTTTGTCCCCATACCATACGACTATATAGACTCCCCCATCCCCCCAAACCCTTTCCAAATCTTTCATCATTTCGGTGCTTTTTTTTGAGATTTTTTTGGAGTTTGGATCAGGTTCTGGTTGGCTTTCTTCTTCGGCTCTTTTGTTTATATGCAAATTTTTTTTCATCTTCTGATTTTTTTTTTGTTTGTTGGAATGGCCAGCAGAGTCTTGGGCCATTGTGTGTTTTGGCTGTATTTCATTTCGGCACGACAGATCGTATAACTCCAGAGTCAGCCACACACACACACACTCACGCTCTCTCTCTCTTCCGATTTTCGAACATACTTTTTTTCGAACATGCGCATTTCGAAAAGTATCTGTATCTGTATCTGCGCAGCGGCAGCGGCAGCTACTCCTTTTAAATGCATCTCAGCTTCTGCACTGAACATTCAATCTTACCACGCACACACACTCACACACTCTGACACACACACACAGATACACAGATACTGGAAGAGAGCAGACACTTTACTTCAATTTTCGACCTTTTCTTTCAATAAACTTTTTCGAAAAAAGACAAAAAAAAGAAACTGGTTTTAAGGTATTTTCTTTTTTTTTTTGGGGAGAGAACTGAGAGATCTTGAGACTGCCACTGTTTCTTCAGCTCCAGCTCTGGCTTTCGATGTGTTGGTGCTACCAAAGATTGGCAACTGCTGGCAACCTGCAAGTTGGCCAGAACCAAAAGCCAGAACCACCGTACCAAAGGCGTACCGACCCCTTTCGCACACTTAAGTGATTTCTTTGCTCCTGCCGAGTGGTGAGATATATGCCGTGTTCTCCACTCGCATTTAAATTTATTGCTGCCACTTTGACACTTTGGAAACGAGTTTTTGTATCTGCTGCTGTTGCTGCTACTCCGTTTCGGGCCATTAATTTGCCAGCCAAACAGCTTGTATTTATTATTTTTGCGAGACTAACTTTTTTTTTAAGACTTGTTCACAATGTTTCAGATTTTGTTGGCAGTGTTAGCTGCATTGTTGGAGATTTCTATTATACACAAGTACAAACACTCGCACCCACAGATACACTCGCACACAGACAGCTGGAATTGCATCCATAACTGCAGCACGGTGGTGTGCGTGCTGCTGCTGCTTGGTGGTTGCTGCTGCTGCTACTCAGTGGTGCTGAGCTGTGATTTTGATCAGTGGCTTCATTATTGGTCAGTAGCATACCCGGTTCGTATCTCGAAAATGGTGCAGCTGCTCTCAGCGGCGTTCAAAAACCTACTGACGCCAGTACCCACAACCCAGAGACACCCAGGCCCAGTCCGAGTCCGAGTCGGGCTCTCTCTCTGGCTCCGAATCTCGCTCTTCGTCGTGGTGGTTTTCCCTCCCCCGGTGCTCTCTGAACCAGTGATCGCAGCTGGTTCCAATTCGGGGTTTTCGAAATTACGCTCAAAACTGCATTTGCATTCGCTCGCAGTACCTGAGAGTATCTTTTACCTGGGCCTCTATCAAGGTAGGCCTCCAGGTAGACCTGCTTCGCTCACGTTCTTGAGCCGACTTGAGTTCTTGGGAAATGGAAATTGGTAAATCCATTGATTAGTTAGATCGGAGGAAAGGAGGAATCTATTATCGGTTCTACAACTCTATCTATATCATATCTAGATCTTGGATGAGAAACAGAGTTGTAGTAGGGTTGGGTCTTTAAGCTTTGGAAGAACTATTGAGTGAGGGTTTCTGACAGAGACAGATCTCATATGTAGTTCATAAACCTATCTCTACCTCTTATTATATTATTTCAATTATCTATAAGATATCTATGAGGTGTCTTGGCAATATCCCTTAGCAACTCATTATAAAAACATTTTCCAATCAATTCCCAAGAACTTGAGCTGACTGTCCATTTAATTTATCGTTATTTCGATGGAAGAGGAGCCTCCGCTCTGAAGTGCCTGCTTCCAAGTGGGTCCACTGGATCTATCTGTATTCCAGGGTTAAATGTGTCGCTGATCTGTCGATCCCTGCACCCATACCATGTCCTGCACATACTCAAGTTCACGAATACCACTGGCTTAGGGTCCAAAATGAAGATCCATTTGCATGCTGAGAGCTAGACAAGCAACGCAAAACTTGTTACCAAGCATTCCTCCAAGTAGTCAGTCCCTGGCCTCCAGCTCCCTCATCCATATCCCAAAGCCAGCTCCTTGGCTGTTGGAATGACTCAGCTCAGTGTCTTTGGCTGGCTGGCTGGCTGGCTGGTTCTTTAGTCTTGGCCATAATGAAATGGCATTTCGAAATGGCTGCTGCTGCTGCTGCTGTTTCGCGGTGGTTTGGTTTAGCTGCTGCTGTTTCCATGTCCTGAACTGCCACTCCGCTCTCCACATCGCTCTCCCCCCCCATCCTTCACCATGTTGCACTGTGTTTGTTTATTGTCAGTCGTGGCCCGTTGCCTGTTGCCGGTTGCCTGTGGCCTCTTGCCCAAGAAATGTATCTGCGAGCTACACCTTTTATAAAGACATTAAATACAAAATATATGGCATGTGTGATTGTGATACTGGGCCGTGTATCTGGGCCTCGGTCTTGCGATGCGAGTCGACCCATAGATACAATGCCATCGAACGTGTTGTTGGTGTTATTGCTTTTGTTTGTGGTTGACAGCTCTGCTTATCGAAGTGTAAATAATTAAATTTTTCTGTATCTTGTTGCGTCTTCTCGTTCAGTTCTTTTCCAGCCCTTTTTTTCCGCCGTTCTGTTGTGTCACATCTTCATAGATTCTTAACACTTTCGGACCGGGCTTAATTAAAAAAGTATTTGTTTGGCTCAGATAAACGCAGAGCTACCTACACATTTGGTCTTGGTTGTGGTGTTGGTGGCAGGATGTCCACCTGCCCGAGAGCTTCGGGTCAGTCACTTAATTAAAAACGACTTAAAGTGTTTATTACCAGCAGGGCTACTGTTTCGCGGGCGCACGCGCTTCGCTCATATTTGTATCCACGAGATACAATATTCCCTGAGATACATTTGGTCACGTCAACTCGCAGTTGTGGCTGCCGGAGCCAGGCGTAACAGAGGTGGCTTAAATTGACCTGGATTGGGGGGGAGTAGAGGAGGAGTTGGAGGAGGATGGTTGATGGAGAGAGTTGAAAATTCTTCGAAGATCTTTCAGAGATACTCTCTCTCTCTCTGTTTGCTCTTGCTCTCAGCCAGTTAGGCTCTACTGGTTCCAGTTCCAAAAAAAGATCACTCTCTTTTAAGACCCGCTCTCTCTCTCTTCTCTCTCTCACCTGAGTTTCACCTGAGCCGGAGCCAGAGCGAAGCCGTTTAGGCCTCGTTAACAGCAAAACGGCTTCTTCGCCTTATGCTGGAGATGCTTATGCTTGTAACCTCTCGCTCTCTCTTTCTGTCTCCCTCTCTTTCTCTCACCTGTAGATCTCTGTCTCGCTCTCTGCGTAAGCCAGGTAGAAGTTCCAGCGTAGCCGAGGTAGCAACATCGTCAACGACGTCGCGACGTCGGGCCACAGAACAGCAGCAACATATTGCTGATGACGTTGGACGACCTGAACCTGGGCCATGGCTATGGCTATGGAACTCTTGGCCTGGCCAAGCGTTTTTCTTCTTCTTCTACTTGTTGTTCTTCTTCTTTTCTTTGGCTTTCTTCTTCTCGCATGCGCCACCGGAATGCCGTGAACCCATTAGCTGTATTGGGTACTGGATACTGGGTTTTGGCTGGTTTGGTGTTGTAAGAAGCCCCAAAATTTATGCGTCATACGGGCCATGCGATGATCATCATCATCATCATCACCATCATGGACATGTAAATTCCACTCTGTTGCCACTGTTCGAAGCATCGGTCACAGCAGGCACGTACTGGCCATAGATAGTGTGAAGTTAATGATCGACCCGAGTCATTTAGATACCGATCTCTGGCCATAGAACTCGATCGACTTTCCAAAACTTGTCCACCCAATACCCAATCGAGTTCGTGACAGGTTCTCAGACACCGGCACCCTTGACTCTGATTCTGATTCATTCAAAGGCGATTTGCATGAGTGGTACGGTACGTTGGAACATGATATACTATACCTATTGTTGTTCCATTTAAAAAGCGTAGTACCTATAGTAGGTAATCATATGAAACCTTTATACTATGGAGACTAAAAAGGGAAGAGAACAATGTACTTGGGTATTGTTTAATTATTTTTAACTTTCTTAACAGATATTTAAGTATGTTTTCTTATAGAATATATATACTATTTGTATTCTTAAAATAAATCCCCCTATAAAGTCTCTAAATTCGGTTCTATTTATGGGAATGGGATTCTGTGATTAATGATGATCATCCCTGATGACTGACCAAATTTGTATTTAATTCTTGGCGCTCCACACGACTCCTCCGTCAAGCGACAATTAATTACGAATCCGTCAGTTTCATTAAAGCTCAGATGGTTTTCCAAACAAACCGAAAACCCCCACCTGCCCATAGGGTTCCCCCTACATTTGTTGCTCCCACGATCCATTAAATTCTCCTATCGAAACGTGACAAAGTGCCCAAGTTGTTGTTTTAGCTGCAAGTTCTTTGTGATTTCTGCCCTATTATCGCTCCATAACTCAACCAGCGAATGCTTTTCAATCTTTGCAGTAAACTGGGTCTGGATCTGGTGCCCAGGGAGGGCCCATTGGCGGTGGATCCGCACAGCATTGGGATTGTCAAGCTCTACAATGTGCACGTGAGCAGTGCCGACAACGCCAAGGCCTCCTCGGTGAGTGATGATCTATTTCTTTAAATGATGCCTGATTTAAGTTTAAATTTATGACTTTGCAGAGTCGAGGGACGCTCCGGAGGAAGACCCAGCGGAAGATCCTCTCCCATCATCTGTACTTTTGCATGCGGGACTTTGGCCATCGGATCGGTGGCGATGATGCAGAGGTCTACTTCTTTCTCTACGATGGCACGCACATGCGACCGCTGTCGGAACGGTTTCTGGTCAAGATCTCCAAAGATGGTTTCTCCAACTACATCGAAAAGTTGCACAGCAATTGCACGGTGTTCACAGACTTGGGTGCCGCCGATCTCAACGAGGATCTGCATCTGGTGGCCGTGGTGATGCGCGTGGGCAAGATTATCCAATCGGACTCCATCAAGAAGATCGAGAAGAGCGGCACGCTCGGACATGGTCCGACTTTCCGGCGACCCTTTGGAGTGGGAGTGCTTTCGCTGGCAGACATCGCCCACTTTGACAGCAGCTTGGAGCAGTCCTCCGACGAACGGGAGTACAACTTCAAGCTGTTCCAGAGCGAGGAGAAGGACTTCCATCTGCTGCCCGAGCTGATCATTAAGAAGTCCAGCGGCAAGTACTCACCCATCCAGACGACTCAGGGTACCCAGGGCATTGTGGTGTCACTGAAGCTGCTGCACGGCGGGCTGGGGCAGGCGCGACAGGAGCAACCTCTGCTCTTCCAGGGCTCCACGATCACCCGGAAGATGGGCTTCCCCGACGTTATCATGCCCGGCGATGTCCGCAACGATCTCTTCTTAACCCTGGAACGCGGGGAGTTTGAGCGCGGAGGAAAGAACACCGGAAAGAACATCCTGGTGACCGTTGTGGTCTTGGATGTGGCGGGCAACGTTCTCTCCGACTGTCTGTGGGGCGCCTCGGGAATGGAATCGCAGTCGCAATACCGCTCCATGATCCTCTACCACCAGAATGCTCCCAGCTGGAACGAGATGCTGCGCCTGAGCGTTCCCATTGAGAAGTTTGCCACGGCCCATGTGCGATTCGAGTTCCGGCACTGCTCCACGAGGGACAAAACGGAGCCGAAACTGTTCGCCTTCAGCTTTGCCCGGCTGATGGACATGGGAGGCGCCACACTGAGTGATGGCCAGCACGAGCTGTATGTGTACAAGTGCGAGGATCCCGCCAAGCTACAGGCAGCCAACTACCTGCGGTTACAGTGCCGCCCGCGGGATGCCCAGGCGAAGATGGACTGCGGCGGCTGTTTCAGTCGCAGCTCCAAGGAGGTGTTCGTCCTACGCTCCCTGCTGTGCTCCACAAAGCTCACTCAGAACGCCGATCTGCTCTCGCTGCTCCAATGGAGGACACACCCGGAAACGATACAGGACTCCCTCACGGGAGTGCTGCGGCTGAACGACGAGGAGCTGGTCAAGTTCCTGCAGGACGTGCTGGACGCCCTGTTCGCCATGTTCTCGAACGAGGAGGGCAACAGCACCCAGCACTCGGGTCTGGTCTTCCACGTCCTGGTCAGCATCTTTAGTCTGCTGCAGAGCAACAAGTTCCAGCACTTCCGGCCGGTGATGAACGAGTACATCGAGAATCACTTCGCGGCCGCGTTGGTTTACAAGGGACTCATCACCTCCGTGGAGCACATGGCTGTCTTCATGACCAAGGCAGAGCACCCGGACCCTTTTCAAAAGTGCTTCGGTTCGCTGGAATACATCTTTAAGCTGCTGATCCAGTCCAGGAAGCTCTTTGCCCGAGCCACTGGTGGGCAGTACGAGGACTCGTTCCGGCGCGATCTCCACTCCCTGTTCACTGCCCTCAATGGAATGCTGGCCGTTCCCTCCTACGATGTCATCATTCCCACCCAGGAGGCGTTGTTGAACTCCACGGGTGTGGTCTTGGAGCAGCTGAAGGACACCCTGCCGGCGCCGGAGCTGGGAATGTTGGCCCGCAACATGCTGGATGCCATTCCGAGAGGAGCACCCATTCGTTTGATTCAGGCCAAGCTGCACGCAGTCAAGGATTTGGTGTCTGGGGAGCTATTCCACGAAGACGGTAGGTGGCTTTGAAGATGGTTTATTCCAACATATCCTAATTTGGTGCATATCCTTACAGATTCCCGGACTGTGGTGCTGTCGGTGGCGTGCAAGCACTTGCGCATGCATCTGGGACGACGCGATGAGCTGCGCTTGTGCGCCGAAATTCTTTCGGAGATTCTCAGCCAGCTTCACGAACTGCAGAAGGAACAGCGCGACAAGGTAACCAATACCCTGCAGCACGATCTTGACTCGCTGTGCAAGAACATCCTGGGCATCTTGATCCGTACGATCAGTATTATTATGGAGGGCTCCAATGCCGTGCTGCCGCAGCTGGTGGCCTGCCTGCTGGGACTGCTGCAGCTCCTCGACGAGACCCACTACAAGCGCTATTGGGACGAGCTGAGTCCCAACAAGGACCCGCGCGATCTGAAGGAGTTCCTCAGCAAGTCCCTGCAGGTGTATGAAGACCTGCTGGCCCAGGACTGGCATGTCTTCCCCAACGACTGGCTGGTCATGAAGCTGGCCGCCAACGATGTGCTGCGCATGTCGCTGGAGGAGTTTGCCAAGCCGCTGGTCTATCGGTTTCTGGGTCCACAGGCCTTCGACTCTCAGCTGTGGTGGTGCTACTTCAGCCTGGCGGTCTCCTTCCTCACCCAGCCGTCCCTCCAGCTGGAGCAGTACAGGGAGCCCAAGCGGCTCAAGATACTCCATTCGCATGGCGATATGCGGGTGCTAATGGGCTTCCAAATACTCAGCATGTGGTCGCAGCTGGGCGAGCAGAAGCTGCACTTTATACCGTCGATGGTGGGACCCTTCCTGGAGGTTACGTTGGTGCCAGAGCCCGCCTTGAGGAAGGCGACTCTCTCTGTGTTCTACGACATGATGCAGTGCGAGCAGGTGGGTTTCCCTTTGAGCTATCATGTTGATGACTCCTTCTTAATGATTGCTTCATGCAGGCCGCTCGAGGCTCCTTCCGGCTGGTGGAGAGCGAACTGATCGACAAGCTGGATCTGCTGATCAGCGGGAACAAGGGCGACGACGAGTACAGGGAGCTGTTCAGCACCATGTAAGTTGCTTTCAAACGCTTATGTTTAATGCCAAAATATGTACATAAATGTTTTGTAAATGTCTGTAAATATAAACATCACTTCACATTCATTGCAATCGCCATCCATAATAAAAGGGAGCATCTGAGCTTGGTGTAAGTTTAACTCTGTGCAATATTATTCTTTCCCTTAAACGTAGTTTGTCGTCTTTGTTAGCTTCTGTTGTTCTTATAATCATTTTGTAGCCTCACTTATCCATTAAAACTATTTAGGGCTTTTATTAATCCAATCTTTTGTGTTGTCAGCTTGCTGGAGAAGGTAAAGGTTGAGAACCCCAATTGGAAGGAGGCGGGCATTGCCTTCATTGGTTCTGTCACCCGGCTGCTGGAACGACTGCTGGACTATCGCAGTGTGATGCAGGGCGAGGAGAACCGGGATAAACGCATGACCTGCACAGTCAACCTCCTCAACTTTTACAAAAACGAAATCAATCGCAAGGAGATGTATCTTAGGTGGGTCTGCCCCCTTAGTTAGAAATGGATAAGGTTTTTATTTAAAATACTTCTTCCCTTTCAGATACATCTACAAGCTGCACGATCTACACCTTCAAGCCGAGAACTACACAGAGGCGGGCTTCACCCTCAAGCTATATGCCTCCATGCTGAGTTGGGATCGGGAGACCCAAAGCATTGTTCCTTTCGACAGCAGCGGCCAACCCGAGTGGCAACGCAAAGAGCAACTCTATCACGAGGTTAGTCTAGTACTTCATACTAGCCATAGAAAGCAAGACTTAAGTTTCTGTTTCGTTTCAAGATCCTCAAATACTTCGACAAGGGAAAGTGCTGGGAAAAGGGCATACCCCTGTGCAAGGAACTGGCCCAGCTCTATGAAACCCGTCGCTTCGACTACAACAAGTTAAGTGAGATTCTCATTCAAGAAGCCAAGTTCTTCCAGAATATCCTGACGCAGTTGCGCCCAGAGCCAGAATACTTCCGGGTAGGATTCTATGGGATGGGTTTGCCGCTCTTTGTGAGGGTAAGTCTTTCAGTAAAGTTGGTGAAGACCATACTTAAACTAACCACTCCCATAACAGAACAAGCAATTCGTTTATCGGGGACTGGAGTACGAGCGAATAGGAGCTTTTACGCAGCGGCTGCAGACAGAGTTTCCCAGCGCCCAGATCCTGAGCAACAACAGTCCCCCGGATAGTGCCATCCTCAACGCCCCCGATCAGTACATACAGATCAGCAATGTGAGACCGGTGGGCGATGCTCAGGCTCTGAAAACGGCAATGGTGCCAGTGCCTGAGAAAATCGCTAGGTTCTACGATGTCAATGACGTTACGCGGTTCATCTACGATCGGCCCATGTACAAGGGACCCGTCGACAAGGACAATGAGTTTAAGTCGCTGTGGATAGAGCGCACCATTCTGGACATAGCCAGCCCACTGCCCGGCATTCTCCGCTGGTTCGAGGTCAAGCACAAGTCCATGCTGGAGCTGACGCCGGTGGAGTATGCCTGCGAGATCATCAGCAACGCGGGCAAGGAGCTGGCCGAGCTCATTGTCCAATATAAGCGTGATCCCAAGCGCAACATTAATCCGTTTTCCATGCGCCTGCAGGGCACCATCGATGCGAATGTAATGGGTGGCATTAGCAAGTACCAGGAGGCCTTCTTCTCGGAGCAGTTCCTGAAATCGCCGCAAGGTGCTGGCCAGCAGGCAAACGTGCAGCGCCTGAAGACCCTGATACTGGAGCAGATACAGATCCTGGAGCAGGCCCTGGAGCTGCATGGCCAGCTGGCGCCCACGGGTGTCCAGCCACTGCACAACCGACTTTTGGAGCGCTTCTCGCAGCTGAAGCAGAGTCTGTCGGGCAGGCTTAAGCGCCAGCACTCGGAGAGCATTGTGAACACACCACTGCCTCCGCTGCCCACAGAGCAGCGAGTGGCTCAGGCCAGCACATCCTCCAGCGTGAATGCGCAACCCATTGGCAACTATGTCTACGACCTGGACGAGATCTATACGAAACCAGGAGACACCGTGCGTCCCGTGGATCCTCTCAGCTCATATCAGACACTAAGCAAGGAGAGCCTCACAATTCCTCTGGAGGAGAGTGCCGCCCCTCCAGTGCCGAACCGTCCGCGGTCCCAGAACTTCATCGCCAACGGGTCCATGGACAGTCCAGAAGTTCCTCCCAAGCGTCAGCCTGCGGCGAACTCTCCAAATGCTCCTCCATTGCCCCCCAGGGGAATAACGCCCGATAAGCGAGCCTCGAACCCAATGATCTTCAATGACTTTGGCAATGGAGATGCCGTTGGCCGCCGCCACTCGTCCCAGCAGCAGCAACACGGTCAGAAATACTCAGTGGTGGACATTAGCTATGATGATCCGGAGGCGGATCAGCAGCCGCATTCGTTGCCTCCGAACTTCCAGGATGCCAGCGGTGGGCACTTGAGCGTCTGCTTTGCCCCCAACGATTTTCGCGACTCGGGAATTTCCACGACCAGCTCCAGGGAGCTGAACCACATGAATCTCAATAACCTGGGAGACGATCAATCGACGATTTCGGTGCACCATCGGGAGCACTGTCGCATCAGCAGCAACGGCAGCCTGGACATGCACGTCGGCGTCTCGATGAACATCACCCAGCGGGAGAGCTCGACGAGTTCCTTTGACGTGGAGGATCTGCCGGTGCCGCCGCCGCCCATTCCGCCCAAGTCCCTGGCCGTGACGAGCAACGGTGTCAGCTTTGCTGGAATCGACGAAGCACACTCACCCAATCCAACCAGCACACAGTTCAACCACAGTCAGAATCAAACCCAGAATCATTCCATAAACAATCATTTGGGCCAGGAGCAGCAAAACGGCGTAGAAGATGGCTACAGCTTGCTCCAGCACCCGGTCAATGGGCTGGCCACTCTTCCGCCTCAGCCTGCTGCTGTCGAGGCCGCATCATCCACATCCGCCGTTGCATCCTCATCTAGTCACCAGCACGATGGCGGCACTTTTTGAGTTACAATATGTCGCTGCCATCATCCACCCGATCAGCCTCACCAGCCACACAAGCCATCCTCATCCACATCGACGTCGGCCAGCACGGCCACCGAAACGGGTACCGAGTCCACGGATTCCAGTTCGTCCACGACCTCAATGACTCCACCACCGCCTCCGCCGCCGCCGCCATCGTTCAGCCAGTACCATCAGTTCCAGCAGCCAGCGACGCCCCACTACTGCCAGGACTGCTTGTCGTCGCCGTCGCCGCCGCCCAGCACCGTCATCACCGAGCAGGCGCAGGTGCATGCTACACCAGGACTCTCCACGCCCCAGCCCCACATCGAGCACTGTTCCTGCGGCCTGAGCTTTTCTGTGGTCCAGGGACAGGAGGAGCTCTCGGGCCAGAGCCTAATATCTTCGAGGCTGTCCACGCTGGAGCGGTATCAGATAGAGGAGCAGGTGTCTAGCTGCCAGCACCACCACCACCATCACCACCAGACCAGTCAGGATGCACATGCGCAGACGGATTTCTCCTACGCCCAGCGCTAGAGTCGAAGGTTGTTCCGGTTGACCCACAGAGAGTGAGATTAAAGTTCGCCGCGTTTTTTATTCAATTTTTTAACTATGTTTTGTACGAACTATGTATTTTTAATCGAATATTTTTTGGTGCCAAATTTTTGCAGCAAGTCCAAAGCGCAATATATGAAACAAACGTTGTAATTAAATAGGTTGCTAATAATTATTTTACACATTAGTTTACATATTATTTTATTAAAATTATACAATTATACGGGGAATTGTCGCTAAAGTTACTAAGCAAATCAATAAGCTAAGAGAATAAAGATGAGAGTATTATAGAAAATGGGAAATCAAATACTAAAACCAAAACCACAACGCTAATCAAAATGAGAAACAACGCAAAAATATATACAGAAACCTAAAGACATCATCAAGCCGACAGAAAGTGCAATGCAAATCTTACTTTAAAAAACTTTAAAAAAAATATAAATGAATGAATGCATATATACACGACTACTACATATTTATTAGGAATTTTAAAGTGCTACTAGCTTCATAAAAGTCATATAGGTTTTTCATATTTGTACATTTTAAAAAAATATATATATTTATAATGAGTCTGCATATATGAATAGACATATATACATATATATCGGAATATTATTTACAACGCGCATCAATCAAAAGCGTTTAAATCATATTTAAAGTAATCATTAACTAAACTAGTCACCAACTCGAATAAATTAATATTATTAAAGCAAGCAAAAATACATATGGTCTATAAATGCATGGCGCAAGTGTAAGAATTTACTAAAGAATTTAATAAAGTATAAACAAGAGTAAGATGTTTTATTTTTCGGCTGTTTAATTTCTGTTTTATTATTTCTCTGAAAATTCTTTACATTATTCGTATAATTGTTACTTAAGACTAGCAGCAATTTTAAAGTTTCAACTTAAAGCATCGAGTCTTTCTATTTATTATAGAGACCTGGATATTTTCATGAATTAAGGACTAGTTCTTTATGGATTTGAGTCTTTTAAGACTATTCAGACTATGTTTTGAAGACTGAAATCCGTAAGGTATAGGTCCTATATCGAAAAATCCATGTTGGCCTGGGTTATTGCTTTGATTTAGTTTGTCACTCCAGGAAGGGGTGGTGTAAATTATTGACACTACGAAAAGGGATAAAATAGATCGACTTTTTGAAGGCATATCGCTATCGTATATGTAGTTATCTTGGGGTTGGGCTCTTATTAGTTTTGTATACCTGCCTAATTCATGCTTAACACCTAGGGTACTCGTTAATAAACATTGTGGTTCTAATCCGTATATTCAATGCTCGAGGAGCTCAATAAATACTTGAGGTTAATATTGCGCAATCAATTGACATAAATGATATAAACCGAATTCATATCGAACTATATATAGCCTTCACTACGTATGTATGTACGTGATTCGTTGCAGTAGCGCCAGTTCCAGAACCACCTGGGTGACCCTAACTACCAGCACCCTGAGCATCCTAGACCACTGGCATCCACAACCGCAGCAAGTGAGTGATTTTAGTTTAGATTCGATCCGCTCCGATTAGAGTTCACAACTATGCACAGATTGGAGCTTACTTGACTACCACTAGCTTGCCCAAAATTAACAATTTGCATATCTAAAAAGTTCAACTAGGAAGAGATTAGCTTATAGGTGTGTTTCTTATTGTAGTTTATCCTTTCCATCGACGAGGTACAAAGTTATACAATACGTATATGTACGAGTTCTTGAAAATTAGATGTGTTTGTTGTCGTAAGCACAATGAGGTACATGTGTATCAACATTATTTAAATCATTAATCGTCCTTCTGCCTCCATCCTCCATATATACTCAATGGTTTGTTTAGCGTGAAAATCCGAAGACTCGGTTCCAAGTTCTTCTGCAAGTCCTCCGTCATGGTCGTCCGACGTCCGTCGTCTCTTGTCCGTATCCTGGTCCTGTGTCCCTCCATTCGTCTCGTCTCAGTAATTATATAACCTTAATGCTTAATACCACAGTCGAAGTATGTACTATTTGTAAATACACACATACGGTTCGCATATGTGTGTATGGCCTATACCTATTCCTAGATATACATATGTATATTGTTACTGCAACGGCATCTCCGCTCTCTTATACACGGTATATTCAAGTAGCTATATTTTGTAGCTATGTTAGCTTCAGGGGTCTATCTAGTCAGCTCTTCAGACAGTTCACGAGCTGATCAGCGGGCGCCCATGCGCTCTTCTATGTTTCACCCGTCGACGGGGTTGGGTGGCGGCGCAGGCGCTGGGCCGGGAGCGGGTCCACCGCCCCTACGGCGACGCCAGATGATGGGGGCGATCAACGCACGGATGACGCGCACGGACCTCACTCTCCGACGGGCTAGAAGCATCCAAGGCAAGGGCAGCAGCACCAAGGGCAGCAGCCAGTAAGCGGGTCATAGTTCCACGTGGCCGAGCGCCTGCTCCGTGACGTTGGCGACCGTGTGGCAGGTCTGGGTTGACATCCACTCAAAGTCCTTAATGGTAGCCTATTAGGAAGTATATTGCAAAAATTAGAAAATATTTTTCAAACTAAAAAGAAGCAAAAATTCTAAGGGACTCTCATGACAACTAGCAAATGCGTTGGGATGTCTGTATCTTTCTCAATTTTAATCCGATCCTCGACTGGAATACCTTTAACGATTTCAATTTTTGGTCAATCTAATTTGTTTTTTGTCAAATTATCTGGAGGGTCCTCTTTAAAAATGGGGAAAATGCATGGTAGGACAAAATGGCCCACAGCGAAGGCCATATCTTTGCCAAAAGTCGTCTGATTCTTGAGAGGAATATTTTAAACGATTTGTAGATTGAATCTCCATAAATCTGCATCAAAATCTGAAAACTAATTATTTTTTAGATTTTTTGTCAAATTTTCTGGAGGATCCCCTTCAAAAATGGGGAGAATGCATGGACGGACGATAGGGCCCTCAGAGAAGCCCAAATCTTTGCCAAAACTTGTCTGATTTTTAAGAGGAGTACCTTAAACGATTCGTAGATTGATTCTCCATCAATCTGCATCAAAATCTTGAAACAAAATATTTTTTAGATTTTTCGTTAAATTTTCTGGAGGATCCCCTTCAAAAATTGACCCCTGAAAACGAGGAAATGCAAGAGAATATCTTATCTGACCGATGGAGCTGTCTTTATCTTTGCAAATTTGGACCCGATCTCTTTAAACTATTTTCACCGCGATTTTATATAAATATGTATGAAATCCTCGGGCTAAAAATTTGTCATGGATTTTTGGTACATTTTTCTGGAAGAGTCCCTTAAAATATCGGCAAGGCCTGTGCTAAATATGTTTACCATTTTTTTTAAGATGGACTCACCTTGTGCATGGAGTATACAGCCACCACGACTAGAACATGCATTATATTGTGGGAATTGAGATAGAAATCGACCACGCCGGGAAACCACTTCTCAGGGATTCGCATAGCGCCAATGGCACCGCCCAGTATGGAGACGCCGTCCTGGAAGCAAAGGCGGTTAAGTCAGTGGATTAGAGGATTGGATGTGGCATGGTTGGGGGTGTGTTCTGTGGCCGCCGGGCAAGTGTGTGTGTGTTTGTATAGCGGCTCTGTCCATTAACTCGTATGTACATATGTATGAAAATGTGACTTACAACTTCAACCTATGCGCACCGAGAGAGAGGAGGCCAGCCCAAAAAGGTTTTTAAGTTATAGAAAATAGCAGTTAGTCAATTGGAATGCCTGGACATACGCACCTGCAGGTAGACATGGGAGAGGGCCATGTGGCTGCCGCCCACCATTCCCCGGATGCGCAGGAAGGTCAGGATGGAGCGCATGGCAAAGGGCAGGGCGAAGCACAAGCGTCGCTGCCAGGGCGAGCTGGCGGTCAGTGCCTGAACGGGAGGATCATTAACGATTGAGTAACAATATTCCTTGATAGAAAGTATAAATTAAGAAAAGCTATCCCCGGATAACCCCGAAGAGTCTATACCTTGTTATACCAGTTACCTTCACTGTTATTATTTGAAATTAATTAACTGGATTATAGTTCAAATAAAAGGATTAAATTAGACACGGACATGCAAAACATTTAAACTTAAAGGAAGATGGTTTCTTTTTCAGTTTTGGATAAGCTTAGTGACAAAGATGAAAAGAATACACGAAGATACCTCACCTTATAGAGGCCCCAGAGGGAGAGCACGCAATAGGAGATGATGATGACCCACTTAAGCACCGGCGGGAAACAGAGAGTAGTGGCTGTGACTAGAGGCAAGGCACCTGAAATGAAATATTAAAAAAACCAGAGAGTGGAAGTAATGATAGTGGTGGAGCCTCGATAAAGCAGCCCAGTCGGAAAACGAAGCCCAAACCCATAACACGAAAGACTCTAACCCGAAGTGGTTAGCTGGAAGAGCTGCTGCATAAGCTCGAGGATATGACCTTCGAGATATCCAGCAAGTCCTTCACTGAGGCCTTCGAATGTGGCCAAGCTGATGTGACCAAGCTGAGTCAACGTCGCATTCTAATTAAATTAATTAAATTTTAAAATACATTTTTGGACTCGTTTCCTAGAAGTGCCCTTGTTTTACTTTCCCCGATTCTTATCAGCTAATCGTACTCACCGAAACTCTGGCTCACCCAGATGCCGACCATGTCCAGTTTGAGGAGCGTGTAGTAAACGTTCTCTCCCTTCTCGATGTTCATGAAGAGGTGGTAGACGAAGCTTCCGCACCAGGGTGCCACCGATCCGAAGACGTGGCAGAACGATAGAAACTTGTAGCCGCTATCCCAGGGCATCAGGCCGGGCACAATGGCCAGGATATAGAAGATGGGTATGGCTGGAAATAGAATTACAGTTTGGATTAATGGACAAAGGACTATAAACACTATAACTATAACACTTTTAGCATAATTTTTAAAGAGCGGATTTACATAGCATTGGAAAAACCATATAAGTAGCCGGAGATAAGCATTCGGGAATTCTAAGAAATCCTACTGATAAGAGGGCCCTCACCCACCGACTTCGATCTGGACCATTGAAGAGAGATCTGAAAGTCAGTTTAGTTTGGCGCGGAATCATGATCAGTCGTCTGTGGTGGCTCTTCATCATACAAGTTCCGATTCTGGCCCTGCCCACGGATGACTTAACCACGGAGTACGCCAAACGAATCATCCCATCCGCCAAGATGGGTGCGATGAAAGGTTTGATGAATCGGAAGGTGGCACCCTGCGACAACTTCTTCGAGTACGCCTGCGGCAACTGGCATCGCCACAATCCTGCCGAAGTGTTGCCCAAGACCCGTTGGACAGACACTTTCAAACCTCTATCGGATGTCTTCAACCGACGACTCCTGCATCTCCTAGGCTCCAAGTCATCCGAACTGACATCAGAGCTGGAATTGAAAATGCAACGATTCTTTCTGTCCTGCACCACCGCAAACCAAGATGATCTCCTCTACAAGTCAGCCCTCAAGAATGTCTACCGGGAGTTCAGTGAAATGCCGGCAGTGGCAGGTGCGCAATGGGACTCCTCCGCCTTCAACTGGTGGCGAACAGAAGCGCGAATCCATCGGAAGTACGGCAAGGGACTGATTTTGGGCGTTAACATAATAGACGACGCCAGCGACCCGTCGAAAAACACAATATACCTGGGCCGACCTGGACCGGCTTTAACGAAATCTCCTGAATTCAATAATTTTATGGAAGCCAAGACATCAAAGGATCTGGAAAACTATCTCGGTGTGGGAGCCAAGGAAGCCAGAAACCTTGCCAAAAATCTCCATAGCTTTGAAAATAGACTTTTCGAAGAGGTCTCCCCCCACTTAATAGATAACAGTGTTTCGCTGTTTACAATGGCCGAGTTGGAGGAGAAGTACATCTCCTATCTGAACTTCACCGAGTACATTGGTTTAATTTTCGGGGAGGAGAATATTCCGGAAAAAATTTATGTTTACGGGGATGAGTTTCTGGATAAAACTCTTCCCCTAATGAAGAGCACTCCTTCGGACACGCAGGCCAACTACATCCTGTGGAACCTTCTAGAGCCGTACTTGGTGGAAGGCAATGACAAGGATCACTCCAAGTGGTGTGTCGACCAGACTACGAGGTACTTTGGCCAGCTCACTGAGCATGTGGTGTACAACCGGTATCGCAGTCCCAAGGCTGAGGCAGATGTGTTTTCCGTTTGGGAAGAGATTCGGGGTGTTTTCCGGGAGAACCTGAGGGGCGACAAGCTGGACTGGATATCAAATGCCACGAGGCAGGTGGCCATCGAAAAACTAGACCGTATGACATTAAAAATCAACTCCTACGACACGGAAAACTTCGAGAAGCTATTTGGGCCAGTGGAAATCGATAGACACAACTACGTTGCAAATATCCAGCACTTGCTTTCGGCCAAAGCTATTGGAACTGTGGAGAAATTTAGGTTGGCACGCAACTCGATAGATGTCACCAATATTCCCAGCGTTATGCCCGTCTACAATGTCCAAGAGAATAGAATCACCATTCCAGTGGTACTGCTCCAGCCTCACTTTTTCTGGGGCGACGAGTACCCGGAGGCGCTAAAGTACGCCACTTTGGGCTTCCTGCTCGCCCACGAGATGGTCCATGGATTTGAAGGTGCAGGTCGGAGCTACGACGCCTCTGGCCATTCGCCTGCGGTCGATTGGTGGGACAACAAGTCCCGGAACGAATTTAAAGATCGAAAAAGGTGCTTACGAGCCCAGTACCATGCTTACAAGTATGGTGGATATGAGCTGCCGGAAAAAGAGGATCAATCAGAGAACATAGCGGACAATGCCGGGGTCAAGTTTGCCTACATTGCCTACGAGAAATGGCTAAGTCTGCAGACGGAGGAGCGGAAGCAGCGGGAGACCATGAAGGGACTGGACCTCAGCAGTCGCCAGATATTCTTTCTGGGATATGGCCAACTTTGGTGTGACGATGTCCACCCAAATTTGAAGTCGACAGTGGTCAAATTTTATAACCATGCTCCCAGTATGTACAGGGTGATTGGTCCACTGTCCAACTTCCAGGAGTTCTCCAGGGTCTTCAGCTGTCCGCGGGACTCTCCCATGAATCGGAAACACAAGTGTGGGGTTTATTAAAGATATATCAAGGATCAAAATATTAATAAAAAGTATTGTTTATTGGTTATATTGGTTCTCTGAAATTGTCACTCCTTAAACGATTATTTTAAGCTAATAAAGTCAATCAGAAAATCTTGGAATTAATCTCAATTAATGGTAAATAGGTGACACTTCTTCGGCGTCATCATTTGATTTCCGCTAATGCAGGCAAAGTCCTGTGCAAAGGCGGGGAAGTTGGAGAGGGCTCCCAGAACGCGGAGGGCATTCGGGGTGCTGGTCTGCAGCAGCGATTCCTTTTCCCGAAACTGCTCGTTGGCATCATTACACCACAGCTGGCCATAGCTGAGGAAGAACAGCTGACGAGGAGTGTGGTCCAGCAGGGGCAGAGCCTCCGTGACCAAGGCAGAGGAGGCCAGCTCCGTCAGGTAGCGGCGGTAGGCGTGGTAGGCCACCTGGATGGCCAGGTTGTCGGCAATGTTCTCCGCCTGGAGATCGCTCTCCGGTAAGTACTCCCCGTGAAGTCGCAGCCGGCTGTATTGATCCTTGAAGCAGGCCTTTCGCTTGGAGTACTGGGCAAAAGACTTGGCATCCCACTTGGCGGCGTCTTCCAGGCTGTGCGCCAGTTCGTGGGCAAGCACGGTGCCGATACTTCCAAAACGCAGGGCTCGTGGGTAGTAGCGGGACCACAGAATGTTTGGCTGGAGCAGGGCCACCGGTAGGAGGACTCTCTTCTTAACAGGATCATAGCTGGCCGCTGTCTGTATCTTCGGTTTTGTGACCAGACTGTTCCGACTCCGCACAGTTCTCAGATTGTGGAGGTAATCCCTTGGCTTGATTTCGAAACCTGCGAATTGTTCTGTAAAATTAATGTTGGAATAGCCATTGATCACGAGCTCGGTTTCGTTGAGCTGCCCCAGCAGCTGTTCTCTGGTATCCGTGGACAACCAATCCGCCGAAGCACCCTCCAGGACACCTCGGAAACTCCTCTGAATTTGCTGCCAGACCCCGTTGATGTCACTGAGAGCGGCAGCATAACCGTATTGCTTATAGAGCATGTTCTCCAGCAGCTCCGGAAACTGCTCCCTTATGCGATTCACACACTGCTCTACGGGGGAAACGGTCCGATCATAGAAGAAGTGATCCAAAAGTTCGTAGAATATATAGTTGGCTAGCACTTGGGGTGGCGTGGTCTTCACCACATCCGTCAAATGGGTCATATAGCTGGGCACATGCTCGTAGATAGTTTCGTTGTCCGCCAATTCCCGATCCAGGACAATTTCCACATACTGAGTTACATTGAAAATCTCCGGATAGAGTTCATCCAACTCCACCGGAGTGCGCAACTTGGCCAAAATGCCCACTCGCCGGGAGAGCATACCTTTGGCCAGGAGCTGCTCCAGTTCTGTGATTTCCCCAGCTGTCTTTAGGGCCAACTTGGCCTCCACACCCAGATGCCGCTCCAAGTTCTCGGCAATGCATTCAGTACGAGCTCGGCTGTCTGGTCCGGGAAGTATTTGCTTGGGCTGACCCACATAGATGCGATCAGATTGGATCTGGAGAAGCAGCACTATGTCCAGACCGTATCTACGCTTTATTTTTGCGACTGTTTCCAACCAATCGAAGGCATCCTCGGCCCAATCCTGGCCTGGCAAACTCAAAACCGGCATGCGTCCGAATTCCCCGACGATTTCCTGCAATTGACGCTGATACAAGTCCTCCGGAGTCTGGCGGTAGAGGAGACAACTGGCATAGAACTGTTTCAGATGAAGAACGGCCTCCGCATCGGTTTCCTCGTTGGGCGGCTGTTCCAAAAGGCGCTGCTGCTTGTGGCGATAAGCTTTCAACACCAGCTGCTGGAGGTTCGTCTCCCGGGGATGGGCATCGTTGGCCGGATTTATCAAGGGCCATCGCCCGCAGCTGTACTCGTAGAAGTTGTCGCACGGCTCCTGATCCGGGTTAATGTAGCTGCGCATCTCTGCGGATTTGGCCAGACGCATCAAACGCTGCACATAGGCACTGTCGTTGTGCTGCGAGATCAACTGCTCCTGCGCCTGGATATGCAAGTCAATGGTCGGCTGGGAGAGCAGGTGGCCTTGGCCATTCCTCGCCAGAAAGAGACACACCAGTGCAGCCAGAAACGGCAGCTGCGATACCATGTTCTCTGTTTGAAAACACTCCGAGGGCAACTAAAGCGACGGCTCACCACAACGCACTTCCGCACCTCTGAGATTGAGATTCTAGCTAGTGAGCCGACCCAGAGCTGGAGCCAGAGCGGGAGCGGGAGCGGCCTTATCATCACTTTGGCGGCCACCCTAACGCCCCCTTTTAATTCATTGAATCGCAGCTCACGTTACTGAATGGGGAGTATGACCGGCATTTCAAAGTGCGACAGCAATTATTTTTTATAATTATTTTTCTAATGGTCAAAAACGATTAGTTTGCTTCACCTTTTGCATATATTTACACTTTATTATTGTAAATTTAAAGACTTGCTTTTGATTATTCTAAAAAATAGATCTTTCTTAGTACAATTTCCAAATTATTTTATCAAAGAAAAGTTTTTAAGTCCCATAGTTCTTCGAGTGTAGAGTATTTTAAAGTCGAAACCATCCATTTTTTGCTTGAATATGAGTTTAGAATTTTTTTCAGAGAATGTTTGTATTTATTTCTACTAAAGAGAATATACAAGTGTCGTCCAACATTCGTACATTCTCTTGAATGAAATTATTTGAATTGAATATTTGAGGCAAGTAATATTTTTTAAAGATCTGTTCTCATACCATCCCATTACTCTTTGAACTTTAGCTTCCTGGCCATCTTCTCTTCTGCCCTTTTTTTATAAAGCAGCCTAATCACATTGTCTATAATTATACTACTGGGCCCTTGGAATAGTTTGAAACCCACATTAAGGTTGGGGAGTCGCGAAAATTTGGATCAGCTTTAATATGGATGTTCTATCTATGTAGCTCTATCTCTGTAGCTCACGCATTCATACAGACAGACGAACATGGCTAGATCTACTCGGCTGTTGATGCTGATTAAGAATATAAATATTACTAGTAATTAATACTAGTACATAATATGGACTAGTAATTGTACAACCGAATAGTATGTTGGCTTATGATTTGATTCTCCCAATGATGGAAGGTCGCACGATAACCCGACGAAGTCAAATTTAGGGCTTGAGAGCACGACAAACTCATTCAATGAAGTGTTTTCAGACCGGACAGTCGATCAGAATGATCCTCCCGAATATTTTCGAGATGAGATTTCTCTGTGTGTTAATTATGGTTGCTCAAGTACACGTCAACGGGAAAAATCTGAGCCAGGACACTTGGTATACGCGGGAGGTGAAGCGCCAGGCCAAGGCTGCAGAAATCTCGAGCTTTATGAAACAAAACGTGGATCCGTGCCAAGACTTCTACAAGTTCTCATGTGGGAATTACGACCGCATCAATTCGGCATCTAATCATAATGTGCTTCATACAGGAATATTTGAAACCCTGACAGAGGCCTACGACCGCAAGATATTGAAGATGCTGAACACTCCGACGGATGAGCACGACACCGCTGAGGATCTGCAGGTGAAACACTTCTATGAGTCATGCCTCGAAATAAAAAATATTTTGCCGAACTACCCTGAGAAGCTGAGGAGCCTCATATCGGAGTTCGGGACGATGCCAGTTCTAGAGGGAGACTCCTGGCAGGAGGATGACTTTGACTGGGTGGAGACCGCAGCCAGGATGGCCCACAGCTATGGAATATCTTCGCTTATGGGCTTGGACGTTTCTAAAGACATTGCCAACAACAGCATCAATAGGATATATTTGGGAGAGCAGAATTTTCCTTTGGAGTCTCGCAGCATGTACATTGACAATGAGACCCAAATATATAGGACAAAGTACCAAGGCATAATAAAGAGTTATTTGGAAACTTTTCTTGGAGTCGAGAATGCTCTGGCGCAACGAACCGCTAAGGATCTAATCAATTTTGAGGTCGACCTTGCCCGCGGATTGGTGGATGAGTCTGACGGCCTGGATATGAAAAATCTAACAGAACTGATAAGTATCGCTGAGATGAATAAGCGCTACGCCCCCACCCTGGACATATCGCGTCTGGTCTCCATCACACTGGACGAAGAGGTGACGGACGATATCTACGAGTTCAATGCCCCATATCTGCGTAATCTGGTAGAGGTCCTTAAACGCACTCCCAGCCGTACGGTGGCAAACTATATGTACTTCCGCCTCGTCTTCGAATTTAGTGTGGTGCCAGCCAATTCCCCCGAGAAACAAAAAAAGGATTGTCTGACTATCGTCAAGAAAATATTCGCCAAGAATCTTGATAACATGTTCTACAGGCGGTACAACAATGATAAGTCTTCCGCTGAGATAGAGTCCATTTGGCGTCAACTGAAGGCCACCTTCAGGGAGTCGTTGCGCTCCAGTCCCCTGCTGGACTGGATCGAGAGACCCATCCGGAACCTTGCCATTGCCAAGCTGGAGGCCATGACTCTACAGGTGAGCAACTACGTCGACCACAACTTTACCGCGGAGTTCGAGGGCCTGAATCTGCAGAGCACCGACTATGTTGAGAATCTCCGCCAGATATATTTATTGGCCGCCCGCAAAAATCGACATAAGCTTCATCAACCCGTGGAACCTTTGGAGGCCGGAGCACAGCTTAGCTATACACCGGCCAATATACTGGTGGAGAATACCATCAAGGTGCCGGTGTCGCTGCTCCAGCCCTTCTACATTTGGGCCGATGTCTATCCCTTTGCAATCAGGTTCGGATCCCTTGCCTCTTTAATTGGACACGAGCTAATCCACGGTTTTGATGATGCTGGTCGGGGATTCGATTCCCATGGCAATGCCTATGACTGGTGGGACGAAAGGTCGAGCAACAGCTTCCAGGATCGGAGGAAGTGCTTCACCAGACAGTATGGAAACTACGCGTACGATGGGATTCAGTTGAAGAAGTCCATTGCGCAGTCGGAGAACATCGCCGACAATGGAGGCGTTCGACTTGCCTACACCGCCTACAGGAAGTGGTACGACGAACAGCTAGGAGCATCTGGAGGTGCACTGGAACTGGAAGAGGAGCGCCTGCCCACACTGAACTACTCCGGGTTGCAGCTGTTCTTCATAAGCTTTGCTCAGACTTGGTGCAACGATGTTCATTCTAGTTTGAAAGCTATGCAGGTATCAACTGATCAGCACATGCCCGGCCAGATTCGTGTCATTGGATCCTTGTCCAACTTTGACAAGTTTTCGGAGGTGTTCCAGTGTCCAAAAGGGTCGCCCATGAACCCCGCGGAGAAGTGTGTTCTTTACTAGGAACCGGAAGAGATTCAATGCAGGTTTTCCGATAATTTAGTAAAGCTTGTAATAAAAGGGAATATTTGTGTATTAAAAGTATTCTAGATACAGAATTCTTCAAAAATTTTTTCGGCTTTTATGATTTGCTAGTCATTTATAGGTTTTAACTTTTATGTTTAACGAAAGATAATGTAGTTTCTATTTATTTTTTTATTTATTTATTTTTGTCAGAGAAAGAATATTTAAAGTATTTCCGAAATATGAAGGGAAAGCTGATTTTGGACGGAGCCGAAGCATATACCTATATCCTTGTACGTGAAGGGCAGTTGATATGGCTATATATATGTAAATTGGGTCGGATGTATATATTTCGCAAATATCGGATATCATAATCATTTTTGGAATTTAAATATCAGACCAAATTCTTGCTATAAGAATTCAAAAAAGGCTCAAGCCGCTATCAGGTGAATCACGAGTGGTATGGCAATATAGATCGGATGCAGTATCTCAAAAAATAACAAAGTTATAGTATTTATGAGGCAAGTACTAAATACATAGGACAAATGTAGTTAACTGATCGATTTCACGTTGAAACATACAGACGGGCATGTTTATATAGACTGAGGAGGTGATCATGAAAACGAATGTGCATATACCCTTAAGAGGCTCGAAGATGTCTTCTCTGGGATGTTGTCATCTTTGACCAAAAGTACAATACCCTCTGCAAGTGTATAAATATGTACTTTCTCTTGTCATTAAATGACTAAACAATACAGTCGAGATAATTAACATGCATGCTGAGGCAAATAATAATATTGGCTGTCCAGCTAGTTCTCATTCTCATACAAACCCATTTGCTGGTAATTTAAGAGTAAGCGTTCCGTACTCATTTTAACACAGTATTACAAATTTTAGAAAATGTTATTATTTCTATAAAATAATTGAGATTATTAGATTTCTAAAGAAACAGAGCCAAAAATGTACATGAAACGGTCGCCAATACTCCAAAGTTTCAACCAATAACGATCGAATTTATTTACTGCGTACAACGAACACGATTATAATGAAATATATCTACGATTTTTAATTATTTCTCTGAAGGAAAACCCAGTTTTCAGGCCCTTGTTGGCCTGTGTTTTTATTCGCGATAACCCCTCGAGGTCGCCTTTGAGATGCGCAAATAACGACGCTCTTATTGGATGAAGTGAATCGGGCTGGACAGTCGATCAGTGAGATTCCCACAAATAGCTTCGAGATGCGGTTGCTCTACGCATTATTTCTGGTTGTTCCCGTACTCGTCCACGGGGAAAACCTGAGCCAAGACACTTGGTATACCCGGGAAGTGAAGCGCCAGGCCAAGGCTGCAGAAATCTCGAGCTTCATGAACAAAAACGTAGATCCCTGCGAGAATTTCTACAAATTCGCATGTGGCAGCTACGAACGCATCAACTCAGCGTTCAGTCTCCAGTTGGTTTCAACCGGATTATTCGACACCCTGACCAAGGGCTACAACCGCAAGATCTTGAAGATGCTGAACACTCCGACGGATGAGCACGACACCGCTGAGGATCTGCAGGTGAAACACTTCTATGAGTCATGCCTCGAAATAAAAGACCTTTTGCCGAACTACCCTGAGAAGCTGAGAAACCTCATATCTGAGTTCGGGACGATGCCAGTTCTCGAGGGAGACTCCTGGCAGGAGGATGACTTTGACTGGGTGGAGACCACAGCCAGGATGGCCCACAGCTATGGAATATCCCCGCTTATTGGCTTGGACGTCTCTAAAGACATTGCCAATAACAGCATCAATAGGATATATTTGGGACAGCAGGAGTTCCCTTTGGAGTCTCGCAGCATGTACGTTGACAATGAGACCCAAATCTATCGGAAAAAGTACCAAGGCACCATAAAGAGTTATTTGCAAACTTTTCTTGGAGTCGAGAAAGCTCTGGCGCAACGAACCGCCAAGGAGCTAATCAATTTTGAGGTCGACCTTGCCCGCGGATTGGTGGACGAGTCTGACGGCCTGGATATCAAAAATCTAACAGAACTGATAAGTATCGCTGAGATGAATAAGCGCTACGCCCCCACCCTGGACATATCGCGACTGGTCTCCATCACGCTGGACGAGAAGGTGACGGACGATATCTACGAGTTCGGTTCCCGTTTTCAGCGTAATCTGGTAGAGGTCCTAAAACGCACTCCCAGGCGAACGGTGGCCAACTATATGTACTTCCGCCTCATCTACGAATTCATTGAGATCCCAGCCGATTCCCCCGAGAAACAAGAAAAGGATTGTCTGACTATCGTCAAGAAAATATTCGCCAAGAATCTTGATAACATGTTCTACAGGCGGTACAACAATGATAAGTCTTCCGCTGAGATAGAGTCCATTTGGCGTCAACTGAAGGCCACCTTCAGGGAGTCGTTGCGCTCCAGTCCCCTGCTGGACTGGATCGAGAGACCCATCCGGAACCTTGCCATTGCCAAGCTGGAGGGCATGACTCTACAGGTGAGCAACTACGTCGACCACAACTTTACCGCGGAGTTCGAGGGCCTGAATCTGCAGAGCACCGACTATGTTGAGAATTTCCGCCAGATAAGTCTGGTGGCAGCTCGTCAAACTCGACAGAAGCTCCACCAACCCGCGGAACCTCTGGATGCCGGCGAAACGCTTAGCTATACACCAGCCAATATCCTGGTAGAGAATACCATCAAAGTGCCGGTGTCGCTGCTCCAGCCCTTCTACATTTGGGCCGATGTCTATCCCAATGCGATCACGTTCGGATCCCTGGCCTACTTGATTGGGCACGAGCTAATCCACGGTTTTGATGATACTGGTCGGGGATTCGATTCCCATGGTAATGCACATGACTGGTGGGACGAAAGGTCGAGCAACAGCTTCCAGGATCGGAGGAAGTGCTTCACCAGACAGTATGGGAACTACGCGTACGATGGGATTCAGTTGAAGAAGTCCATTGCGCAGTCGGAGAACATCGCCGACAATGGAGGCGTCCGGCTTGCGTACACCGCCTACAGGAAGTGGTACGACGAACAGCTAAGAACATATGGAGGTGCACTGGAACTGGAAGAGGAGCGCCTGCCCACACTGAACTACTCCGGGTTGCAGCTGTTCTTCATAAGCTTTGCACAGATTTGGTGCAACGATGTTCATCCCGTTGTGAGGGCTATGCAGGTATCCACTGATCAGCACATGCCCGGCCAGATTCGTGTCATTGGATCCTTGTCCAACTTCGACCAGTTTTCGGAGGTCTTCCAGTGCCCAGCGGGCTCGCCCATGAACCCCGCAGAGAAGTGTGTTCTTTACTAGAACTGGCAGTGATTCTTTGTGGTCCATTTGGGGTAATTTAGTAATGTTTTGTAATAAAAGGAAATACTTGTGTCAAAAATATATAATGCAGGTAGCAGTTTGGGAAATCGACTTTGCGTTTAAAACATTGAAATAGAAGCATAAACAAGTGGCAACAAATGTATAAAGAGACTTGCAACCGACTGTTAAGTAAGGCTGATGGGGGAGGGGTCTGTTTCCTTATGCATACCCTGGCCAAGGTGGTTCATTAGAAATGCCAACCTAATCTATTTACGTGCCTACACTTGGCTTTGGCCGTGATTGTTGTTACGAGCCAAAAGAGCGGGATCGATAAATGAGCAAGTGGCGACAGGTGGGAGGCGGAAGGTGGATGGTAGAAGTGGGATGGGGTATAAGAAAAGGTACAAGTTGCAAGCTGTCAGGTGGCAAATGACTTGTGGGCGGGCACTCACCATGTGTCAGTATATTGATGGTCTCGTTGTGCCAGTAGAAGAGGCTGAGCAGGCAACCCTTGAAGGTCTGCAGGGGTCGGTATCCTCGCAGCACATAGGGATTGAATTGCAGGTACTGCGGCATGTCCTGCCAATGGAGCAGCTCACCCACACTGGGTGGCGGACTAGTCGTTGTGGTGGTGACTGCCGGCGACTGTTGATCTGTGGCTGGTGTTCCTGTTCCCGTTACCGTACTCGTTCCCATTCCCGATCCCGATCCCGATCCCGTTCCCGGTGCAGCGGTGGCTGTGGCTGTGGCAAGCAAGGCAGACGTTGGCGTTGTGGAAGCGTTGGCGGAAGACTGTGATGTGGCGGGATGGCTGATTGAGTCCTGAGTGGTCCTGGTTTCGACGGCTGGTGATGCTGTTGCGGCTCCTTGGGCTCCAACATCTTTGGAGCTTTTGCAGGATTCCATGGCATGACTATCCCCTGAACGGGAGGGTGGAGTGGGTGGCGGGGTCACCGACATAGCCTCCACAGTACTGCCCAAGCAATCGCAGGCTGCTCCACTTGCGGGATTCGAACTTGTCCCTGACCCTGACCCCGATCCCGAGCCTGATCCGGTAACGAGGGCGTAACTGGCCTTAGAGCTGCTGAGGAGCGGCGCCTTTCCGTTGCTCGTGGGACTCAGGTCAACGGCGACGACAACGGCGGCAGCAGCAGCGGTGTCCATGCCTTGCGGATGCGTTCAGTCCTTTTGCGCAATCGGTTTCGTTTCCGTACACTGGGCCGCACTTGTTCCAGTTCCTGTTCCCTTTACCTTTACCGTTTCCGTTTCCGGTTCCAGCTGAAATCGAAAGAGGCGCGTAGGCCAACGTCATGAATTATAGATCGTATATGCAGTAAGGTTGTTACGTAGGATACCCATCCTGCCCCTCCCGCCATCAAAAAAAAGCACGTGTATGCGAAACCGAAAGCGAAAACGAGACCAGGACAATGTCAACACACACAGATACAGACACCAACACACTCCCAGCTGCCTCGTGACCCAAAAAAGGCCTGCGCCCTCGCTTCAGTGTGAGTGTGTGTGTGTGTGTAATTGAATATTCCATCTGAATCACGCGAGTCTCGGATTAGGCCCCACAACTACTACTGACAGAGCTCCCGGACCCGGGCAAAAATCGATAAGGAAACACTCACATCTTCCATGGGAGGACACTAGGAACAGGTTTCCTGAAAGCCAATTCCTGGTAGGATACTGGCAAGGATGCTGCTGGAGGACCCGGATGGCCTTTGGGATTTTAAACCGATGCTACGAGCAGTGCTTTCCACTTGACTGGCGGTCAACGATGTTGCAACCGTTGTTGCGTGGGCGGGGCATTAGCATTTCAGGCTGGGTGCCACGCACTTAACTATGCAGCCATTCGACTTACGATTCCCTGGCCCAAATTTCAAAGCTGGCTTAAAAAAAAGGATATTTTCGTTGGTAGGCAGGATGCTTTTTTCCAGCAACGCGAATGCGAGGAAAAACGCTTCAAACGCTCAGGAGACCGGAAATCCGCGCACACGACGGTGGACGTCAGTATCTGACTGAGCGCGTGGGCACGATAACGATACCGTTATTTCGTTGGCGTATTGTTATGCAATTTAGTGAAACGGCCCCCGTATTATTCTTAGGCGCCAAAACAGCGCAAGCGCAGAGCTAACCCCTAGAAAGTCAGCTGTTAAAAATAAATTTATAAGGTACGAGGTTTTCTGACCTAAAATACAATTTATTTATTTATTCTATATACATTAAATATATAAATAATATTGGCTTTTATACCACATATTTTAAATTGAATTAATTTGACTTTTATTACTTTCGAACTGTTCGCAATAGCATAGACATGAACCACTCTGGAATGTTTTCCACCTTAACATTATGTTAAATGTTAACAGCCAAAGCTGGTCAGAGGCATGACTATGGCTGAGGAAATATTTTACATATTTCTCGGATTAAACTATATTGAAAGAAATTGCGTTGTTCCCGATAAGCCTATTTTGACTTTAGGCGTTCTGTAAACTTTTTCTTTGCACTCTGCAAGACAGTAAGAGCTGAATAATCGGAATACATCAGAGACTGTGACACTAAGTTATAGTTAGTAGGCTTTTGCTTTCTTATTTCTGGTCTATTTTAGGAAAGACGTTATCCAAGAAGTGAGGAGTGGGAATAAGATCAGGAGCAGACCGTCAATTTATTTTTTTCAAATTCAAATGTCATTTGGCGCCCCAAATCCATTACCCAACACTTAACGACCCACCGATAACATACCAGGGACTCGTAAGTTTTTTATATGTGTACCTAAATTTAGCAACACTGAAATAAAAATGAGTTTTACACAACACTTTTAAACAAGTGTGCAATTCAATTTTAGCGGTTGCAAAACAAAACATAATTCATTTATTTTGACATCAAGTTAGCAAATTTGTGTCCCCACCAACGGTGGAGCACTGTGCGGAGGTAGCTGCTTGCCCAGGCGCCTCAAACCAAGACGCAAAGAAAAAAAGGCGCCAAAACATAACTGACGCAGGAAGAAGAGCAAACACAAAAACGAAGCGGACAACCACATGCAATTCCAGCCGAACAAGGAACCCATGCACCTCAACGGCGAAAACAACTCAAAGCAAGCGAGACTCTCCTGGCCGGCCTTAACACAGCTCCTGAGCGGATTGTGGCAGCGCCTCTATTTGCCCCGGTCGCCGTTCCTAGCGTTGCCGGCACCCCCTCAGTTGCCGCACCCCTCGCCGTCTGCGCCAAATAGAACGCATAACGCCGAAGAGGTAAGATAGCGAAACTAAGCCGTTGTAGCAATACCTGCCAGGTATCTAAGTATATATCTGTATATACAAATATCACGTTAAAAATATTTCGGTTGTGTGAAAAAAAAAAATATCGATAAATTTTGATATATTTTACACATCCCTACTCTACCTCACAGACGTGGTGAATAAAATACCAAGTGACGTGAATTTTAAGGCAAAAAACACGATTTCCGTGGCGATCATTGCTAAAATAGCTAATCCTGTCAGTCTTGAAGGGGTCCTGTGAGCACAGATACCCAGGAGCGGCTGCAGCATTGCCAACAAAGTCAAGACGACAGCTGCGTAAATTGGCCAGCCAGCCAAGACGCCAAGCAACAACAATAGTGCGAGTACAACAAAAATCAATTTGCGCGCTGTTTTGCCACAAGCCAGCCCGTGCCAGGCCCCAAAAAAGAAAATACTAGTTAAAAGGTACATGTTTGGAGAGGTTTTCCGTCATTAACATCAAAGTGCGTGTGGAAAGCTTGGGCTTGTGGTCTGTTTCTCCCACACCAACACAAGCGTCGGTCAAAATGCAATTTGTGGCTTGCGTGTGTGTGTTAGTGCCAGCTGTATGCCACTGTACTCACCTTTTTGGTGGGAACAGATTTTGTGGGCTGATGGGGTGGGGGTTGCCCTTGCCTTTGGTTCAAAGATATATGTGCCTTATGGGAAATATATAGAGATGTAACAGACGGTGTGTCTATGTTTTTTCCAGATGCCCAGAACACGGAGACGCCACCACTCAAGGGATCGCTCCTCGGCAGGAACAAGAGACAAGCGCCGACGTTTGGATACTGGCGATCACTCGCCACCCCCAGTAGAGGCACCGTCGCCGTAAGTTCCGCCGCCAATCCGTTTCCCATACTCTTTGCCTGCTCTCCTGCGGATGTCTGTGTTTGTGATTACTCAAATACACACACCTCTCGCAGCAGGCAGGCACCGTAGCCACCAAAACTCGGTACTCATTCACCTTTTCTATTACCGCAAACAGGCCTCGCATCACCAAGACACACCATACGAGATCGGCGGCCAAGCGACGGAGGCACGAACTCGATGCCAAGAACTCATCGCAAATATCCAAGGAGCCAACGTAAGTAAATCGAATGTATGAGGCAGTTTTAAATCCTAAATTCAAGCTCTTTGCTGCTCTAAGGAAATGAAAGTCGACGCGTAAGCAGTCAATGGCTTGGTATTAGCTTTAAGATTCAAAATGTAAAGGCTATTCTCATGTATATTGATTCAAAAGCCAATTGTTTTGAAACATTAGTGTGTAAGAAATAGTTGTATAAGTATATTAGATTGTTTATCCTTAATTTTTAAATCTTATAAATAGATACTTGGCTTAGGTGTATAAGATTTAGTTGTTACCAGAGTCCTTTTTGTAAGTAATCTCTTACCCACCTATAAATTGTTAAGGAAATCCCGGATCCCAGTCTGGTATTGGCAAACTGGCTCTGCCTACTGCTCCATGGGTATTCCCACAGCTTTCCAAAACCTTATTTCAAGAGGCGAGAGTCACAGTCGAAGAGTCCTGCCCACGCAGTCTGAGCTCCTTGGGACTCGCTTTCTTTCAATGGCTTGTAAACGGTCATGTCTTTAATGGTCCATGGGCCATAAAGATGCAGCAGGAGCAGCCGGAGAGACAAATTAACATGCGGCCATAAATGGCAAGTGAAATTTGTGCGTTGTGGCATCAGTTCCTGCAAGCGAGGAGTCATCTTCTTGACTTGGCTTACTGTAAATTAATGCGAATTCGGTGGTTTCTTTGTGCTGACCCCCTTTTTGGGGCGACTGTGGGCGTTGAATCCTGGCGGCGGGTTGTCCGTTGCATTTCCTTGCCTTAATTTATGCGCCTGCGTATTAAAGTCGTATTTGCATATTACTCAAAACAACGCGCGCAGACGCAGAAGCAGACGGACGACCGAGGCGCGTCGATGTCGCATTTATTATTTTTTAATACACTTGCCATGGCCTTTTTAGGCATGACCACAACATCAGTTGTGCATCTCTCCACCACCGCCATTGCACCCCGGGAGCCGGGAAGTTTTTCTCTGTTTTTATATATCTTCTTAATCAGAGTCGCGTTTTGTAATTTATACGGCACTAGCAGCGACCGCTTTCTTTGTCGATAAAATGACGTTTTCATGCCTGGCAGTCGCATTGTTTATTAACCTTTGCATTTGTTGTTTAACACGCTGGCTAAGTGTCCAGCCGGATCAGATTAATCGACCTGGCCCCGGCCCATTACTCAGTCCCGGTGGTGACATCTTGCAACGCGGAAGTGGCCGAAAATCCACACTCCAAATATGAAAATCATACAGAATGATAATGCCTTGGCAGCGGAATAGTCTCCAAAATGGTTCGTTCGCATTTCCGCTTTCCTTGCTTTCCGATTTATTTATTGTTTTCGATCATTTTCAATTTCAATCATTTTTTATTCAAATTACAAGCCATCAATTGGGGCGCACGCATGTGGTGGTCGCGGTAACGCGGTAACAACGTCGTGGAGAAGAACTCAGTTTACGCGGCTCGCTCATCGGATCGCCTGTAAACTGGAAATGCGCTCAGCTCCCCAGCTACCCAGCTGAGAAACGACAACCACCGACAATCGAAAACCGAGCCCCAGCAACCGACACTTGCTCAGTCGGAACGACAACTCACCAGCGAATGGAGGTGCTGGCTTCTGCGCTCGTCGTCGCCGCCGTCGTGCAACCGCCGCCAAGTGTTTTGTGAAAGAAATGTATAGCAATATCGGCTAAATTATTGTTTATAATTTTCAACAAAGTGCAGCTGTCAAGTGCAAAGTGTTCATTGCATACTGAATAATAGAGCTTCGTTTTGTGATTTGTTTATGCATCCTGGCCAAAAATAATAATGTGTTCCGCTGACTCTGGGCTTTGGAATTTCCATTCCAATGGCCACCAAAAAACCACATCTAATAATTCTCCGAATTTCCAATGCTGTGCACACTTTTATTTTATTTTTTTTTTTTTTGAAGAACGAGATCAGGCAGGAGTGGGGGGTAATAGAAGGGGCTAACTAACCACGATAAGATACCAAAAACCGACTATGACGGCGCCAATGACTTATCAGAGAACACGATTCGGTGCAGTCATGGAAGAAGCGAATACATCACAACCGGACGTGCTGATTGTGTTTTTATTGGCCAAGGGATTTTGCACGCATTTCCGATATTCCGATTATTACTCATCAGCAAGCAGAGGAGGTTCCCCCCCACAAACAACTTGTTGTTGACCCGTTTGGGGCTGGCAGCTTGTGGTGTGTTTCCTTTTTGAATCAGGTTAAAAAAAAGTAAAATTGTGAAAACTGGTCGGCGGAGGACCTGTTCGCTCCAGCCGGGTCTTTGAGCTCTTGCGGAGATGGAGGCGGAGGCGCAGTCGCAGACACAGGCCCACCACCGACACTTTCTACAAACGTATTTCTTGCTCACCCATCGAATTGCATAAAGCCAAAGCCAAAGAGTCTTAACTGGTTGTGTTTTTGGGGGTCTTATCAATGAACTTGCCAGTGGCTAGTGGCCAATGTCCAGTTTCCAATGGCCAATTGGATTTGTGGCCCGGCTAAATCGCAGCCAAGGTTCAGGGTTATATTGGTGGCTAATTCAATTGTTGGCCTGCCACTGCCTCTGCGGTGCTGACAGGCGAAAATGAAATGCGGCCAGCAAGAAGTCGCACAACTGCTGCACCTGACTGATGGGGCGGGGAGGTGTTTCTCTGGGGCAAT